AATTTTAGCTGAAAAATGTGGTTGAGGAATGCAGAGCCCTTCTGTTACCCACAGCTTCCGTTTGCGAACTTCTCTTGCTGAGCACTCCTCAGCTGAGCTCCAGGATACTGGAAGTGACCTCAGTGGATAAAAAGGCTTAGGGAAAGGGGCTGCAAGGAGAAATGTAGTGGGCATAGAGGATCCCCTTTTCCAGTCGCCATTGTACCCCCTCACCCTCCTTTCTCTGTTCATGGAACTGCTGCCTTCATGTCTAATTTGTCTCTGAACAACACCTATTTCGTAGCATTTAACACTTCACCTAATTTATATTGTACCTGTCACTAGATAGGTAAGTAGGTGCTTAAAGATAAAATGCAAACCAATTTGATTTCTGTAGATTTATAACTCCCCTTTTTGCTCAAAGGGCATTTCCACATTACATTTAAGCAAGCAGAACCGATGCTGTCAAATGTAGTTTCGCCATAAGTACTTGTCTCTCCCCCCTCCCCCCCCCCAGGACCTCGGGTGCAGAGGAACAAATTCTTCAGCCCTGGATTGTGGTGAATCTTGTGATAGCTCTTCTCGTTGGGATCTCCTGGCTCTTCTTATCCTACCGGCCCCAGTTAGATCACAGTGAAGGTAAAAGACAGGCATGCTCCGTTGTGATTCATAAACTGTGCAAAATCTCCACCGTAGATTTCTTCTTGGGCAAATTGCCCTTTCTTTCCCAGACCTGTTTAAGATCCAGGGAATTTCAGGGTAGTATTGTAGACTGCAAGCTCCAAGGAAAGGAACAACTGCAGTTTGGAGGTAGCAGAACGCAGGGGAAATGAAAGAATATTGTGATGGTTTGGGGGGCAACCTTAAGGAAAAAAGAGCCACTTGGCCCGTTTCGAAGAAAGAAAAACTGGGAGCGCAAAACCATTGCGAATTAAAAAAAAATATCTCGGAGCCGCGATCTACCGTCGGTTAAGGTGACGTCGGGACGGTGTCGTGACTACGCACGCACCGCCCCCATGGCGACATCACAGCCAGTACAGCGTGCACAGTGGGGAGTGTCGGTGCACAATGGCTCTCCACTTCTAGTATCTCGCCCCGAGCCCAAATTCTATAAGAGCACATCGCTTCCAGAGCGCGGTAACCCCTGGTTTGGGGGAAAGAAGAGGAACAGGGTGGTTGGAAAAGAAACAGCTGAACGTGTATAGTACCTATTCAAACTAATCTTATTAACACTGTTAAGCGACTTCCTCGTATCCCCTTGTTGAATTCAGGTGGCAACTTCATTCCCCCCCCACAAATTTTTAATAATAATAATTAATAATTTTTGTATTTATACCCCGCCCTCCCCAGCCAAGGCCGGGCTCAGAGCGGCTTACAAGCAATAATAAAAACAAGATGAATGATTACAACTTAAAAACAAAAATAAAATACAACATTAAAATAATGGAACATTAAAATATTAAAATGTAGCCTCATCGCAGGAGGAGAAGGAAAAGAAAAAAGAAAGAGAGGGAGGGAGGGAATCAAATTGGCTCCAAGCCAAAGGCCAGGCAGAACAACTCTGTCTTACAGGCCCTGCGGAAAGAAATCAGATCCTGCAGGGCCCTGGTCTCGTGAGGCAGAGCGTTCCACCAGGTCGGAGCCAGAGTTGAAAAGGCCCTGGCTCTGGTTGAAGCTAATCTAACTTCCTTAGAGCCTGGGACCACTAGGGTGTTGTTATTTATGGACTTTGAGGCTCTCCGTGGGGCATACCAGGAGAGGCGGTTCCATAGGTACGAGGGTCCTAGGCCGTGAAGGGCTTTAAAGGTCAAAACCAGCACCTTAAATCTTACCCTGTACTCCACCGGGAGCCAGTGCAGCTGGAAAAGCACTGGGTGAATATGCTCCCATGGCAGAGACCCCGTGAGGAGCCTCGCTGCAGCATTCTGTACCCGCTGGAGTTTCTGGGACAGCTTCAAGGGCAGCCCCACGTAGAGCGAATTACAGTAGTCAAGCCTGGAGATGACCGTCGCATGGATCACTGTGGCCAGGTCGGGGCGGGAAAGGTAAGGGACCAACTGCTTGATGCGGCGAAGGTGGAAAAATGTCGCCTTGGCTGTTGCTGTAACTTGCGCCTCCATGGAAAGGGAGGCGTCAAGGATTACACCCAAACTCTTTAACGGTTTTCCAAAACCTATATTCTCATAAAATTAACTTAGTCACTTAACATCTTTATTTATTTCCCAATCTAAATTCCAACATATTAATTTATCACGTTACATATTTAAATCCTAAGCCTATCTGGTATTTGCAAGCTTTTCCAATTAATTTAACTTAACATATTTAACTAAATAATCTTTAAATTTCGTCCATTCTTCCTGGTAATCCTCCTCCTCCTGATCACGGACTCTTCCAGTCAGGTCGGCTAGTTCCGAAAAGTCCATCATCTTCATCTGCCAATCTTCCACTGTTGGTATTTCTTGTGTTTCCCAATTCTTAGCTAATAAAATTCGAGCAGCAGTTGTGGCATACAAAAATAATTTGACATCTTTCTTGGGCAATTCTAAACCTGTTATTCCAAGAAGAAAGGCCTCTGGTTTCTTAATAAATGTATATTTCAACATTTTTTTCAATTCATTATAAATCTTCTCCCAGAAGTCTTTCACCTCGGGGCAGGTCCACCACATATGATAGAAGGTACCTTCTTTTTCTTTACATTTCCAACATAGATTATCACAGGTTTGATAAATCTTTGCTAATTTAACAGGGGTCAGATACCATCTATACATCACTTTCATTATGTTTTCCTTTAACATTGTACATGCAGTGAACTTAACCCCTTCCACAATCTTTCCCAATCCTCAAACATTATGTTGTGTCCTACATCTCTTGCCCAATCTATCATCACTGATTTAACTTGTTCATCCTTTGTATGCCACTCCAACAATAAATTATACATTTTAAACAGATTTTTAACTTTAGAATCCAACTTCAAAAGACAGCATGGATCAGTGCTGACAGCAATCCCTCACTTCATCCATTTGCAGGCACAGCTTGGATTCAAATCTGTTTGCAGGTGGTTTGAATCCAAACCATGCCTACAAATGGGCAGCTTCAAAAGGGGGTTGCTGTTGGTGCCGATCATCTGATCGCTGTTGTGAGCCCTCGTGCCAGTGATCAATCAGAAGCACACTTTAAGCTCCTGTTCATCACGTTGCATCTGTTTAGTTACCTACCCCATACCCGATGTCACGGTGTGGGGTGGGTCAGTTGGGTTTGGGGTAAAAATCACAATGACCTTTGCTGGCCCTAATTAGTTAGGCCTGTAGGCTAGAGATTTGGAGCAAATGCTAAGACTGCGGCAAAAGTATTGTTAGCCCAGAAATGGAAACAAGAAGAAATTCCGATGAAGGAAGAACGGCAGACGAAATTAATGGACTATGCAGAATTGGACAAAATGACAGGAAGGATTCAAAACCTGCGGGACCAGAGATTTACAGAAGATTGGAAGAAGTATATGAATTATTTGAAGAGCAACTGTAATCAACAAATTACGCTAGTAGGACTACAAGAAGTTTTGTAAGGAGAAATATACGAATTGTTACAAAGTAGAAGAAGATAGAGATATTGGTTATGAGTTTGAAATGTAATAGGGAAGATAAGAAATGCATACTGAGAGATTAGATTAGAAAATTTTCAGACAGGATTGATGGAAGTCAAAAAAACTGAATAAGATGTAAAAGTATGTTTAATTACTGTTGAAAATGATATGTTAAACACACACACACACACATGCTAAGACACATAAGGGGCATTCAGAGTTTGATGCTGACGAAAATTGTATGTTTTCAACTGTATTCTAATGTTCCCTACTGTTTTGCCTTTTCTTGCAGAACTGATGTTTAATGCTGAAGTAGAAGAATATCCCCCACCAGATAAAGAAGCCAAAGTGTCTTCATAGCACAGAGACCCTCTTCAAATACAATTGTTATGATGGCTTAGTATTATCTATTTGTATTTCTGTTTAATACTTTTTATATTTAAAATGTATTTTTGCATTGTATAGGGTTGTGGGTTTTTTGCATAACTTATAATTATGTTTATTTTAAAATGTCAATAGTTTTTTAAATGGTAGGACAGTGTCAAAGTTTACTTTTTTCTTAGGAATATTCTAAAATTACTCTCTAAATATCTAGTTTTGCTGATGCAAGGAGACACATGGAACAGGAAACTTAAAAGAATAAGAGAACATTCTTTGTAGCACATTTCTTCCCTTTTAATAATCTGCATTTTGGTAGCCATATTTTCACAGAATTGAGAGCACATTGACATTCAAAATATCACAACAACTTTAGTGCCAATTTGTCTTAAAAAAATTAAATCAGGAATTAAAATGCATATTTAAATCATTAGTTTCAGCAGCATAAATAACTCATTGAAAAGTTTGCAAAATGTCTTTACAAATTTGTGCTGCTCCATAGTCACAGCTGCTGGCACTCATAAACCATGTTTGTATTGTACTGCTTAATTTATAAATCTAGCTGAACAAGTATATAAATTTGTTTACCAGTTCTTACTGAGTTATTATTGCATTACTTGGAAGTAATTATAGATTTCAGAAGTTCATTGTTTCATATCATGACCAATTCCAGTTAAATGTGTACTCCCAATTTAATTTGTTGGGTTGGGTAGGTTCCCTTATGATATAATGTACTTACACAAATGTTTCATACAAATGAAGAACTAATAACTTGTATTTCAAATGTAGTTGGAAGTGTAAGCAGAAATAGAGACTCTGCCAATTCTTAAGCCTCCCTCATGATATCACTGATTTTGAAACTCCAAATTGGTTTTTAAAATAAGTGTTCTCTAAGTCTACCTCTTGTACAACATTGTAAAATTTAAACATTTGTGCAAATAAAAAATCAGCTCTTTTAATTAATGTCCCTCATATTTGGAAGAATATGGTCGAGATTTGTTTAGGTTTTTTAATCAAGTATTTTCATTATAAAGATATAATGGAACCTCGCTAGAGAAATGACACCAGCTCCCTTGTTTTCTTTCTGTCAGCAGGTGATACCTTCTTATTCCAACAGACTTTTGGCAACTGGTTGCTTTTAATGAAAGTGCCCAACTGTTTTTCTAGTAATCTGTGTTTTTAATATTTTATTTAAATGTACATGGGTGTACACACACACACTTTTAATTCCATTAATGTTCAGTTGTTTTTTAATGCTTGCCCCCCTCCCATGTTTTTAGTTATTCCTGTTTTATTTATGTGGGAGGGGGTTTATTAATTTGTGTTTTATTATGTATTTTGTGTTCTCGTTTTGTATTTTTACATCGTGAACTGCCCTACGATCTTCAGATGAAGGGTGGTATACAAACTTAAGAAACAATCATAATCGTAATTTGCAAGCTGCCATGAGTTCCTGTCTAGAAAAAAGGCAAAGTATAAACAAACAAGATAGATAGTTGAAATGCTATTTTTTGTTTATTATCGAGTCCCCATCTGGGGAAATGGCAAGGTACAGATAAATACATGCCCCATTTACGTATGTATATGTATGTATAGATAGGTAGTTCTAATTCAATTCGCGCTTAATTGTCTTTTGTACATGTGCATTGTTGTATGTATATAGTTCTAATTCATGTTTAATTGTATTTTGTATGTGTGAATTGTATGTATGTATATAGTTCTAATTCATGTTTGTCTTTTGTACATGTGCATTGTTGTATGTATATAGTTCTAATTCACGTTTGTCTTTTGTATGTGTGCATTGTTGCATGTATATAGTTCCAATTCATGTTTGTCTTTCCTATGTGTGCATGTATAGTTCTATTTCATGTTTAATTGCCTTTTGTATGTGTGCACTGTTGTAGGTATAGTTCTAATTCGATTCATGTTTAGTTGGTTTCTAAATCACTGTCGTCGTCCCCCTCCCAAAAAATGTTTCGGCTATTTCTATTTTACCTGTAAGCCGCCGTGAGTCCCTGTTTGGGGGAAAGGGCGGGGTACAAATAAAGTGATAATAATGATAATAACAACGCCCCGCTTGCGGGCTTCCCAGTGGTACCCAGCTGGCCGCCGTGCTGCTCTCAGAAGCTAATCCTAACCTGTTACCATTAATTTCCCATTTTTTATGAGGCGTTACTGTTACCATTAATTTCCCATTTTTTATGAGGCGTTACTGGTGGTGGTGTGGGGTCTCCTGGGCCCCCTTTATGTGAGGCGGCCGCCGCCGAGCAGCCAAATTGTGACGCCGCCTGAGGGGGGAAAGCGCCGCCGGAGAAGGCGACGGAGAAGGCGGCAGCAAAGCCGGGGCTGCTGGCGGGCGCGTCCTCCCCAACCGGAGGGAGATGAGAAAGAACCAAGGCCACCACCGTCCATCGTAGCCGCCGCCGCCGCCGCCATGCGGAGCCTCTTCGGCCGCAAGGCAGCCGAGCCTCCGAACCAGGGCGCCCCGGCCGACGACAACCCGCCGCCGCCCAGCTCCGCCCCCCGCGCGAGCGTCACCTCCACCGGCGGCGCCGAAGCCTTGCCCTCCGCCGTCGCGCCCCGCTCCTCCTTGTCGACGATCCTCCGCCTGCGAGGCCTCGGCCTCGGCCAGAGCGATAGCGTCGGCGTCGAAGGAACCCCCTCGGCCGAAAAGTTCAAGGGGGAAAGGGCCCGCTCCCTCCTCATGGTACTACTACTCAGGGAAGAAGTGCCCCTGAGCGTGTGCAGAGCGCAGTGTCCTCAAAGAACTCAGGGCGCCATTTCATGGGGCTTGAGGCCAGAGAGGATGGGGGCAGACTTCCCTCGTCGCCCTCCTCCTCCTCCTCAGAGGCATTTTGCCACCTGAGGCAGAGCCCAAAATGGCGCCCGCCCTCCTACCTGGGAAAGAGGCATGAGGGGAAATGTGCTTCAGGAACCCAGGGACTGGGGGGATAAAGATTTGCTAGTCCTGCCTTGTGAGGTGGGCGCCTCGCCTCACGGGCGAGCCAGCTCTGCGTTTTCAAAGGGAGTTGGGAAGAGAAACATGGCTCCATACCTGCTTTGGGGGATGCTGGGTTTGGCCCCTGGCCAGCATCCTGCCCATCCTTTCGTGGCTCTGCTGATGCTGACGTTTCCGCCTTATGGTCTTCTCCAGGCCTCCCAAAATGCAGATGCAACTTTATTTCGAAATGTACCGCTCTCGTAAAGAAATTTTGATGCGTGCTCGCCGTTCCTACAGAAAAGAGCCCCTTTCTCTACATCAAATCGCGCGCATAGAGACCATAGACCAGAGCGCTCACGTCTTCCAATAGGTGCATTCGCTGGTTTTGTGGAAGGGGGTGCAAGGGAGAGAAACTTGGCACCCCTCGACTCCACAAGCTCAGGCGATGCTATAAGAAAGGGGCTCTTTACGTATGTAGGCTTTGTATGTGCAACTGGCGCATGGAAGAGCCTACACCCGTCCGTGTGTAGAGGTCGATTCGCACCCATGTGCTGAGGTTACGGGGTGGGCCAGTGTGCAAGTACCTGCTCCCTTCTCAAATCCAAGCAACATAATTTTGAAGGTCTGGATGGGGCTTTTGAGAAGCAGAACTTCCATAGTCCAGCATTCCACCCTTTCTGCATCTCGGCTATGCCTGTGCTAGAATGCTGGCTTCTATTATGACGTAAATTCATTTTGTCTGGTGCAAAAGTGCCCGCTTTTTAGACGTTTCTTCTAAACAGTGTGCCGTGGTTTAAGTACATGCCAAATCCCAGATTTTTGGGTGGCTTGGAAGTACCTTGATTATCAAATCCCCCAAGCAGATGTCCTCCCTTCAGTTTTTTTTCCTTTGATAGAGCCCAGCCTCTGCTTTGGCTGCTGTTTGTGCCTAATTTCAGCTTCCTAGCTAGTACTAGAATAACAATCATGTTGGGATAAATGTCACTCCTCTTCCCAGTTAAAAATATATTTGGACATCGGAATTTACACCCTGTTCAGAAGATGGAGGCCTTGCCTATAGACCTGTGATCTTGAGTGTGTAGCCCCAGAACTATGAGGTCCAGATTGTGAGCCCTAATATTTACTTTGCTTTAAGAACTACTCTCAAAGCCCCTATTGCATACATTCTAAGTCAAAAGGTGTGAGAAGTTAGTTGAGCAATGGAAAGATTCCACTCCCAACCCATTTTAGTTCCTTTATGTCAGTTCATCCACATACCCCTTCTGGTTGTCCTGTCGGCCCACCTGCTAGATTAACGTGACTCAAATTTTAGGAGTCAATGTCTTTGGCCATACTGCAGGCGTTCAATTTAGTATGTGGCAAAATGAATTACCCGTACATGCCATGTAGATCAAACGTTCAAATTATGTGCAAAGCTAAGTTGCTTCAGGTTGCAGTATCTACTATTTTTAGTTAATTGCAGAACCTAATTTTCCATTTTTTTATAGATGTTATTGAGAAATCAGAAGGCATCTGAAGAATCAACGGTTAATCAGTACCTTGATGTACATAATTTAATTCCTTGTGGTGATGTGGTACGTAGATTAAGTATGTTCACATTATTATTTTTCCATAGAATTTTCCTTTTTATAGGAGATACTTTACCTGTTAGTTACTATGAGACTGCAAATAAGTTTTGATGACTAAGCTAGGGAATGAGATTTTCTTTGAGAAGTTGCCTTACTTTCTCCTTTCATTAGACTGTTAATACCTTCTTACAAATACTAATAGCCTGGTCTCAGATACATTGGGTTAGCATACAGTATATGCCTGTGATGCAGTTATAAAGGCACTGGTGTAACTTTGTAGTGCTTCATTGTGATTCTCATAGTGTTAACCTAGCATAGAGCTTCAAATCTTGGGCTGGAAATTGTATGAACAAGTAAGCAACATAGGTAACACAAGCAAGTACATTTTTCTTCTGCTTCTTGGAACCTAAAAAGAACTTAGCCACATTTGGTGTTGTTTTAAAAAGTAAAACTGATGTACACCACCACCTCATGCTACAACTGACATTAGAAAAAAGCTTCCATTGGTGCTCATGAAAAATCACCTCCATTTCGTGGCTGCATTTGTTCTTATGAAAAAAAAATTGTGTGTGGGTGTATGCAACTCCCCCATTTACATATGTTCGGTATGTGTGCAACTGTACACACGGGCATATATTTGTGACCGAAAAACTTCACAAAAAGGGGCAGAACAGGGTGTTTGTGGGTTTTTTCCTGGGGTGTTTCAAATATATGGTACGTGATTTCACTGATGTATGCGGTGTCTCAGAATGTAAATTGGGGGGTGCCTGAAAAGAAGGCAAGAGTATTGAGATGTGGCACAGACTAGTATCTCAAATTAAGAAGGACATGATGGTTGAATAAAACCACCTAATGTGAAGGACCATCTTTTTCTCTGTTAAGGGTGGAAGTACGTACAGATATCAAGAAACATGTAGATGCACCAAATTTCAATATGAATTGCAGTTCTAAATGAGGTCTGACGTACCTGAAAATTCCATAAATCCCAAGGCTGAAATCTTATGCTTACTAAGTCCTGCTGAACACAGTGGTACATACTTCCAAGTAAATATGCAGAGGAGCATGGTTCTATCTTGTCATCGTGTTGGAACATAAATCAGTGAGCTTATCTTATCGCATACACCCAATGCACAGAACACTGAAGCATTTGATTTCAGGGGGAAAACCATAGATAATTCCAGGAATTTGCCCTATACCTTAAAGCTTGTGTGTGACTGCAATGTGCTTTTTATAAGTTGTGGTTTTAATAAAGTTAATTTAGTCATAATATAACATTTCATATTTTAATAGAATGGCTTGTTGGCAGTTAGTGTGAAGCAGTGCAAAGATTTCACCCCCAAATGTATCCTTTTTCTGTTCTATTAACCCTGCAGTGGGAAGCATCTGGTAAGCCTATTTAGATCTTTGATGATCTCTGGTGAGCTAGGGACAAAGGTGAAAGCTGTAACCTAGTTCTGCTGGATCTCTCAGCAGCATTTAATACCATCGACCACAACAACCTTCTGGACTGTCTACAGGAGCTGGGGGCACGGTTATACAGTGGTTCCGCTCCTTCCTCCTGGAGTGTTCAGACCCCTGGGCTCTCACTTGTGGGGTGCCTCAGGGTTCCTTCTTCTCCCCCAAGCTTTTTAACATCTACATGCAGCCGCTGGGAGAGATCATCCTGGGGTTTGGACTGGGTGTTCATCAGTATCCAGATGATACCCAGCTCTACCTCTCTTTTAAATCGGAGGCAGTGAAGGTCCTGCGTGAGTGTCTGTAGGCAGTTGAAGAATGGATGGCGGCTAACAGATTGAGGTTGAATCCTGACAAGACAGAAGTACTGTTTTGGGGAGACGGGGCAGGTGGGTATGGAGGACTCCCTAGTCCTGAATGGGGTAACTGTGCCCCTGAAGGACCAGGTGTGCAGCCTGGGAGTCATTTTGGACTCACAGCTGTCCATGGAGGTGCAGGTCAATTCTGTGTCCAAGGCAGCTGTCTACCAGCTCCATCTGGTATGCCAGATCGGCGGGGTATTGATGATGAGGATGACAACAACAACAACAACAACAACAACAACAACAACAACAACAACAACAACATAACTAGGGAAATGATGCATAGGAAATCGCTCCCACAGCACCACCCCACAGATATAAACACTGGGAAATCTGAACATGGATCTCTATAAGTTACCTGCTTTAACCTTTATTCCCACTGCTGTCAATGAGACTTGTAGATACAAGCTGCTAACTAGATGTTGTAACTTGCTGCTCATAATTTTCTTTAGCACTATTACTCAATGCACATCTTCCTTTTATGGTCACTTGCCCACCAGAAAGATTTATGCTTCCTTAACATGAGATTCTTTCAGTTGATGTTAAACATGACACCTACTTACTGATTCGCATTAGCATCGATAAAATCATGAAATGCACAAATCCCCAAGTCTTCCGACCAAACAAGAAGCAAATTCCGATTAATTTCGGAGATGTGAGATATTTTTCTCTGAAGGTATGTTTCTGCTTTTCTTGTACTTCCATCTTCTTAAAGCTACCTGTCTGAAAATCTTAGTAGCTATTATTGATAGAACTGCTGTGATGTCAGAGAGGTCATAAGTGTGGGGAAGTGGCGGAGGACAGGATTCTTGTGCTTTTATTCAAGGCTGGCCCAAGACGTTTTGGCAACTGAGGCAAACCACAGAATGACGCCTCCCCACCCACCAGGGAAGAAGCGGGGAGTGGAGGTTTACATCAGGAATAGGCGGGGTAAAGATCTACTTTGGGAACAAGGGGAGAGTGAAGATCTGCTCTGGGGACAAGTGGGGAGTGCAGCGGCAGCAACAGCGGGTCATGTATTCCTTGTAGGCCAGATCTGCTGCCCTGCAGATCCTGCTACCAGAGGTGGTTGTTTCACTCTGTCTCATGGATGGCCCAGCCTGTGCTTTATTAGTTGTGCAGAAAAGGGAGTTCCAGGAGGTGTGCCTTGCATAAGAAACGCCACCTTCTGAAGTACCTTCTGCACAACTATTAAAGGTGTAGGGGCCCTGTGCTCTTCTCTTGGCCACTCCATAGGGGAAGCTTGGAAGCTTAAGTAGATAATCTTGTTTGTTTTATTTCACAACATAAATAGGATGGGACTGAAAAGATGGGCATGCAAATTTTTGGACTTGACTGTCTAGGTCAGCCAGAATTTGTGGACTCCTGTTTTTATTCTGGAGGTGGCTCCTGTGACACCTGTGCTACGAAGGCTGTTGCAAATAGGTTACATTTCCTGTAGCTTCTTTTAGGAATAAATTGTACTCAAGTTAATATGTTTACCCCATGTTTTGTTTTTCAGGTTCCAAAGCAGAGAAGTGATCCTAGGAATAGGATTACTTTAGAGCTGGTGGGCTTTGATGGTCCAAAAGACTTTCCAAGGCTCTATGGGAATGCAAACATGCATCTTTATGAAGTCATTCGAGTGAGTATAACAAAAAGAGATTCTCTTATATGTGGATTATACAGGTTATGCTTCGAAACAGAGGACCTTAAATACATATGAAATATTAATTCCTGTTGTAAAAATATTAATCTCTGCTAGGTGTTTTACATAATCAGTATTGATAAGTTATGTAACACTTTCCCTTAAATTCAAATAAACAATGCATAAAGGTTCCTCTTTCAGTCACTTGGTCACAGTGCAGGATTACTACCCTTTTCCATTCCCCATTTGGTGCCAGAGTTTAGGTTCTAAAATTCTAGCTGGGACATCCAAGTCTTTAAGGCAGAATTCAGCTAATTATTCCTGTCAGCAGAAGCCCATGAAAGGACGTCTGCTTGCACAACAGTGCACTCCCCAAAGAAGATTGGCTGGGTAGGTGGGTCTGGAGAACCTCTGGAACAGTGCACAGGGTAAGGAGAGCAGGCATCGTTCAGTTTGGCAAGCCAAAATGCTTACAATGATGGAACCATCAGAAGAGTGTGACTTTCGGAGACTTAATATTGCCTCCAAATTGAGGACTGGTACACCTCTGAATAAGGCATGCTTGATACAAGTAATAGGGGAAGGTTTAACACTAGAAGACATCTAGTTGACCGCTTTTGAAAACGGAAGGCTAATTTTGGTCTGATCCAGCTAGGCTCTTCTTTATACACTTAACAAACAGATAGCTCACTCATGGTTGTGCATATGCACCAGTTTGTGGAAACCAACCATTTATGTGTATCGGAGTTACAAATGTGGATTCATAATCAGAATATCCAGAATTACACCTGGCAACTGCAGTCTTTTCTAAACCTGCGGCCTTTCATTTGGAAATATTTGTTTCCTGAAGCCCTTAGGGAGGTATTCTTATATGCTAAATCCTTCAAAGACAGAGGTCCTCTGGCTGGTTCGGGATGGTATGGGGATGAGGGACCAACTCCCTTCTCTTGCGGGGGCCCAATTAGTGCCATTGCCTTCCGTTGAGAGTTTGGGTGTAATCCTTGACGCCTCCCTTTCCATGGAGGTGCAGGTTACAACAACACAGTGGCGTAGCGTGGGTTGTCAGCACCCGGGGCAAGGCAAGTAATTTGCGCCCCCTAACCCGTGGATTTGCGCCCCCTAACCCGTGGATTTGCGCCCCCTAACCTGTGGATTTGCCCTAACCCCAGATGTTGCGCCCGGTGCAGCCGGCCCCCCCTGCACCCCCCACGCTACGCCACTGCAACAACAGCCAAGGCGACATTTTTCCCCCTTCGCCACATCAAGCAGTTGGTCTCTTACCTTTCCTGCCCCGACCTGGCCACAGTGATCCATGCGATGGTTACCTCCAGGCTTGACTACTGTAATTCGCTCTACACGGGGCTGCCCTTGAAGCTGTCCCAGAAACTCCAGCAGGTGCAGAATGCTGCAGCGAGGCTCCTCACAGGGTCTCTGCCATGGGAGAATATTCACCCAGTGCTTTTCCAGCTGCATTGGCTCCCGGTGGAGTACAGGGTCAGATTTAAGGTGCTGGTTTTGACTTTTAAAGCCTTTCACGGCCTAGGACCCTCATACCTACGGGACCGCCTCTCCTGGTATGCCCCATGGAGGACCTTAAGGTCCATAAATAGTAACAACCTAGAGGTCCCGGGCCCTAAGGAAGTTAGATTAGCCTCAACCAGAGCCAGGGCCTTCTCAACACTGGCTCCTGCCTGGTGGAATGCACTGTCTCTTGAGACCAGTGCCCTGCGGGATCTGATCCCTTTCCTCAGGGCCTGTAAGACAGAGTTGTTCCACCTGGCCTTTGGCTCAGAATCAGTTTGATTCCCTCCCCCTCTTTCTTTTTCCTTTCTCCTCCTGTGAAGAGATTGCTCCCTAATTGTTTTAATGTTGTATCTTAATCTTTTAAATTGTATTTTAATCAACTTGTTTTTATTATTGGTTGTTAGCCGTCCTGAGCCTGGTCTTGGCTGGGGAGGGCGGTGTATAAATAAAATATTATTATTATTATTATTATTATTATTATTATTATTATTATTATTATGCAACGGCCACAGCTCAGACTTTGGTGGCAAAGGGGTGGAAGGAACAAGAAGCCACGACAATCACGGACTGGCATTACAAGCTACAATAATTTGCTGAAATGGCACAGTTAACAAATACCCTGAGAGGCAATTCAAAACAAAAAAATATGGAAAAATGGGATAGATATAAAACAGATGTTCAAAAATACAGTAAAGGTTCACTATCTATGCTAGCATTTGATTGACATTGGAGTTAGGCTGAGTTGAGAAATAAGACTAAGAGCACATAATGATATAGGAATGTATTAGATAAAATGTAAAGAAGTATACAATAATAAGAGTACATTCATTTGTAAAAAAGGAATATACAATGGGATAGACAGGAAGTCTAGTGTGTGTATATGATTTGGGGGGGAATGTTTTTGTTTTTTCTCTTGGTTCTTTTTTTTTTTGTTTGTTTCATTTTCTTTCTAGGTATATAAAATTTGTATATAATTTTTGTATACATGTTGGAAATTATAGTAAGTCCTGTAATGTAATATGACATCGTTTACAGATGTAATATAAGAATGTTAACAAATAAATAAAATGCAAATTCAAAAAAAAATATGGAAAGATTTGTTTCATGATCTTTATGTAGTGAACAGTAGAGAAGCTCTCGAATTGTTTGTATTCTTCTCTCCCATTCAGAAACAGTCCTTCATTGAAACATGTGCTTTTAGAATCAGAAATATGGTAAGACATTTTTGTTAATTGCATGTTGTACAATGGTTGTAAAAAAAACCCCACACAACCTATCTTAAGTGCCTCGTCTAATTTGAACTGCAGCTTTGTAATTGAGGGAAAGCTTCAAATCATTGCACTGAGGATATGTGAGAGGGAAAGAGAGAGACTATTGATTAGAGCTGCTGTCTATAAATCTGGATAATTGAAAGCGGAGCCGCAAGGTTTCTGCTGGTTGTGTTTCAAACCACTCTGGATTACTTGCTGCCAGTCAGTGTAGAGGACAATACTGAGTTAGATGGATCAATGGTCTGACTCAGTATGAGTCATCTTCCTATGTTCTTGTGACCTAGTAAATTTCAGACCCAAGTGAACAAACTCTTCTGTAGCCCTTTTTTCTCTGTAAACATGAAACCGACTTGATTAGAAGCTTTGTGTTTATAAGCAGAGGAGGTTATTGGTAATGAATTTTTGTGCTTATCTTGCTTTTATTGGTGTGTGCATAATTGTAAACAGCAGCACAGGAACTCACGGAGACAGCAAGAAAATGAAGAATACTATTATAGTCACAGCCTTGTTTTTTACTGTGTATGTATTTTAAAAGGAGTAATGTCACAATCTGTTGTTCAATATTTTTAAACCACGTTGTTGAACACTTTCTGTATTTTTTGCTCTATTGGACGCACCGGACCATAGGACGCACCGGACCATAGGAGGGGGAGAACAGGAAAAAAAATTTTTTTTCTTGTTCTCCCCCTCTAAAACAAGGTGCGTTCTGTGCGTTCACGCGAAGCCTTCTACATGTGAGGAAACAGCTATCCCAATTACCTCAGAGCAACCATGTATTCACAGGAGTGCACAAAGTTTCCCTAACTGGTTCTCTCAGGAATGACAATAGCAGGCATATGGAACAATTCCTAGGTAAAACTCTTTGAATAAGTAATGTAACTGCTGACCAGCTCAAATTCCTCCCGTGCTAAACTACCCCCCAAAATGTGCAGCCCACTGCAAGGCTCTGGAGGCTTTGGGTTCCTTTCAACCTGCTCTTTGGGGCTGGCGGGGGGGGAGCGCTGCTTTCCCCCACCGCCAGCCCCAAAGACCAGGTCGGGGAACAGCAGGAAGGCGGCGCTCCGCCTCCCCACTGTCCCCCGAGCTTGTGGGGCTGGCGGTGGGGAGAAGCGCTGCTTTCCCCCACCGCCAGCCTCCAAATCAGGTCGGGTTTGGAGGCTGCTATCCGCAAGCCTTGGGAGCCCGACGGGAACTCCCGTCGGGCTCCCAAGGCTTGCGGATATATGACCGAAGCCCGAGGTGCACTGTGCAGTGCTCCCTGGGCTTCGGGATGCAGGCTGCTATCCGCAAGCCTTGGGAGCCCGGCAGGAGTTCCCGCCGCGCTCCGAAGGCTTGCGGATAGCTTCCTGAAGCCTGGAGAGTGAGAGGGGTTGGTGCACACTGACCCCTCTCACTCTCCAGGCTTCAGCGAAAGCCTGCATTCGCTCCATAGGACGCACACACATTTCCCCTTCATTTTTGGAGGGGGAAAAGTGCATCTTATAGAGCGAAAAATACGATGCATTTTAGATGTTAGGTTTCTGTGGGCTGTGCAGCAGTATTTCACCTTTCAGAAACTCTCACCTTGGACTCCGTTCTTTTTGAGTATTTCTGACTCTCACCCAGTAGTTCCTTAAGCTTTTTGAAATCAGCCTTTGTAAAGTCAAGAGTGCATATCCAGCTACTCTCAGGCTCCCCTTGTCTGTGTATAACGAAATCCAAGAGGATATGATCACTTCCTCCCAAAGTTCCCAACACTTCCACTTCACTGATCAGTTCCTCCCTGTTGGTGAGGACCAAGTTCAGGATAAGATGATCCCCTTGTTGTTTCTTCCACCTTTCATTCCTCGGCTGCTTATGCAAAAGTTTGCAGACCAACATTAATGCAGCTTCTTTGTTTGGGTCCTGGCTATACGGATGCGGAACTGAGCTTGTTATTACTATTTCTGCATAGTTTTCCTTTTTGTTTAATTGCTGTTGCAGGGAAGGACTTACCATGGATTTTTTAAAAAAACTCAATAATTCTGTGCTGCTTATACCTGTGATTGCTTGCCATAAAATAACTTTTAATTTAATTTGCAATGGGAATTATGCTAAGAAGGGATTTTTATACCTACAGGTGTTCTGCACAGCAGAAGTGGAATATATGTTCTGCTATGGATGTCTTGGATATGGATATTCACATCAGGTCTTGTCTCTCTTTGCTGAAGTAGATGATTTGAATTTGAATCACAAGGCTGAAAGGGACCAGAATATCACGAAGCCTAGCACCCCTCCCATGTACCGTAAATTACTTTCCAGCCCACAGATCAACTCACAGAATATTATTTGTAGTGTTTTATAGGCAGAGAGTGAGGAAACGAGATTCGCCATGCTAAAGATTGCCATTCCTTAAACAGTTCCAGATGGTTCAGTAGACATCCTAGGGAAGATTCCTTCTCAGTCTCATATTATGAGTGAATTCAGGAAGCACCATCAGGTCTATGCTATCCAACATTCTGCCTCTTAAAAATGTTTTCTAACTTAAACTGCCCAAGTTGTTTGTTTGCTTATTTTAAACAAACTTCTGATTGTGTATTACAAAATGAGGCAAGGAGACCTGGCAGTGCAGTATAATTTTACTGTACAGAACAGAGATGAAAATGAGGTCTGTTTTTCAACCATAAAAGGTCCTATCAAGGTCGGTCTAATTCACTCCCAACTAGTCACAAACTGGAAAAGCAAAATGAATAGTGTACACAGACACATAAAGCGGGGTGATTACTTTCTCTAATGAGCTAATCACGCCCAGACTGGGTGGATGAATGATGGCATTTGGGGTACAGCCGATGTATATTTATTGAGAAGTCAGCGGTCCTCATGCATGCATGTCTTTTGCAGCATCTGCACGACGCCATTGACTTCAAAATGACGGTCCATTTAATCTGGGTTGACCCTTTCTGGAGGAAATATGATAAGGTTTTTAGTTTAATCCACCCAGTTTGCCATTTACCCTGTTGCAATATCTCAGTGACATGTTTGTCATTTAAGCCCCTATCCGGAAGCCACTCTTGCTTTTTGAGACAGAACTTTCAGCTCCTTTCAAGCCTCTATTGAAGTATACGTCTACTCTTCCCCGCTTGCCATTAATTCTGTCTCCCATAGAGACAACCAGATAATAACCCATGAAAAGGGTCTACAATTCCATAACAGCTCCCTGTGAGTAGGAACAGAATTGCAAGAATACTTCGGACAATGAGTAGCTATAGGAACTTTGCCTGTCTCCCATGCATAATCAGGGGGCAGAGAGACTATTGGAGTTCATGGAACATAATCTGAAGTACCACTTTATGCTATGTTTTATTAGCTATCCCAGCATTCATCCTTATTGATTGCCATAAATGGCTTTGTTTTGCAGCTGAAACTGCCAGGTGCAGATCCTGCAAAGGCTGTGGCATATTCCATGTTTCTGCGGGTTCCCCCTCCTGAAGACAGAAGAGACACTATAAGGCAACAATTCTTGACATCTAACTAGATTTGTTTCAATATGTAATGGACTCTGTTTTATAATGCTATGCATACAGTCAGTGATATGTTTTAGCATCGGAACAACATGGTGATATCTAATGTTAGCCGTACTCAGAGTAGACCCATTGATTTAAGACCACTGATTTCAATGTGCCTACTTTGAACATTACTTAGCTGGATATCACCCACAGGGTTTTAGATGTATGCAGATATGAGGGTCTGTTTACATCTTACGGTGGAAATGAGTTCCCATTTCAAATTATGGGATTCCAATGGGATGTATCCAGCTAAGTCATACATTGAAATCAGTGGATCTACTTTGAGAATGACTTGGTCAGATACAGCACAATAAATATTCTGTCTCACACACTCTCCTTTCATTAGGTATATGTGAAGACTTGGGAGGGTGCAGTTCTTGTGCAAAACCCTAGCAGAACTAGGCAACCCCAAAGTCTATGTGAAACAAGGGTTTACCTGAATGTTGCCACGGAAATTTCTGATGTATTCTGGCTTTGTCTATCATAAAATCTTAACTCTAGAACACTTACCTTACGTCTGAAAACTACCAGATTACTACACCAAACCAGGATAATCTGCTCCACAGGTGGGGCAAGGCTGCTGGTGTATTTTGCCCACAGAGGCTTCCCCTTTGCCCCACTTTTCTTTTTCCCAGCTCCCTCCCCTCTCTTACCTCTGGCTGCTGTGTGTCTGTATCTGTGTGTGAAAGAGTGAAGGGGGACAGTGCATGTAAGTGCAAGCCCACTGCCCATTGCCAAATGCTGCCCTTAGCTCACCCCCGCTGCCTTCGCAAAACAATTTAAGCCCGTAAGTTACAGCACAGTGTGCAGCAGCCAAGCTTCAGAGACTCTTCCACGGGCACTTCCAGGCTGTTGCTATTTTTGAGTGGTGTATCGGCAAAGGGCTTGCACACCTTTACCTTTTGCCCTGCTCTTTCCAGGGACAGGCCCACACTTTAAAACCCTGTGTGCAAGTGCTGCGTTTTTCTTTATGCCCCAGAGCTTTCCCCACAAGAGCTGCTCCCTGCTCTTTAAAACTGAATTGGAGCAAACAGTGATTTGGGTTTTCCATGGATTGTTGTTTGCTCCGATTCAGCTTTAAAGAGAGGGTTTTCACAGGGAAAGCTGGGGGGGGGGCACTTGGACATGGAACTTTGCAGTGGAGACTGTGCCTGGAAAGATAAGTGTGGATAAGGTTGTGCGATTAAAGCAGTTTGTTCTTGTTCAAAGCAAACCTCCCCAAAATCCGACTTAGTGATAAGGATAAATGCAGTGGAAAGTGAGGATAACATTTGCTAGATGCAATGTCATATAACCTCACTACAGACAAATCAAAATGACTGCTCAGTAAAAAGCTGTTGTTGTCTAGGCTCCTCACAGACTTTGTGCTAACAAATCAGGATGAATACTCAATAAACAGATGGACTGTGTATAAGTTCTGGTTTATATGGTTCCAATTGGTGGCTGAGAGAATAGCCACATCCCAAGGATGCTACAAGGTTTTGTATTTCACACAAGACTCCCCACTTGTGTCCAGTGAAAGAAACCTTCTATGAAAAGTCCTTACCTGGCTTCCTGTTTCAGCATTTGGCAGTGGCGCTTAATGGATAAAGTTTTGTTCATCAGCAAAGAAATGAAATTCTTGTCTAACTTGAACATGCAGTCATGAGACATCAGACCTCTACAAATCTGGTAGTGTCAAAGGAGCAACTGCTTCCTTCTCTCCATGAGCCATGCTGTACCCAGACTGTTGAGAATTGCATAGATTCAGCCACACATCCGTGATCTCTGCAAATTGCAGAGCACCCAGGCAAAAAAAAATTCTTCCTGCCTGCTCCAAAGCTCACCTTAGCATGAACCCTAATATGCTCCTTCGCTGAAACAAAAAGGATGTATATAAACTCAAATAACCTTCCTTTTTCCTTAACTTTTTTTACTTCTGAATCAAAATCATATTGAAACTTATTTTTCTTGCAAATATATAGGGGACTTCAGCAACAAGGGTGACCATCAGAGTAGCAGCCCATGTGGCAGGGTGAAGGGGGAGAATCTTTCCATTGTGATCATCTCCATAGGCAACATTTGAATGCCTTAGTTTTTCTTTTCTCTCCCCCCCAGCAATGCCATCAAGCCACTGCGCCTGGATTACCCTGCCTTCTTATCTCCAGACTTGAATGTTTCAGTGGCAAAGATTCATCTGGAGAAACCAAAACCTTCAGAGCACTACAAAAGCCTTCAGGAGGCTTTGCATCAGCCACCCCGAGAAAGGCAAGGACGTAGGCAACAGGTTTTTTTAAAAGTATATATTAATGTATCTAACATTTGTTATACAGTGAGGGGGGGGGAGTATTTGATCCCCTGCTAAATTTGCCCGTTTGCCCTCTGACAAAGAAATGACCAGTCCGTAATTTTAATGGTAGGTTTATTGCAGCTGTGAGAGACAGAATAACAACAGGAAACCCCCCAGAAACCCAGAAGACAAAAGTCAGAGATTGATGTGCATTATAATGAGTGAAATAAGTGGTCCCTCAGCACTACATTCTGGAAATAGCCCTCCATGCAGAAGTGGAACGATCCTGGTATGGGCGCTGCCATCCTAGAAGCTGAACCCTGTTCAGAAGCAAACCATGGTCAAAGGCAGCCAAGAGGCCTAGGAGAATTAATAAGCTTGCACTTAGGTCATCCTTTTTGGGCAGCCTGTGCAGTTTCTGTACAGAAGCAAGGCATTTGAAATTCGATTGATACGGTTCCAGATAATTTCATGGAAAAGTGACTGGCGGTGGCTGGGATTTCTGATCTGACATTATTGATTACAGTCTTTCTTTTATACATGGTAGGTTTAGTTGTTAATAACATCCTCTAATGTTTTCATCTATTATCATACTGTAGTTGGAAAATACTATAGGACAGTTAATCTGAGGCTGCAAGCCTAGCCCCGGAAGCAAACCCCATGAAATCCAGTAGGATTTAGACGTGGTTAGGATTGTGTTGTAAATTATCAGCCGCCTTATCTATAAGCAGTTAAGTAAGAGCAACCAAAAAATTGGCTTTAAAACAGATCTGTTCCAATAACCTCAGTAGTATTGGTCTACTTTCCCTCCAGGTAATAGCTTATTGCAAGATTGTGAAGTGAACTGGTCATTGCAGTAGAGTTAAAGGGGGCTTAGTTTCAGCTATTTCAGTTTAACTTCACCATGGATTGTATAAACATGTAATGTCATTTTTTTTGTGTTAGCTGATGGCAAAGAAATATGCATATTGGATATTTCAGTACTATTAAACTAATTCCCACCCACCCCTTGCTCTTTAGACTGGAGAAACTGAAAACTGAATATCGGAATCTAAAAACATGGCATGAAAAGGCAGATTATTTAGATCAACTGATCTTAAAAAAGGGACCAAAAGTAAAACCAGGCCAAACAAAGGTAATTTCCTTTTCAAAGAAAGACAAATAATGTGCGACTGACTAGGGGCAAAACCTCATGGGAAAGGCAGTTGTTTATTTTTCATTTTTGTACAAAGGGGAAGAATTATTATTTATTACGAAACCCAAAAGCAATTGCAGGCCGCTGAAATGGGAAGTGGAGGTCTTTTTTTCTTCTTTTTTTTAAGTATTAAAGGTTTTCTTGAGTTACAAAAGAACATGCAGTGTCTCTGTTTTCCTTTCATAGAATCTTTATATTCGATGCGAGACACTAATGTTCTAGGCAGTATAAGGTTGGGGAAGAAGGTTGGTAGTTATAGAACAGCCCTGCCACACATAGGCCTCCAGAAATCCCCTGTTAAAAGTACAGGAGCCCAGTCATCTTCTGCAGTTGGCCACCCTAATTAAGAGTCTCCTCCAAAGTGCTACTTCCCTTTCCCATTGCATTTTTATAGCTTCCGCTCGGTCCCTACTCCTGCCAACCTAGCAGATCGAAAGCACGTCAAAGTGCAAGTAGATAAATAGGTACCGCTCCAGCGGGAAGGTAAACAGTGTTTCCATGCGCTGCTCTGGTTCGCCAGAAGCGGCTTAGTCCTGCTGGCCACATGACCCGGAAGCGATACGCCGGCTCCCTCGGCCAATAAAGCGAGATGAGCGCCGCAAGCCCAGAGTTGGTCACGACTGGACCTAATGGTCAGGGGTCCCTTTACTCTTTTTATCCGGCACAACAAATCACAATTGGATTTAATTGTTAAGGCTGTTAAGTGGCAATCTTGGAAACAAGGCAGAATTCTGGTCCCAATGCTAATTATCACAGGAAGGAGAATGGTCTGTACTTGCAAGGACTGCATGCCTATTTCTAACTGCTCTCCCCTCCCTATCAGGTATCTCGCTTCAAGGAAGCTGTTGGGAAAATACAACGCCCTCAAGCATCTACGGTTTATACCTCCTCAGGTTTAGTGAACACTCAAATATTTTCCTGTTCATCTTGAGCGGAGACTAGAAGGGCCAGTGGGTTAATTTTCTAACCTTTACAGTGCAGCATATACAGTGGTACCTCGGGTTAAGTACTTAATTCGTTCCGGAGGTTCGTTCTTAACCTGAAACTGTTCTTAACCTGAAGCACCACTTTAGCTAATGGGGCCTCCCGCTGCTGCTGCGCCGCCGGAGCACGATTTCTGTTCTCAGCCTGAAGCAAAGTTCTTAACCCGAGGTATTATTTCTGGGTTAGCGGAGTCTGTAACCTGAAGCGAATGTAACCTGAAGCGTATATAACTCGATGTACCACTGTACTGGTATTTGCAAAAGTTCCAACGTTCAATATTACCTTGTGTGAAAATGGGGGAGGGGGAAGAATTGCCCCATGGCTGCTGACAGAAGACGTTCAGTCCACCAAGTTCCTCCCCGGAAGTCCTGACCAATTGATTACCATATTGTCACTCAAGGTGACAGCATGGAGTGTTTGAACACTGAAAAGGGACTGCTTTTTAAGAGGATGCCTATGAACTTCAATGCACTTATGAGTTCATGGTGCATAACCATAATGTGCATTTGCATTAAAAAAAGATCCATAAAGCATTTATCCAGCATAAGGAACTTGGTGGTCTTGCTATGCAACTAGTATTTCCTTTTTTAGTATCTTACAATATAACTTTCTAAAAATTTCTCCCACCACCTGCAGTTTCAGAGGTAATGTCTCATGAAAACGTAAGCTCATTCGCCAGAGAAGACGTGAAGGTGTGTGTTATTGATAGATTGCTTCATAAAATTACACCACTGTGGTACCCCTACAGCTAAAGAGGTTACTGTCAATAATACTCCCACATATTTTAGAAACTATAGTATATGTGCAGGGCCTTATATGTACAGGACTATAGTGTATGTGGGGCTAAATGCATCTCTCTCTGGTCCTCAGAACTCTCAGTGCCCATTGCCCCAGACCACACCTCTCAACAGCCCTGCTTGACTGCTTTTGTCTGGCTGGAATGGGCAATAATGCTTTAATGGATGGAGAGATGGGTGTGCAAAAGCTAGGGGTGTCAGAAGGCATTGTTTTCTGTCCTTCCCTGTGTTTACTGCATGCCGCGCTGTTTCTGTTCTACAGCGTTTTGTCTTCCACCCAAAACCACGTTATTTGCCCCACTGTCTGTCCACTTTGGCAAAATTACTGTATTTTTCGCTCTATAGGACGCACTTTTTCCCCTCTAAAAATTAAGGGGAAATGTGTGTGCGTCCTATGCAGCGAATGCAGGCTCCTTGGCTTCAGCGATAGCAACACGAAGCCTCCAAAGCGCAGAGGGAGCGCTCCCTCCACGCTCCGGAGGCTACGCGTTGCTTTCGCTGAAGCTTGGAGAGCGAGAGGGGTCGGTGCGCACCGAACCCTCTCACTCTCCAGGCTTCAGGGATAGCCGCCTGAAGCCTTTGGAGCGCAGCGGGAACTCGCGCTGCGCTCCGAAGGCTTCAGGTTCCTTTTGCTGAAGCCGGGAGAGCAAGACTTGACCATTGGACTCACTATTGGTCTTGTACACTCAATCTGCCAGACCCTGTATTCTCATGCAGGAGACCCATTGGCTCCCCTCACTTAGTTTAGCCGGCCAGTCGAAGCCGTTTGCAGGATGTGGCTGATTTTGCATGCTGACTGCATGTAGGGGCCACAGGTGAGAACTGAGTGCAGGGTGGGGACCAAAGGGGGACATACCACCCAAGAAGGAGCACAATGTGTCCCCTTCCAGAGGTATGAGCCATATACCCCAAGCAGTGTATACAGTGGTACCTCGGGTTAAGTACTTAATTCGTTCCGGAGGTCCGTACTTAACCTGAAACTGTTCTTAATCTGAAGCACCACTTTAGCTAATGGGGCCTCCCGCTGCCGCTGCGCCGCCGGAGCACAACTTCTGTTCTCATCCTGAAGCAAAGTTCTTAACCTGAAGCACTATTTCTGGGTTAGCAGAGTCTGTAACCTGAAGCGTATGTAACCTGAAGCATATGTAACCCGATGTACCACTGTATTTCATTGAAATTAAGACCAGTAGCTATAAAAAGACTACATTTTAGTACACTAGTGTTGGTGATGATTATTGTTATTTGCAGAAATGGACAAGTCAACTGTCTGCTCTCTCATCACGACCTTCTGGACCTGTGCCATCCCGCAGAAACTTATTTTCATCAGAACAGATTCCTCAACCTGCTGAAACAACCCCACCTGTCCCAGCGCTGACTGTAACCCCTAACCCTATGAGTTCTCCAGTATCTTCAGATGGAGAGAACATGAAAGACATGGTTGTAAGAGAACAAGTTCATTCTGACTCTTCAGATGGAGAGAATATGAAGGACTTAGTTGTAAGAGAAAGACTTCATCCTGCGTCTGAAACCTCTCTGTCAAGTTCCGTTGGAAGCGCAGCAAAAACTTCTGAGGCTAGGGATTCAGAAAGCCTTGCTTCTTTAAGTCCTGAGAGGAAAGTGACAGAAGAGGAAATACCTGTCATAGTCAAAAAACCACCTATTAAAGAGTATCTGCCAGAACCAATACAGGTAGCTGATGGTTATATGTAACATATTGTTTCACTTTCCCCTCCCCAGGGGATAATGTGGGTTATTCAGCTTTCTCCTTCTCTAATGGGCAAGCTGTTTGGAGCTTTGAGGTTACCATTCTTGCTCTTTTGAAGCCATAGGATATAATTAATAGATGCGTTCTTACAGTGGGGTCAAGGGTAGCAACTGTAATGATGATCCACATCAGACTTTTACTGTAAATATGCTGTACGCCAAGGGATCCTCCAGACAATCTGTTTGTTGGTATTCATCTGGATTTGCTTGCAGAATACCTACGTAAGTGGTGATTAGACTGTAGACGCTTTCAGGCTTTTTCAGTCACATACCAGTGCAAATTCTGGTTGTGTATTTGGGGTGTCTTGAGCAACAAAGCCCACATCCCCACAAAGATCATACTTTTTGCAATAAGAAAATTGACAGGAAAGTAAATGGAAAATGTGGGCAGCACTTGCTTTGACACAACATTGTCTAGCCTCCCTGCAAACAAATCAGGATAAATGCTCAATAAACAGGTCAGAAATTGACAATGAGCATTCATCCCGATTTACTTGCGGTGTTTACGTGTCTTCCTGTTAACCACCCATTCATCCCACCCTTTGCAGTGAATTTCCCAGTCACTTTCCAAACAGCAAAATGTCCAATTGGCAGGACGATTTGTTAAAGTAGAACCTTTCGAGCCTGTGAAAATGGGAATTTGCTCCATTCTGACCGACTTTGCATGGTGATGTTCTACCTAGCTGCACTCTGCCAGCAGACGTTCTTTTGCACACTCATTTTGCATTCTTACTGTTACTGTGATTTATAAGAGTGAATAACTATCTTTTTTCTTCTTCTTGATGTATCCCCTCTGAAATTACAAAGGAATCACAGCCTAAGTCTGAAGTTTCTGTGAGTGTCTCACCTCAGTTTGTGGCACCTCCTAGACCATCAGGTAAATTGACATAACTTTTCGAATAGTAATCATCAGCTTCCAGGTGGTTGGGTTCTATATAAAATAAGGCAAAACATGATATGCCAAGGACCACAAGGGGAAAAAAGGCTTTTCACACGTTCACAACCTACTTTTAAAACCTCGCTTGGCCTGGTGCTTGGGTTCAAGAAACAGAAAGAATATCGCCTATAGGAAGCCAACAAACTTTTGTTAAATATGTATACTGTGTGTTGTCTCTATGACCATATTTACGCAAAAAAACTCAATGGTTGTCTGGTGGGCACACCTCAACAACTCTGAGCAAAGCATGAAGCTTTGTCCCCCAAGGAACAACTTCTGGCAAGAAAAAGAAAAAGATTAACAAATGAACTAACACTAGGCTGAGGAGAAACGTACAAGGGAGCTCTGGTGAATGTGACTATCAACCCGGGGCGGTTCCACTATGAAATTAATGAAGCTTAATTCTAGAGAACTACATTCCACATTGCTTAAAAAATGTGGGTCTAGTGGGTCTTTTGTTGTATATATTTCAACAATCCCAAAGTTTGAGAGTCAGTAGCACAGATGTTGTAGAGGTGTGGTGGTCTGTCGTGGAACAGTCCCACTGAATAAGATAACAGTGGTTATCCAAACCTCGTTGCTGGTTGTGAAGGGTCCTCCATGACAGTTCAAGCTTCAGGGCCCCCTAGATGTTAAGTCCACCACTGCTGTTGACAAAGGCAGGAGCGAACTGCATCATGAGAACAGTCTACTTCCTAAAGTGTTCCTCCTGCCTTCATCCTGCGCTTTGAGCCAGCACCCAACCTGAGAGCACTGCAATGCCAGTGAGTAACTTATACTTAAGTTTGCTACCTGCTGTACTTTTCAAAGCATGGGTTATGAATGTGGCTTATTACAATGATTACCATATTTTTCGCTCTATAAGACCATAAGATGCACCTAGTTTTTGGAGGAGGAAAACAAGAAAAAATAATATTCTGAATCTCAGAAGCCAGAACAGCAAGAGGGATCGCTGCGTAGAGATCCCTCTTGCTGTTCTGGCTTCTGGGATAGCTGCGCAGCCTGTATTCGCCCCATAAGACGCACACACATTTCTCCTTACTTTTTGGGAGGGGAAAAGTGAGTCTTATAGAGCAAAAAATACGGTAGTTTGCTTTAAATGAGGATTCCTTGTTTAAACATGGCACCCAGCTAATAAGACTTTTCAAAAGTGAAACTAAACTTGGCATAAATATTTTCCCTGACCATGCGAGAGAAGCACTTAAGACTAGTGGCTGGGGAAACCCAACCAACCAGATGGGCAGGGTATAAATAAATATAGCTACTACTACTACTACTACTACTACTAGCACTTTCCTCAGACTTATTGAGGCTCATCAGTATAGGGCTAAACCAGTGGTTCTCAAACTTTTTTCTTTGGGCCACACTTACAGAACAAAAATTTGCTTGCTCCACACCATTTTTTATTGATAAGAAATACATTTGAAAGCAAAAAGAAATGACTCTTAGCGGTGCTTGATTCTGATAAGCGATCTGGATTGGAATGGACACTGAAATATTTAAATGTTTCTTTGATTATCCTTGAATGTTCCTGCTACAGTTGCAGTCCTAACCATACCACACCTTCGAGAACCACTGAGCTAATCCATTATTTAATGTTACATGCAAACACAGCCTATATTTCCATTTCTCCTCCTGTCTTTCTTTCCCAGAGGTAGGATTGCTGATCTCCCGTCCTTTGGATCAGGAAACATTAGAGGCAGAAAAGCCATTTCCATAAGACTATGCAGAATTGCAGGATTCTTTTATAGATACCTCTGCAGTAAGAAGAAACTGATAATCAGGGAACTCTCATGACAGGACTAATTATACAGAAAGCATATATAGGAAATTCTACAGGGGTATTGGAAGAGAATATCAAGTTGGCAGTCTTGCCTTTGCTATCAAGCCAAAGTAGAGAGATTGGATGTTTGTGCGCTAACTGCTGCAAAGTGTTTAGAAGTTCCTCCTTGAAAAAGAAAGGGGTTGCCTTAGTCAGAGGCCAAAATATATTGCAGTTATACATATTGGCAAAACCTGTTTGGTGTTTCGCAACTTTCTGACTAGTTGCAGGACCTTAGCCAGACCTAGCAGAGTAAACGCAGAATCCACGGAAGCAATCGGAAACTTGGCTGCAGACAGGATAGACGAAGCAGGAACCAGGAACGTGTAGTTAGGTGTTTATTATATACAGTGGACTATTTACAGGAACAGAACACGGATCTTTTGCTAGCACTCTCTGACACGACTCACAACTCCTACACTGACACACAGAACTCTGAACACTGAACTAACACACTCCAGTTAGTAGGTCATTAATTATCACTCCCTTGAGAGAGCTTGACCAATCATGGAGCTGTCTCCATGCCTCTGTTATCACCAGGCAGACTTACTCCTTCAGATTGCCTTCTGGCTGTTTGCCAAACCTTAATTGACTCTGTGTGAGTAGCTGCACATACACAGTTTCCCAACAATACATAATTTCCTCATATAGAGGTAGTCATAATTGTGTCCTCTACCTTGTGTTGAACTACATATCCCATTACCCTGGCCATTGGCTATGCTGGCCAAGGGCTAGGAATGGGCATATCTGTTAATCTAGACTTCTCTCCGTTTCTCATTCTTCTAATCCTAAATTCAGCTTTCCACATCATTTTGCAGATTTTTAGTCCGCACTAGAACTCATTAGCATTTCAGTGAGAATTTCTAATATACACATTTTTACTAAGCATATTTCCCTTAAATGTTTCTATTTTCCCTGTTTTTTACATTATTTTTTCACTAATATGTGCCTTATTATTATTATTATTATTATTATTATTATTATTATTATTATTATTATTATCCCACTCTGCTCTCTGTGGTCATTTATAGAAGTGACAGTGTCTTTACTGAATTCCATGACAAAATAACTCATTACTCAAATGATTTGGTCTATTTTGCTGGGGAGTGTTGTGCATTATTAATTTATACTAAGTAAAATTAAATACCAGATTTCACAACTAAAAATGTGTTGCTCTTCCATTTGTTGCTCTTTAATATTTTATTTTTCTTGCTGATCCATCCTAGATTCAGTTGTTGAACCAGTACAGCAATTGCCTTGGAAATCTATGGTAAGGAATAACTCGTTAAGCACTGCTCCGATAGCATATAATACAGTTAAGTGAATTTGGTGATGTCTGTGTAATGATGGCAGCATCATGCAAGGTTTCTTATCTACCTCATTAGTTTGTGATCTGTTGCAGAATACAGCACGAGGAGTTGGTACAATCTCGCTTCCTATCATTCCCTGCATCTGCTTATATATCCACTTGCCAGGGATAGTTAGTACCTCTTTAAAAGACACTTTGGGTTCATTTGGAAAATGTTTTGTGCTGACACACTTGTCACTTTCTCTTCCTCCTCCTTGGTTATTACAGCCCTGGTTTTTCTGCTTTAAAAGAGAACAGGTAGATTGGGGTGGGTATATATTTATGGGTGGTCTTTGAGCACTGGAGTCTCTCGCTATTGCCACATTGCTAATTCCTTTAGTTAATTTTGTTTGGTGGAGAAGAGGCTTGTTTATGACTTTCAGCATTCTGATCTACAGTCCTGATTTCCACCTTTCCCCTACCTTTTTTCTTGGCAAAGCCCCTTCAAGGTTTGGCTGGATATGACATTTCCCATGGGGAACTCAGCTGAGTAGTTCAACTGATCACAGGGAGCTTGCTCTCACCACAGGTCAGCTATTAGGTCAGGGGTAGGCAACCTAAAGGGATGCGGGTGGCGCTGTGGGTTAAACCACAGAGTCTAGGATTTGCCAATCAGAAGGTCGGCAGTTCAAATCCCCGCAACGGGGTGAGCTCCCGTTGCTTGGTCCCTGCTCCTGCCAACCTAGCAGTTCGAAAGCACGTCAAAGTGCAAGTAGATAAATAGGTACCGCTCCGGCGGGAAGGTAAACAGCGTTTCCGTATCCTGCTCTGGTTCGCCAGAAGCGGCTTAGTCATGCTGGCCACATGACCCAGAAGCTGTCTGCGGACAAACGCCGGCTCCCTCGGCCTATAGAGCGAGATGAGCGCCGCAACCTCAGAGTCGGTCACGACTGGACCTAATGATCAGGGATCCCTTTACCTTTTTAGGCAACCTAAGGCCCGGGGGCAGGATGCAGCCCAATCGCCTTCTCAATCCAGCCTGCGATCGGTCCAGGAATCAGCATGTTTTTACATGAGTAGAATGTGTCCTTTTATTTAAAATGCATCTCTGGGTTATTTGTGGGGCCTGCCTGTTGTTTTTACAAGAGTAGCCAGTGTGTTTTTATTTAAAATGCATCTCTGTGTTATGTATTTGTGGGGCATAGGAATTTGTTCATTTATTTATTTATTTTCAAAATATAGTCCGGCCCACCACATGGTCTGAGGGACAGTGGACCGGGCCCCGGCTGAAAAAGGTTGCTGACCTCTGGGTTAGGCACAAGCAACAAACCTCCTTTGCCCCTGCACAATCAGGGGTGCACATTAAGGCTCCCAATTGTGCATTGACAGCTGTGTCTCCACCTGCCCCTCACCTTTCTTCACATATGACATCCGGTGTGGGGCAGATGGGTGTAGTTTGGGGGAAACCACGTAGTTGGAGACCCTTTGGGGAAAGGGGTTTACATTTCCCCTTCCCACCTCCACCTCCCAGGCTAATTCTGTTTCTGTGTGGAAAACAATCAGTTCAGACTGGGACTAAAAGAGGCCTGGTTTGCACACAAAGCCATGGTTTGTTAAACTATGGTTTATTAAACCATGGTTTGTCTGATGGCCTGAACCCTGCCCACTGGCTTCAACTCTGGTTGTTTACTGCCAAGAAACTACAGTCTGAAGCCATGGTTTGTTATTGTCTTATGAACCTAGGATTGTTTTAACTTTGACTTGGTTGTACATGCAAAACTAGCATGCAGACTTCCTTAAGCACAGTTTGCTTGCCACCAGCCCAGACGGCCAGACTGCAATTTTATGTGCACACCTTTGAACGTACATCCTATTGAATTCACAAAGAACTAGTTCTGAGTAAACATGCAATAACACTGTGCAGTAGAAATACCTTCACATACACCTTCTAAACTCATTTTTCTGTGCACAGCCTATTAGCTTAGTGATGCAGCTGGCCATTGTCTTGTGCCTGGGGACGGTGGCTGTTGGACATTCAGCAGTACTAGCAGATGATGTCAGCACTGATCAGGACTGGCTTGTGTCACCAATACTGTGGGAGGAAACGTGAATTCCTGTGACCCACACATATGGGGTAAATAGCAAAAGAATCAGCTGGGTGCCTGGATTCAAAACATGGGGCTAAATCACTCTCCAGCAAGAGAAAGCCCTCAGTAGCAGAGTTTAAACTCACAAAGTCAAGCAGTTAGGAATGTAGGCTGTTAAACCTTTTGCATATCCCATTTAGTTCGCTAGCAAAGCACCCTTGTCTTTCCGCCCTCTGGCAGTGAACAGACCACACCCTTAGTAAGTTTGAATGCTTTACTTACAAATTCCCAAGGTCTGATTTATGCGTTATTCCATGCAGCAGCAAGAACAACGCGGGTAAAAAGTACTGGGTAGAAAATACAGAGATAGCTTCAAACACGTGCTTGTAAACTTGGAGCAAAGCTTAAAGACATCCTTCTTTGTAGGTTACATAGTGAGAAGAGAGTGACAACAGAAAGAGAAGGCATGATCTAGCTGAGTCTAGGTATCTAACTCTGTGGTCTTAACCCCTTCGTGCACTAACTAGCAGCCATACATAGTTATGTTTGACTGCAGCTTCTCCCAGATATAACATCATCATAGTATAGCACTTGTGCAGCTGCCATTCTCCATCCAACAGCCTCTGGTGCTTATCTGCTAGCATGCATATGACTTCCCAGCTGAAAATATAACCTGTCTCCTTTATTCCCTGACTTCAGAAATTAGAAATAATGTTTATACTGGTAGGATATATACTGTATTACTAATATATTGTTTATATGCATTTTTCCTATTTATGCTCTTCGTTTTGTTGTATTATCATAAACATCTGACCAATAAAATTTATTCATTTGAAAGCCTCTTGTTAAAAAACCTGATCCCAAGGGGGGGGGGGGAGATGAGCACAGTACCCAACTGCAGAGGAATTTCCAAAACCCTCCATAACTCCTCTGTTCATCTTGCAGCTTTCAAAATTTCATAACTATGCCCTCTCTCCCTTTTTTAAATTACAGTTCCAGGAAGCGGTTTTTAGTGGAAACAAGTTTGAACCATTCTTGAGAAGTGTCAGTAAAGTACAGCCTCCGCCACCTATTTTTGGCAAAGGAGATGTCGGCCCTTTAGAAAAAATGTACCCATCTGATGCTTACAAAGAACGAGAAGACCAAGATCCACCTGATGGGATGTCATTGACAAAACTGGCGAGTAGTCTGGACACTAAATTAATCAAGAGCAGTGGGGAGCTTTCTATACTAAGGCTTATAGAAAGAAAAATGGATTTAGAAGAGGAGGATCAAAAACGTGGCATGCAGGATGAAAAGGCATCGGAACCACTCGCTGTCACATCGGGTTCTTCTGAAAAGACACTAGAAGATAAACTAGTAGAACAAGCAGAAATAAAACAGGTTGAGATTTCCTTTGAGAAGTCTCTTGAAGATGTGCTTGCTGAAAAACTTGTAAAAGTCGTAGCCGTGTCGTCGATTTTAAGCAAAAACCTTGAAAACATAGTTGCAGAGGGACTCTCAGAAGCAAAGCTGTCTGAAACGCTGGAGGATAGCAGTTTGCAAGGGGATAATAAATGTCTGCCTGAGGAAAGAAAGATGTCTGGAGAGAAGGTTGCAGAACCAGATGTAACAAAACTGGCAGCTGCTGTAAGTCAAAATTTGCAGGCTCATCTTATAGACAAATTGTGTGAAGAGGGGATAATCACAGATACAGACCTACCTGAAAAAGACCAGATAGTTTCTTTCCCAATTACTGCTGATTTGCTCAAGAGGAGGAAAAGCTTATCCAGGGAAAGCATGTCACAAACTGAAATCACAACACTAAAATCACTAAGTGAGCATCCATCAAGAACCACTATCAAAGCTGAATCCGTGCAGCATAGTAAAGAAAGTAGTAAGGAAACTATTAAAGAAAGTAGTAAAGAAAGTGAGTTAGTAGCTACAGGGGCAGGTTTATCTGAAAGCAAAATAGATGGCGATAGAGAGGCTGCTTCATATCCTATAACTGACAGTAGTTCAGCTGAACAAACAAATGCGAAGACAGACTTAAGAAAAGAACCCTCTAAACAGTCACTGGAAATCATTAGAGTAATGTTACCTGTGAACACAGACACAGATAACATTAAGCAGCGACTTTCCATTCATGATGCTCTCCTAGAAAAAATTTTAAAAGCAGAAATAAGAAGTTTGAAATCACTTTTAAGCAAAGAACACCGAGATCACTTTAAAGATCAACTTTCAGCCGCTGGATTAAAGGGAGAAGACTTGAAAACAGTGTGCCGGAAGTTGTCCTTGGCTATGAAAGGGGATGACAGTGTTACACCAGAGAAGGCTGCGCTGCAAGACTGGCAGGATTCCTCTAGCGAGGGCCTTGCTAAAGAGACATTGGCGGTAAATGAAAGTATTCAAAATCTCTTTGAAGTGCTTTCAGAAAACGAAATTGCCAACCTAAAGAATGCATTGAACAAAAAGATTCAAGACCATCTTTCAGACAGACTTTCAAAAATAGGAATGATCACAGAGAGTGAGTTAAAGAGAATACTTGGAAACTTGTTTCCAGTAGTGGAAAAACTAGCAAAGAGTGAGGAAGGCTCAGATGAGCAAAGTACACAACTAGATACTCAAAGCCTGCATGACAGGTTTTCGGAGGAAGAACTACAAAATCTAAAGTCTCTCTTGAGCAGACTTCTAAACGAAGGCCACCGAGACAAACTTTCAGATTCAGAAGTACAAGGTTTAACATCAGTTTTAGAGAAAAGCTTTGAGGATCTTCCCATACAAAACAGTTCTGAAACTGGGATAAGCCAAGAAGTTGAGATAAAGGATGAATGCCGTACTATATCTCTGCCAGATGTTGAGGAAAGTCAGAGAGTTAGTAAGACAGATGTATCTGAGAGAGGAAAAGTTCCTTCAAAGGAAAGTCTTCATAAGATTTCAACAGCGGGTGAAAAACACAAAATAGAAAAAGAAGCTGTAGACCTTTCTGTAACCAGTCTTTTGGAAGTAGAAACAAGGAGCCAAGAAACTCAGACGACGGGTCAGCCCAAAAAAGTGAAACATAAAAAAGAAAGTCACAGGTTGCCGAAGTACAATGATAATCTGATCATACCAAATATAACGAGAACAACATTTGATGTAGGATTAAAAAGCAAGTCACCTGAGGAAACTTCGAAGAGAATCTCTGAACCATTTGCCACATCTTTTTTGAGTGCGCGTGATATTGGCATCCAAAGTGAAGCGAAAAGTTATTTCTGCGGCAAGCCCCACAGTTTTATTTCCAAGCCTCCCTTTCCGGTGAACCCTCAGACATTTCTCTTTTTGCATTCAGAATCTGAGGAAGATGCAAAGCCAGCAGTTAAACACCACCAGAAGGCAAAAAGGAAGAAATCTGACATAAAGAAGGATAGTGGGTTACACCAGCAAGCATCGATAAGTACACAAACCAGGAGAGAAAGGGTGCCTGCTGGAAGCACCTCTAAGGAGATTTTAAAAGAAAAATCCAAAAGGCACCCACCAATTTCTCCAAAATTGAGCGCCACTGAAAACAGGAAGGATTCCAAAGCAACAGCATCCCCCAGCGGTACACGAAGGGAAAGCTTGAAGCAGAAATCCGAGAAGAAGCGAGATACGGAGGTTAAGCCCAAAAAATCACTCACCAAGACTGCTGTCCTGTCTGATCCACAGCTACAAAACCATTCCAAAAATATTTCGGACAAATCATCCACAACTAAAATACCAGCTCCTGGGCGTACGAAAGGAAGCACATTGGTAAGAACGTTATTGACTCTGTACTTGAAGACCACAAATATTATTTCTGAAGGCAGCACATCTAGGACAATATATGCTTTAATGCATTTATATTTTCCAAACTGAGAGCAGATCAGAGCCTTGGAACTAGCGTTGCAAATTAAAATCAAAGCTCAACATCTTGGAAAAACAGACTTCAGAACAGGGGCTCCTGTATTAAAGACTTTAATGCCAGGTGATTTGACTACACCCATGAGCCCAGTAAACCCAGTGCTTACTGGTTGCTTACCTAGCCAGCCTGCTGATTGCACTAAGCAATGTTCCTTGGGCCATGTAAATGATTGTTTTCAGAGACTGCACTGTTTTTCAGGAGTAGCAGTTGGGGTGGGGAGAGTTTTCTAACTCTTCTCTCCCTTGCCACAGTCCTGATAAAAGTCCCTACCCCACCCTGCACACAAAAAGCCCCTGCTATTTGGCCTGGGATGGAAGCTGTCAGTAGGAAATTCTCAGAAGAGGAGGGTTTTCATCAGGACCACAGCATGTGCGAGAAGGCCTTAAACCGTTTCCCCGCACAGCGGTTGCAGTCCTGATCAGTTGCTGTATCAGAATAGCACCACACCAAGCAAAGCATTCAGTGTACAGTGGTACCTCGGGTTACATATGCTTCAGGTTACATACGCTTCAGGTTAAATACTCCGCTAACCCAGAAATAGTACCTTGGGTTAAGAATTTTGCTTCAGGATGAGAACAGAAATCGCGCAGCAGCAACGGGAGGCCCCATTAGCTAAAGTGGTGCTTCAGGTTAAGAACAGTTTCAGGTTAAGAACGGACCTCCGGAACGAATTAAGTACGTAACCAGAGGTACCACTGTAATGTAAAGCTTGGCCATTTCTGCCCTTCTAAACCTGATACAGAGTACATACACATCCTTGGCCCCATGTTACCCTTAGCACCATACTTTCTCTTCTTTTTTACTGCTTCTCAGCACACGGCGTTCGTTCCTTAAATGTTATTCCTTTGTTTGCAACAATATGTATAAGCCACCCACTTACAAAATTGAGGTGGTGTACAGCAATATGTAAATAAAAGGGACGTGGGACGTGGGTGGCGCTGTGGGTTAAACCACAGAGCCTTGGACTTGCTGATCAGAAGGTTGGCGGTTCAAATCCCCGCGACGGGGTGAGCTCCCATTACTCGGTCCCTGCTCCTGCCAACCTAGCAGTTCGAAAGCACATCAAAGTGCAAGTAGATAAATAGGTACCGCTCCAGCGGGAAGGTAAATGGCGTTTCTGTACGCTGCTCTGGTTTGCCAGAAGCAGCTTAGTCATGCTGGCCACATGACCTGGAAAGCTGTCTGTGGACAAACACTGGCTCCCTCGGCCTATAGAGCGAGATGAGCACCGCAACCCGAGTCGGTCACGACTGGACCTAATGGTCAGGGGTCCCTTTACCTTTACAGCAATATGCACAGGTGCAGTAAAACACAAAATGCCACAAAAGCAATACACATCATCTTACCTCTGCATGTTCTGCATGTTTTGACCTCCCTTCCAACTCCAGTTCCCAGCCTTACCAGCATCCCTACAGGCATTGCAATCCCCTGCCAACAGCATCTAGGTCTCCGTCTCCAGGAAAGGCGGAGAACCTCTATCTGCCCCACTCTGCCCAAGGGCCAACTTGGATGGGGCAACCCACCCATCAGTCGCACAATGTCAGTATGAGATCACGATTGGAAGGGGCAAGGTTCCAAGGCTGGGAACCACAGCACAAGGGGTGTTGCCACCCCTATACTTTGCAAGCCTCCTCATTCTCCTTTCCACCTTGAATGTCAGAGGTGGAAAGAAGCACAGAGTGTTGGGAATCCTTTGTGAGCTTCCCTATGCTTCCCCTTTCCATCTTTTTTCCACCTGCAATATCAGGGGGCTTCAAAGAATAGCCCTGGGAGGGAGAAGTTTTTGCCATGAAATAAAAGCCACTTCCCACTCCATGGGCAAAGCATGCTCCCACTGCTCATTATCTTCTGGGTGGTTGGGAGCTCACCTTCTTCCAGTAAAGGTTGAGAGCTCACTTTAAGCTCCTGATGGTTCCTTGAAGACCCACATTTACCTGCTCCATGCCCAATGTCCTTTAGCAGTTCAGAAAGCAGCACCAAGGGACCGGGTGGCGCTGTGGGTAACACAAAGCTAGACTTGCCGATCAGAAGGTAAAATCCCGCGAGTGAGCTCCATTGCTCGGTCCCTGCTCCTGCCAACCTAGCAGTTCGAAAGCCGTCAAAGTGCAAGTAGATAAATAGGTACCGCTCCGGCGGGAGGTAAACGGCGTTTCCGCTGCACTGCTCTGGTTCGCCAGAAGCGGGCTTAGTAATGCTTCGAGCCACATGACCCCGGGAAGCCTGTTACACCCCGGCATTCCCTTGGCCCTAATACAGCGAATGAGCGCCGCAACCCCAGAGTGCGTCAGCCGACTGGACCCTTCCGGTCAGGGGTCCCGTTTACCTTTACCTTTAGGCAACCAAGAACTTTGCACCTATGCATTGCCATCCGAGTGCTTAGAATGTTTGGCGTATCGGTCACAGCACTTCAGCCAATTGCTAATATGGGGACGGAAATAGAGCAGCAACCACTAGTATTTAGCTGACAACAGATACTAACCTGACCCACATATTAACAGCGGCATGAATTTGTTAAATGAAATAAAGTAAGGCTTAGGCATGCAAAGAGACAGAGAACAGTGCAAATTTGATTGTTCGATAAGCCAACCACTGAGCGCTGATGAATGAAAACTTTGGGTTGTAATCCAGCATTGTCAAACAAGACTTCTGCTTGCCTAATGGGACTTCTGCCTTCTCTCCTTTCTCCTGCGCCCCCGCTAAATCAGCCAATTTATGGGTAGAGAAGAGGAGGAGAAAGGGAAATGAGTGGGATGCAGCTCACATTGTCTTACAGTGAAGTTTGTCATAATTATTATACACACAAAACAACTCTCTGCTTTCATTTTGATATTCAGAACATTGCGGGCCCAGATGATATCGACATGGAAGCTTACAGGCATCTTGAAAAAGCCGTAGAAAGAGCTCTTCTTGACTTAGGAAGAGTCCCGGAGGGCAGCTCCAGCCAGGGAAGGCCAACTCCTGCTCCAAGTTCTACGACTCTCATAAACAAAGATTCGCCCAGATCCTATCTCTCTGCTGTCGAGACTCCAAGGAATCAAGCGGGTTCAATAACGGAGATGCTTAACAATCAAGAACAGATCTTAAAAATGACACCTGATCAACTGGAAGTTGTACTTAGGATTCTCCAAAATATATTGAGGCAGAACGCAAGACCCCCAAATAATGGATGAATGGAAACAAGCTCTGTGTAAACCAGCTACGTATGTATGTTCTTACTTTCCCCCAGCTATTATGAAAAATAAAACCCTCTTTGTATATACATTTTTAAAGAAAGTTTAAGGATATTTTAAAATTATTGTAGATAGGAAGCTGCCTTATCTCAAGTCAAATATCATTGACCCATATATTTCTTTCTTTCTGTGTGTGTGTGTTTGTGCACGCGTGCATAAAATATGCCACGATGGCCTAGGCAAATTTGACAGTGCCACCCACCTGTCAATCACCTGTTTCTAGACACAACGTGAATCAAAACTGCCTGCAAATGAATAAAGGGGCTCAGGTTTGATTCCCACTTTGGGCAAGATTCCTGAATTGCCAGGAGCTGGATTAGATGATTTTCATGGTCCTTTCCAAATCTATGATTCTATGACTTCCCTAAAAAGGAGCTTCCTCTAGGATGGAACAGTGCTGATGGCAAGCTCCCCCCCCCCCCAACTACACCAGGGTGGAGAAACTCCCTAGTGTGGCTGATCCCAAGCAGGGCTTCCTATCAGCTCTGATAAACTTGCAACAGAACACCTGGGAGCTGACGCTAAGCTAGGAATGGGGCAGAAATTTGATTCTGTTCATATTTAAAAGTGAATCTACCTAGTTAGCTCTTTTTAAAACAACATGCGAAATGAAAGACATCCTGTCAAATTTGCACTTCACTGAATTTTGCAAATACACTTCTCCAGCCAAGTAATGTGCACAAAAACACAAATAAGGTGCAGTGTGTGCATAAGCGTGCATTCACGAAAACACACCAAATGCATTGCACTAGGGAACTTAATAAGTATTAGGGAAATGCATCTTGCAAAATTGTGCATTAGGTAAAAAGGTTTATATTAGGAAAACTTTGCACTTGGGATTCTGATGAATTTTAGGAATTTCTTTTAAAAAGAAAGCAACTGATATGAAACATTGGAGAAGTGAACTTGAACATTGGAAAAATGAGAAGCAGACAAACCAAAATGGACTCTACCAGTCTTCCCTTTGGAGTTGCACCTGTGGTTGCCTCACACGTCAGATGTGAGGCAGGTGAACGTTGTTTGCGGGAAAGTCTTGCAGGCCAGATTGGGACCTGTGCCAGGCCTAATTAAGCTGATGGGCCGGAGGTTCCTCAGCCCTGCTGCATACACTGGCTTGCAGTAGCTCAGGGTGTTTTACTTGGAGATGGATCGGGACAATCTGTATGCAAAGTGTCTGCCTCTGAGCTACAGTGGTACCTCGGGTTAAGTACTTAATTCGTTCTGGAGGTCCGTACTTAACCTGAAACTGTTCTTAACCTGAAGCACCACTTTAGCTAATGGGGCCTCTTGCTGCCGCCGCGCCACCAGAGCACGATTTCTGTTCTCATCCTGAAGCAAAGTTCTTAACCTGAAGCACTATTTCTGGGTTAGCAGAGTCTGTAACCTGAAGCGTATGTAACCTGAAGTGTATGTAACCCGAGGTACCACTGTACAGACCTTCCTCTAATGCTTACTTCAAAAATCCCTACTGGTGTTACTTTAATACAGAATGCAGTGTTTCATCTCTTGCTTGATGAAATGTGCTTAGCTGATTGCTGGAAAAGACCTGAAAAACGATAGATTTGCCTTTATGATGTTCAACTTTTAATAATTGAAACTTTTTTCAAAAAAAGACAACCCATAACGTCTACTGCAACTCCCTTCTACGCACAGTATGATGCTGTCAAAGATGCCTAACCTAATCCTTTAAATTTGATATTTGGTCTCAAAAGTAGTTTTAGCTGACTTATAAGTATGAAGTAAAAATACCACCAGAAGAAGCATGACTGAAGAGCTTTCTTGAAATAAGTACATTTTATTCCAGTTACATTTGTCAGAGTTGAGATGGCAAGAGATCGCAAACACATAAAAATTACTTCAGTAGTTTCCTATTTAAAAGAACAATTCTGATATAACTTTGTGAGGTTACACTTTTTTAAAAATTAAGCTAACGTCTATTTTACATGATCAAATAAAATGTGCATTAATAAAATATAGTTGTAAATATCTCAGTATTAAAAACCCTGTCCCCAAAATTATATGCTGTACAGAAAGCAAGAATTTTGGTTAAGGTCATGTTCAGTCAGTCATTCACAGTACTAGAGCAACAAGAATAGAAAGTGGTCTCTTTCTTGTCAGTCTGGCCTTTATATTGCTGCTTCTTGTTTGTAATTGGGAATTCTTTCCTGTCTCAATGAAAGGCACAACAAAGAGGACAAAATGCAAGGCATAAGTCCCATCTCATTTAAGCATCTTTTGCTTCCTAGAATAGTGTTTGCAGCAGTATACCTCCAACAGTCATGTATTGCCATAGTATTAAAGCCATGCTTCCATTCAGTGGGTCTTCTGTATGCCGCATAGATTCCTTTTCCTCGCTGGTGCAACAGTATTCAACTTGAGATGTCGCCTTTTTAAAGGCTAGTGAGATGTGAGCCCAAGGCAGTGCCATTGCAATTAGAGCTGCGGGTCTATTAAGCAATCTCTTTATAAATAATATAATATAATCAAGTAGTTTCAAACTTCTGTTTTACTGCTGTTATGCAGATTATTCTCCCTTGATTAGGTTTTGTTAAAAAGATACCTTGCAGGCCTCAGTAATGGCTACCCCAACAACTCTTGGAGGGTAGGTGGCATGCAAAGCTCACAATGGTTTGCACACCATTTTTTTAAAGTAGGAATAGGCATTACTTTAAAGAAGTTTATATATGTGATGAACAGTACACACACACACACACACACACACACACAAGCTGAGAGAAGGGAAACAGTATTTTAGATTAACACTTCTGAGGCAGTAAAGGCATAGATATATCAGAGATGCCATACCAGGCTAAAGTATGCACCATTGCAATTCAGTTGTAAGAATGGAAGGGAGATGCTTGAGAAAGTGTAGGCATTTATGGTAATTCAAGAAGTGAGGGTTACTGCATTCTGTAGTACCACTTTGGAAGAATTTTCCTCATATAAAGTATTGGCACAAAAATGTTAACATTTTCAAGTATATAACTAATATTTGTATTTTGAACATGAAAAGGAAAAAGCAGCGACAAAAATCACATTATTTTTTTCCTAGAGAGAGATATCAGAGGTATGGTTTAGTATCTTTAGAATTCCCAGTACACCTCTCTCTCCTTTGGCAAAATGCATCCAGTCTTACAGATGGCTGCTGAACACGCTGTTGGCACCTGTGGCTGGACATGCTGGACGGCAGGAGGCAGCAGTGAAAGTAAAGAACCCTTCGTTTGTTCTTTTACCTGAAATGAGAGAACACGGTGATTTGGAATAGTGAACTTGAACTTGGACATAGGTGGCGCTGTGGGTTAAACCACAGAGCCTAGGACTTGCCGATCAGAAGATCGGCGGTTTGAATCCCCGCGACGGGGTGAGCTTCCGTTGCTCGGTTCCTGCTCCTGCCCACTTAGCAGTTCAAAAGCACGTCAAAGTGCAAGTAGATAAATAGGTACGGCTCCGGCGGGAAGGTAAACGGTGTTTCCGTGCTTCTCTGGTTTCGCCAGAAGCGGCTTAGTCATGCTGGCCACATGACCCGGAAGCTGTACGCCGGCTCCCTCGGCCAATAAAGCGAGATGAGCGCCGCAACCCCAGAGTCGGTCATGAGTGGACCTAATGGTCAGGGGTCCCCTTTACCTTTTCCCCACAAATATGCCAAAGCCATTGTGAATTTATTTGGATAGGCTTGTTAACTTGCAACAGGCACAGAATTCAGATTCTAAAGCTCTGGTTTACTTTCTCAAGGCATGCAACTATCAGTAACCAGGCTCAATGAATTAGTGACACTAGAAAGGGGTGGAGAACATTTGAGGGCCAGAGGTTCCTTGCTCATTTGTAGCACCTGCAGCCAGATATTCCCCATCGCTGATGAGAACACTGTCTACCACGTAGTACAAGAAGCAATTGTATTGTGTCCCTTCTGCAAGCATATTGTGCACAAATCCCACTTGTGGTAGTTCTCCAATTGCAATTCAAACTGCTCCATATACATTGCCTTCCAACTACAGGCACCACAGTTTCAGCCATGTTCAGCTATGAGCAGCTTGTGTACCCAGTTCACGAATGTTTTCTCGATCAAAGCCTTGGTCTTTAGCTGCAATTCACACATCTAATAATTTGTAACAGGCTCACCTGCTTGAAAAAAGCATGTGACAGGAGACCTCTTGCTGATGGCCTAGATCCCAGGAAGAAAAACAGAACTTAGTATTTTAAGTTTTGCCAATGGAGTTAGCTAGTACTGTAATAACTTCCCCTTCTCTTGTTGCCTATTACAGGGTCAGTCAATAGAAAGAAAAATCAAGCATAGGCATTCCATTTTAAGTAAGCACCCCACTTGTTAAAATTGCTCATTTTCAAAATAACATAAACCCTGCATAAACTCTCCTCATATGTAGATTTTTAAAACTGGGACTATCAACTGACTGTAGAATTTAATCAATTAACTGCCTCTTGAACTGATTAAATATATAGCTACACTTAAGTTAGAAAAGGTCATTTTGACATTTTCCAAATTAGCTTTTAAAACGCAAGGAAAGTGTGACCATATTGCCCACTTACCAATCAACTAAAAGTTTTAGGTGCATCCACACCAAAAATAACATCCACTTGCACTGTGAGTGAACAAAATATACATTTATGACATGCATCTATATGAAATATACAGAGGGAAGTTTTTTATAACTTCGTGCTCAAGTATAAAACAAGGTTTTCAAGTAATTAGAAAGCTCTTTGAACCCCATATAAATATAACTGCAGCAACTAAATTCTAACAGCCTTACCTTTTCTCTGGGTCCTGTTGCAAACAGAGTTCTATCAAGTTATGGAAAGCTGGGGAGAAAGTTTTTGGTGGAGTCTGCAATCTCTCACTTGTCATTGTGTGTGTCATACTTTCACCAATTCCAGAGTCAATCCCTGATCGAGAATTTTTTATCCTGGATTCACCACGCGGAAAAGTATTTATAGCCCAAGGACAGTAAGAGGGACCTTTCAGCTTCTGCAGCAGCATCTGAAAGAAAATGTCCGTTGACTGTCTTAGCCCTACCTGTACACCTCAAATGTACACCTGTTTAATTTCTGGGTCAGTAGGGGTACTTTCAGTGTAAATATTTCGGGGGGGGGGCATGATTCTAAAATGTGCACCTTTTATCAAAGCTGTTTACTGCCACTCCCTTAACTCATGTTGCTTCTGAATCCAATCAATTATCTATATTATAGTGTCACAAAGCTACACAGCCAACTAAGAGTAAACAATCCAATCAACGTGAGGGTGATGCTTCTTAGACTGGACAACCGGGGAACATGTAACAAACTTGGCACAAACACTATTCAAAACAATGCTTCCTGAATAGGTAAACATTTCTGAACCACTTTGCAACATTTTTTTAAAAATAGAGCACCAGAAAGGATGCATTTTGATGTTTGCAAATGTGCTGAAACACATACATTTTAGAAATATCACAACAGAGGAAGTCTTATTGCATTAGGTAGCTAGGTGTTCAAGATCCTCGAAATTGTCACCTCTCTTTTTGTGACATTGTTATCGATCAGAAGTTGAAGAGTTTTGTGCCTTACCTGCGTCCGAGGTATATCCTGAAAAGGTACATGCCCATTAGCTAGTTCACATGCTGTAATGCCCACACTATAGATGTCAGACTTCACATTATAGCCATACATATCCTATGGAAGAAGAGATTGCCTTGATAACTGCTGAATACCAATGTGCCATGAATTGAAATAAACATGCATATTCAACTATAAAAAGTTGGGTTTTTTTCTTTGAAAAAAGATACCCTATAAATCTAAATAAAAATAAGCCTGTTGCTACATTCAAGCCCTGAAGCACACAACATTATGTCCTTCGAGTATAGTACTGGTTTTAACACAACTGCACTATTTTTTCTTCACAAAAATGGTATTTGTTGCATTTAACAAGTTCATAATACAACCTTTAGCTTCCTTTCAAATGGCTTCATGTGCAAAATGGAATATCAACACCATAAAATACAGCTATGGTCTTCAGTGCCGTTTTATACTGAAAATCGCTACCAAGGTTAATCATATTTACACTGAAATACCTGAAACCTGTAAGAAGCTAGAAATTAATTTATGTGCCAGTTCTGCCAGGCTGCATTTCATAGGTTTATCACAAAGTCAGAACCCACTTGATGTGGTTTAAACTGGGAGAAAGGGTTGTACTTTATAGGGTTAACAAGACAAAGAGGCTGGTGGTCACTAACTGCAACAGGGAAAATATTGGCCTGGTTTTCAAGTTGCAGTAAGGCTTAGTGCAAATGTACTGACTACAGAAGAGATCATGACTGTTTCTCCCTAGTCATTTTGCTCCTGTGCCATGCTAAAACATGTTTGAACCTAGAGTCATGAACAAACCATGAGCTGTCAATCATAGGACAAATCTTGGTTATGGCTTATGGTTAGTCTAGAGCAGGGGTCAGCAACCTGCGGCTCCGGAGCCGCATGTGGCTCTTTTACACTTTTGCTGCGGCTCCGGGGCGGATACTAGCAAGGGGAGGAGGCGCATTGTGTGCCCCGACACTCCCCACTGTTTTAAATGTCGCAATGGTTTTGCGGCTCCCAGGTTTTTTTCTTCGGTCCAAGTGGCTCTTTTTGTCTTAAAGGTTGCAGACCCCTGGTCTAGAGAGAGCTAAACCACAAGCCTAGGTTTGGAAGAGATGCTAAGCTAAACTGCAGCAAGCTGTGCAGCAGCAAAAGGACTGGGAAGGAGCAAAGAGGCCACAATCTCCTTTCTGGGAGCCTGCATGCTGTGTGGACCAGGAGACTACTTCCGTAATGAAAGCCACTGTCATGTAATCTGTGGTATTAGTTCCTGCATATATATATGTAGGTGTGTGTAAATTATTCATCTGGGTCACTCAAACAAGATCCGTTAAGAACTTGGTAATATTTAACTTGGTAACAGAAGTACATGTCATGCCAAACCAGATATAGCTGTATGCTTAGACCTAAGTTTCTAATTTCCCATTCATCATTATATAATCCTTGATATTCTACTAAGGCCTGATCATTTCATTATAAATGTTCTTTAAAATCTCAAGTAATAACTATAGAAGTAGACAGAAATCAGACCTCCAGCTTAATGGTTCTAGTTCACTCCAGCGTTCCTCCCAATAATGTGAGGAATGGAGAGGGATGAAAATATTTACAAAAATTTAGGAGTTAGAATAATTGTTAGAGCTCCTACAAGGGAGATATGGTTGATTAAGAGGTAGCAATCCATCATTTACTTAATTTCAGTAATAATCGGCAAGAATAATTTCATATTTCAACATAAATTATAGGGCTGCAACAATTTAGAGGCATGCATTTCACATTATCCATAACTTTTCAAATAATGTATTTAATTATAGTGTTATATAGAACACTGAGATGTCAAATGTTAATAATAAAAAGGAGGACATTCAGTAATTAAGATTAGCTTTTATAATGCACAATTAGAATTCTTTATAGACATTTCTTAGATGCAATCTGTGCCAATACGTATTTTCTGCACGACTGCTCAGCCACAGTGAACTGCATCATATACTGACCTGCCTCAGTAGTTCAGGACTCAGCCAGGGAAGCATTGATGCACTGAACTGGGGGAAGTCATACACAGCTTTTAACCGTTTCCCACTGCTCACTAGGCTGCAAAGATGGTTTAATCCAGAAAGATACACCAGGCCATCCCCTGAAATCAGTATATGGCTAGCTTTAATACTTCTGAAAGACATAACAAGTGATGGTTTATTTAGATTAAGAGAAAAACAAGATTCTAACACACATTATACAGGATTGTTCATATGAAGAGTCATTACCCTGTGTCGCATAAGAGAGTGTATCATGCATAATGGAGATGTACATTGTGTTTTGTGTTGCTCTTGACTGCAATGTAGGAATACTGTAATGCCAGCTCTCACTGAATGATGGTGCGTGAAGTTATGGTCACCACAGAGCAAAGAGTGCCTTATGCCAACTCAACTGTTTCAAAAATCTCAAGTCACCCAAATAGAACAGAGATAGGGACTCTGGTCTTCCCATTTACCCTTGGTCCCAATCGTCTGTCAGTTTCTTAAAAACCTCTCTACACATTACCTGTGAATGTAGCCATGTTGGTGCATGTAGTTTAACCCGCTGATAGCTCCAAACAGGATATTTCCTATCAACACTTCACTCATGCCTTCAGGAAAGTAAGTCCTCAGTAGATGGCTGGCTGAACCTAGAAAAGGTGCATGTAACTTGCTAGCAAGTCAAAACATTATTTATGCAATGAAAGCAGAGTTGACATTTCCTGTTGTAATTCAGAAAGGTGTAACACATAAATCTGATCCCCCTGCTACTTGGTGTACAACTATGTAGGTTCAAAGAACAATTTTGCATATTATGAAGGATATTGGAAATGCTCTTTTTGTATTGATCAGTAAAAATATTGCCGCACAAGAATTTGCCCGTGGACTAAAGAGCAGGCCTGAATGATACAGCTTTTTTCAAAACAGCCAATTTCTCTCTTTCCTCTTTATTGAGGTAGTCCCACTGCTTAAAAGAGGCAGGCATTAAAGGAAGAAGCTGCCTCATGTGTAGAGAACTGAATCTGGCCAATGGGTCAGATCCTTAATTCCATCGCCCTGTGGTGCTGTCAAAGTTCAAAGGGGCTTATGGTAACCACTGATAAGTCTGTTTACAGGCACAGTTTGGCCTACAAGACAAGGCACTTTCAGAAAAACAACTGTGAGCTCCCATATGCTACAAAGGAACAATGTCCTTGCCTACCCTACTCCTGACATCACATATGCTTTGGAAGAAATGGCCTTGTGGGCCAAGTTGGAAACCATACTGGGCCTAATAAGAACTGCAAGGCAGGAGGTTTCCCACGACTGGTCTATCCCATCCTTGACTTACATCTTGTCAACATGCAAAAGGTACAGGCTTTAAAAATATTAAGCAATATATACGTACTTTTCAATAAACGAGCAAGCTGCTCTTAAGTTTGATAGCTCAAATGCATGGTATGTAAACTAAACACAGTTGCATCCAAAACCGCAACTGCATGAGCAGAATAGATTCCCACTGTCACAACAGCAATTTCCCATTCTCTCCTGCTTCCTGGAGCACCTCATGTACCCCCAAAATCTGCTTCAGAGGGTTGGAAGATCCTCTGGAGTGGATTTGGGGTGGGGGTGGACTGCAGGGATGAAGAGACGAAATGAGAGTGCTGCTGCATGAGTGGATGTCCGTTTGCAATGCAGTGGACACAATCCTTAATGAGCCCCTACAGAGATAATTCAATTAATGTGTAGCTTTCCCCAACAGAATACTTACAGTAGGCCATGAAAGGAGAAATAACCCAAAGCCAGCTTCCAGCAGTGAACACTGCCCAAAGAGTCATGATATTGGGGTGTCGAAAGGAATGGGATAAAACCACCTCATTCTAGATGAAAGAATACATGTTTTAATTCTTTAAAAGGGCAATGGAACATTCCACAAACCCTTAGCCACAGCCTACTGCCACTCTGAAGACAATCCCTGAATCAGAAATGAATAGATTTTTGGATTGCTGCACAATGCCAGAGATACAATTTGAGAAAGCTGTCCCTGCATCTAATCACAAGTTTTCTGGAATTATTAGCATATCTAGAAGTACTTTTCTTTTTAATAACCTGGCAACTTCAAAGGGTCTTCATTTTTAAACACTTTGTATAAAGTTTAAATATCACAGCTCCTTTTACATGTCAACTTCATAAATATTTAAAATGTTAAAACATCTGTTTTACTTGTAAAGCTTTCAAGTGTTCTTCAGAACATCTTTCCAGATCTGTAATCCTTACAGCCACCAGTGTTCCTGTAGGGATGTGACGCGCGAGGTAGATTGAAGTTAAGTTGCTGCATCCCCTTCCTATTAGCAAAACAGAAGTTGATCACTTTAACAACTTTGCAATGTTTCTTAGTTACTGCTTTATCATTTAGCATTCGTACAATCCCAATATTCAAGGCAAAGACTGACAGATTATGAAGAAAAAGCTGTTCTGAGACTGCACATAAGGAAACAGCTAATCTGAGTAACCAAAAAGGACACTGCTGCAAGTCTGGCTTTGACTTAGCTCAACTATCACAGGGTTTTGGAATAGATTCTATGTCTAGGAGCTAATTTATCAGAATCCAAGGAACAGTTACCAAGTGCCATCAAACCATTTTTACAAGGTCAAGCTGAGTGCTAAATGATAAAGATGGATATCTTCAAAAGATAGATAGATAGATAGATAGATAGATAGATAAACTTTTTCGCCAATGGCCATAGCAACATAAAACAAGCAATATATGCAATTAAAAAAACAGCAATAAAAAGGGACAATCAGATGACCAAGATTATCGTTCAGATAGTGGCCCTTAATCTCATTGCACCCTCGATAAACCTAGCAACCTTTGCTGCTGTCTGATCATTTTGATCTGATAAAAGAAAGAACAATGTGGCCGCAGATGGGCGGCCTGGGATGGTAAGTAAGAGTGGGGTGATGATCTCATTCCTCAGACCTTTATATAGGGGACAGGACAGGAGAACATGAACCACTGTTTCCAGATTGCCATCTCCACATGGGCAGAGTCGTTTCTCTGTTGGAATCTTTTGGTATCTGCCCTCAAGTATGGCAGAGGGCATCACATCCAATCTGGCCAGTGTGAAGGTACGTCTGTATTTTGGGATAGTTAATTTATACAAATATGGTGCCAGGGAATCAAACTGAGAAGGGTGGGGGGGAAGCCATACTAAGGACAGAGTTTCTTTATAATGGCCAGATTGTTCTGTTGCTCTAAGTCCTTCAGACGCTGTCCAATTAGCCTTTTTGCTTTAATAAAGCCCACCGTGAGAAGCTGATGTGGGTCGAGTCCGCAGGAGAGGAATTTTTGGTGCACAATTTTAGACCACAGTTTTATGGGGGTCTTGTGTCACTAAGGGCAGTAGACCGGATGGATTTAGATTTAGACGGAGCCAATAATTAAGAGTTCTTTGCCAGGACCGAGCTTCTACAGAGGGAAGACTTGCCTCCAGTCGTAATGCTGCATTTGGGAATATCTTCAAAAGGATAGCAATACTCTTTAGCTTGCATACAGGAAAGCACAGCAATGGACAGTATATACACAACATGTGAAACACATTTAGGCAGTGATTAAAAGAAAGTGTTGGCAGAAGAGCAAACTGGGGATTGAATAAGAAAAATAATTCAAATCAATTTGAAAATAGGCTTCTGCCTCACGGTGCCACAAGTAGTACCCTCCCATCAGTCCCAGAGTAACCACTGGCAACAACTAACATTGGGCTGGCCATTAAAACGCAAAGGCACTTGTGTTGCGCTGCTTCAAAATGAGAACATTCCCATGAACCTTCCCACATGGCAATGAATAGATTTTCATCAGAGGACAAGGCAAACTTGCACCTTCCTCAGGTAAAAAGAAGGGGCTAGAGGCATTCCCTGGCTAAGAGACAAAGAGAGAACAGGGTAGCAGCATCTTTGGAAGACGAAGTCATCACTTACACCACTGCAGTTACTCTGTTTCAAAAGGGCATTGATGCCTGATATTTTAATCACAAAGAAAACAAGCAGTCATATGGAGCTAGATGAACAAAACAAGCAAATATTAAGATCAATTAAAAATGTTGTATGACTCAAATGTATTGGCCAAACATTGGCAAAACACTGGATTTTCACACCAGGGAAAAATACTGTCCAGTTTTCTAAATATCTCTCAACCAGACAAGGTAGGAAGATAAGGTACTTGTAAATCACCCTCCCTATAAGCCTTTTTTCAGCTGAAGAATGGAGTAAAACGCTTTCAATTATAAAAATAGGAAATAAGAGTATTTCAGATTACAAACTAGTCAGTTACCTATTTCCACCTGGATATCATAATGGGATACATCCGAGGACCATGATATTTCTTCATCTCCTCTTTGAGCCGATTGTCCCCAATATAAAGCAGGTTCATCTGTCTGAATAGAAAAAAAGTTGTACACACACACACACACTTTTATTGTATAAAATTGCAGTGAACAGTGTAACTTCATATTAATCTTGCAGATCTGCCAGCCTATACATCTTCCAGAAGCATGACAAAGTCTTTTTCTATTGCCATTGCTTTTGGTGTCAGAGGGTGAATTAGTTACTATAAATGTCATAAAGGAGACTTCATCCCACACAGCATATGAGAAATAAGAGTAAGAAAATTAAATACTGCATTTCCCAGTATATCAGACAGTAAAAACCACATACCATGTTTTTCAATTCTTTTCCACTTCTATTATATTCAGGAACTGTGCCAAGGTTGTGCTGCTTGACTTAGTGTCCATCAAGCATTACAGTGTTACTTATGTGCTGCTACTTGCAAATGCAGCCAAATTAATATATTTTATTTTTAAAATGTATAAATTGCTTTTCTCAGAAACATATCCAAAGTGGTGTACTGGAAAAACCAGATAGCCCAGTTGGTAGAGCACGAGATTCTTAATCTCAGGGTTGTGAGTTTGAGCCCCAGGTTGGGTGAAAGAATCCTGCATTGCAGGGTGTTAGACTAGATGAGCCGTGGTCCCTTCCAGCTCTACAATCCTATGATTCTAACTCATATACTATAAAACCAAAGCAGAGAAATTAACTGGTTCCACAATCCAAATTATGTACTCTTGCTATGGTCCACCAGAAATTCTCAGCTGTGGAAGGGAAAATTTCTCATGTTGCATGCAGAAAGCTCTGCTTGGCTTAGCTAGCAACGGGAGCCCCGTGAGGGATTCTGAATCACAGTAATGTGGCTCTCCTTAATTCAGATATATATATAATGGATATGCCTCTCCATGTAATGGTCTCAAAAACACTCTGAGGAACCGGCTCTTATTTCTTATTGTCGGGCTGATGACTATTCTCTGCTGAGAACAGAGGTACCAAGTGTTTCCATTTGGAAACATACCAAAGACAGCAGAAAATAAGTGGCGCGAGCTCTGCTTCAAGAATGCAGACATAATTGTACTAGGACTAACACTAGGGAAACAGGTCAAGTTCATATACATTTTCTCTTACCAAGTCTTGAGTGCTGCTGCCTTCTGATTGCTTTTCTGCTCCAATGGATTCAATTCGTGTCCGTAGAATACAGGAACAGTCCTTGAAAAGCGTAACAGTGAATAAGTGTTCCCTCTATTATATTTTAACAGCTTTGTTACCAGGTGACCTATAATGATGGGCAGCTGGAACCTCACAAAACTGTAAAAACCTACCTCAGACTATCCAGAATCTCTGGACAATTAACACCATTTTGAAAAATCATGACCAAGTAATCTTTCTCCAAATAATGTACAGTCGTACCTCGGCTCCCGAATGCCTAGGGAATCCAATGTTCCGGCTCTTGAATGATCGAAAATCGGAAGTGAGTGTTCTGATTTTCAAATGTTCTTTTGGAAGCCAAACGTCCAACAGGGATTCTGATTGGCCACAGGAGCTTACTGCAGCCAATCAGAAGCCATGATTTGGAAGTTGAACGTTTCAGAAGTCAAACAAACTTCCAGAACGGATTCTGTTCGACTTCCGAGGTACAACTGTATTGCAGTCTTCGGCTCTTCTTTGAACAATGGTCCACATAGGCTATGTATACACCATGTATACACCATGTATACACCAAAGTGTGTGTGGGTCACTCAGATCCAATTTTTCCATGGGCACTTATGTGCATCTTTGTCCACATGAGTGCTTTCAACTGAATGCTACCTCGGTGTTTCCCATGCACACACTGTGTTGTTGTCCCCTCCCCTCAGTTAGTACTTCCCCACCTTCCCTGAGTCCCAGAAACCTGAGGTCCACTATAGGCATGTGCAGAGGCTTTGGTATACCTATGTACCCAGCCAATTTTTTATTTTTATGATACAAGTTTTTCCAATACAGTAGTCAACGCTTGAACAAAACAACAAGTTAAAAACATATAAAAGGACATTGGTGTTAAGACTGGTCCTAACAGCAGCCAACCAAGAAGAACCTTGCCAATGGAAGTAGGGTGTGTGGCAACTGATGGTACCCAGAAAAGCCCCACATTAAAAAACAACAACCCACACAATGAACTTCAGTATATCCAGTTGAGCAACATGATTTTATGTTGGATCTTTTCCTTACCACATTATCTGCAGCTCGGCAAAGTTGAAATTAAAGGGGGGGGGAGTGCAGGCTGCCAGTTGAATGAGAACATTATATGCATGATGTGAAAAACAAGCACACCTGGGATGCCTCAAATCCTTGTTGAACTGCGAATTGTATACAATCACAGAATAGAGATCTCCCTATAGGTCTTCAGTATTGAATGAAGCCTGGCAGCTGTGTGCTGTTGAGCCTAAACTTGGGCCACTATGTTTAGGCGCAGATATAAAAGTAGACATTGAATCCATAGTAGCCCTGTGGAACGCCCTCCCAGCAGATGTCAAAGCAATAAACAACTATTTTACTTTTAAAAGTCATCTGAAGGCAGCCCTCTTTAGGGAAGTTTTTAATGTTTGATGCTGTACTGTTTTTAATATTCAGTTGGAAGCCGCCCAGAGTGGCTGGGGAAACCCAGCCAGATGGGCGGGGTATAAATAATAAATTATTATTATTATTATTATTATTATTATTATTACCCATTCTTAAAACCCAAAGAATATTCCATATAAAAGTGAAGCAGGCCTGAGTTGTGCCCTCTATGGACAACACTTGAAGAACTCACATTTCCCATTCTCACTTTGTAGTTCTCAAAATTAGCATGTTTAGTGAAATGTGAAGGAACCAAAGGTAGCAATGGGAAAGTTATTTTGGTGCTGTTTTCTTTTTTGTTTGTTTGTTAAAGCACACAAACCAGATGGTATACCTGCAACATGCTACAAATATTGTGATATGTTATTGAAGAGTCCAAACAAAATGGAAGCAAGTCAAAATAAATTATGTGCTTACCAAACAAGACATGGAACTGCCTTAGTTCATGGAAAATGTCATGCAAACCCATTTACCCTGAAACAGAATATCAAAATAAAGTTTACATTCAGCCCCAAACAGTAACCAAAGAAAGATGTCATTCTTTTTCCCTTTGACCATGTATGCAGCCTTGAGCACACTGAAGATCTGGACTATAAACGATGTATGAATGAAACTCTCAGAAGGCTCCTCCCATAGTCAGCTTTACATATGGCTGGTCAGGTTAGAATTAAATATTCTTGGCTGCCACCAGTAGTGAACACCACTTACTGGAAAACACAAGTGAGGAGACTGCTGTTGCACTTAAGCCGTGTTTTGGGGCTTCCCATGGGGTTCTGGCTGACCATAGAATTATACAGTTGGAAGGGACCCCAAGGGTCATCTAGCCCAACCCCCTGCAATGCAGGAATCTCAACTAAAACACTGTGGGAACAGGACGCCACATTGGTTTGATCCAGCAAGGCTTTTCTTATGTACCTAAAAACCTCTAAGCAGGTTACATAGGAAAAAACCCCAACATGTTTAAAATACTGATAAAAAATCAAATGCTTGTTAAATACTGAAATAATATTTATGGAACTGGCTTGGGCCCGCCAAACAATTATTTACCTAGCAATTTCTATGCTGCAAAGAAGAAAGAGCTGCTACAAGTCCTGCTTATATGCACTGTACAGGCTTAAAGTCTTACTTAAATACCGTATTTTTCGCACTATAAGATGCACCAGACCACAAGATGCATCTAGTTTTTGGAGGAGGAAAACAAGAAAAAAATATTCTGAATCTCAGAAGCCAGAACAGCAAGAGGGATCGCTGTGCAGTGAAAGCAGCAATCCCTCTTGCCGTTTTGGCTTCTGGGATAGCTGCACAGCCTGCATTCGCTCCATAAGACGCACACACATTTCCCCTTACTTTTTAGGAGGGAAAAAGTGAGTCTTATAGAGCAAAAAATACGGTACTTAAACGTACAGGCTTGAATGCAGCTAAGTTTCCAAGCAGCATGCACAAAATACGGCTGCATATGGGATATAGAAACATTATGTGCCCCGTTGAAACGCTAATGATAATTTATTCCACAGAGATTGCAGTTAGGCTAACCTGGAATAAATCAGCAAGTTCCCTCCTTTGTAGCCTTGTGCATAGTTGCCACCTGTCTTATATACAGGATTATTCTGTACTGATACAGTTTTGTCCCCTCTCTCTCTCTCTCTCCCAGGCTAGGGATCGTCTCGGAATATATGTGTTTGAAAGGGTGTGTGAAAAGTGATGCATTTAAGCTCTGGGTAGCCAAACACAGACAGATTTACAAACTCACTCTCTCTGTGTGACAAATTCCTGAGGGGCCATCCTGCCGGGCTGCAATAGATTTCAATGGATTACTTTGTGTGTGTTTTTCTTTCATTTCTATTTATGATTTTCAATGTTATACATGTCAATAATTTCACAACCACTATAACATTTCAAAACTCGACTTCCTTCCCCCTCTTTCTGCATGCTCTTATAAAACTGCAGGTTATTACAATAATCCTGCCCATGTCCTTATCTGTTTACAGTTCGTTTGTACTCAATAAACCATTTCCATTCTTTTATAAAAAGTTTATCTTGATTTCTTATTTTTCCGGTAAGTTTCACCATTTCTGCATATTCCATAGGCTTTTTGTATCCATTCTTCTTCTTTTTCCATTTTGGGGCAAGTAACATTCTTGCTTTTAATGGATTAATTTGAAGTCACTTTAGCACCAGATTATTATTATTATTATTGGGAATTGCCCTCCCCCCCAACTGCCCCTCCCCATATTTTGCCAAAGCAAAGAAGGCAGCTCCTCCGCAGTCCTACCTTCCCATCCTTCCTGGATTTGAGTTTCTACTGAAATGAGGCTGCATTTTAATGTTGTATTTTAATCTTGTTTTTTAAGTTGTATTTTAATCCATTGTTTTTATACCTGGTGTTAGCCGCCCTGAGTCTTGGCTGGAGAGGGCGGGGTATAAATTATTGTTATTATTATTAATAAAGATCTGGACAGAAGTATGGAATGGATGCAATTAAATGAAGCGATGCGATGAAAAACAAAAACAGCTGAAAGAGTACAATATACGGACAAATCTGCACTCCATAGAAAAAAAAGTATCTGTTTTCTGACATGAATGAGGATCACAGAGCCAGAGACAAAACGTGGAGGATAAAATCGCGATATGGAATTATGAAAAACATTGATGATGAGGAGGAGGAGGAGAGGCAGGACTATGATGCTGAAAGCGCTTTGGAATTCAGACCTTGGGAAGCCAAAACAAAAAATTATTACAATTTGGAAGATAATTGGACTTTTTTATTTTAGTTTTTAAAATTTTTATTGGATTTGATATGTTAATTGGATGTTCCTATTGGAAAATTAATAAATGCTTTAAAATATTATTATTAGTAGTAGTAGTGGTAGTATTAGTATTATTATTTAACCCCGCCACCCTCACGATATGGCCTTCATCCACCGCCAAAAAAGTGTTGCAAAAAGTTCAGGGTCAGTGGAAGTGTTAGGTTTGCATGAGCAAGGATCTATTTTCTCCCCGCCGCGGAGAGAGAGAGAGAGGCGACAACGCGGGACAACCCGCGCCTCCCCGTTGCAACACAAAAATAAGCATATAATCGAAACGATAACAATAACCGCCCCTCTATTTTTTGCAACCGAACCGGACCTAGTAGCTACTACGGCGCCGCGCACGCGCGCGCTTCTTTACCTGGAAGCCAGCCCCGCCGGGCCCAGCGGGCCTTACTCCTGAGGAGACCCAAACTTGTCCTGACCGGGGGGGGGTCGGTCCTTCCCCGCTGGCCTCGCCTCCCTCCGCCCGCGCCCACCTCACACCGTCTGTCAGGCTCGGACCGCCGCCCCCGAGGGAGCCCAGAAACAGAGGCTGCCGCCCGTTGCCAAAGAGGCCGCGGACAGCGCAGCGTTTCTCCTCAGGCAAACCGGGGGAGGAAAAATCACCTCAGCCCCTCGCCCGCCTCCCTCGGCCAGCCTGAGGCGACACGAACTGTAGGCCCCGCCCCCTCCGTGAACGCGGCCTGCGAGTGAACTCAGGCTGCCGTAAGGGTTGACTACCAGTCCCGAAGTGCACCGCGGCAGTATTCCTCCTCAGGCGGAGGGAGGTTTCGAAGCGGGGAGAGATAGGAACGCCCCCTTTCTCCACCGTTGCATGACGGGAAGCGTAGTTTGAAAGGCGGCCGGGGGAAGCAGTAGCTGAGGCCGAGCGGTGCTTTCTGCCTCCATCTTGTGACCGAGTTTGTGGCCGCCTCCCGCTCCTCCCCCCCCCCCGCACGTTGCTCCACTTGGGCGCCGGCGCTCCGAAAGAGGGAGCTGAGGAGGCGGCTGTACAATTGTCGCCGGAGCGAGGGGGCTGGAAAGGAGCCCAAGCCTGGAGCTGGTAAGGGGGCAAGTGGGGAATGTGGGGGGAAAGAGACGGCATGGCAAGCGCTGCATTCGCCCCCTCATCCTTGGTCCCCCCCGGCCATCTCCCTTCTTCCTCCTCTTAAGCCTCCATTTCTCCCAAGTCAGCCCTTCCTTCCTTCCTTCTTCCTTCCTACAGCCGGACGTTGTGCATGTTTACTCCGAAGTAAGTGCTAGGAACCCAGTGGGGATATTACCCCGGGGGAGCGGGAGCATCTTACCCCGCCTCGCTCCTCCTTTCTCCTCCCCAGTGTTGTCAGCCCTGCTGTGCCTCCCTCCCTCCTTTCTTTCTCTCTTTTTCTGTCTTTCTCTCCTCCATCCTTCCTTCCTTTCTCCTCCCCATCTTTGGTCTCTCACCTGAAACTTCCTTCCCTTAAACAGACCCTTCTCGCTTACTTCTTTTCTTTTTTTTACCCCCCCCCCTCCTTCCCACTGAGAAATACAGTGGTACCTCGGGTTACATATGCTTCAGGTTACATACATTTCAGGTTACAGACTCCGCTAACCCAGAAATAGTGCTTCAGGTTAAGAACTTTGCTTCAGGATGAGAACAGAAATTGTGCTCTGGCGGCACGGCAGCAGCAGAAGGCCCCATTAGCTAAAATGGTGCTTCAGGTTAACAACAGTTTCAGGTTAAGTACGGAAGAATGGACCTTCGGAACGAATTAAGTACTTAACCCAAGGTACCACTGTATCCAGAATTTGCCCAAAAGGAAAAGAGACTGGGGGGGGGAGGTAATGCAGCAGATGCCCTTTCTTGGAGGGCTGTGGTGCCCAAACACCAAGCACAGAGCCGCATCTGTTGGTGTTTATTGCCCTCCCTAAGTATAGGAGTATAAGGGACGTGGGTGGCGCTGTGGGTTAAACCACAGAGCCTACGACTAGCCGATCAGAAGGTCGGCGGTTCGAATCCCCGCGACGGGGTGAGCTCCCGCTGCTCGGTTCCTGCTCCTGCCAACCTAGCAGTTCGAAAGCATGTCAAAGTGCAAGTAGATAAATAGGTACCACTCCGGCGGGAAGGTAAACGGCGTTTTCATCCGCTGCTCTGGTTCGCCAGAAGCGGCTTAGTCATGCTGGCCACATGACCCAGAAGCTGTATGCCGACTCCCTCGGCCAATAAAGCGAGATAGGCGCCGCAACCCCAGAGTTGGTCATGACTGGACCTAATGGTCAGGGGTCCCTTTGTCTTAAGCATAGGAGTCCACCTAGTCAGTCATTGGCTATTTATTTCTTGTTCATTGCATTTATATCCCGCCTTTTGACCCAAGGAGCTCAAGGCGGCATGCATGGGTCTCAGTTTCCTCGTTTAATCCCTGCAACAACCTTGTGATGTAGGTTCAGCTGAGAGGCAGTGATTGGCCCAAGGTCAACTAGTGAGTTTCATGGTCAAGTCAGGATTCAAATTGTAGCTTCCCAGTCTCAGGTCCTAGGCCATCCACACTTAACCACTACTCCATGCTGACTATTAGTCAGCTCCCCACTTTTTCTCTCTCCTTCCTGCTTCCTTCCAGAATGGAAATAATAGTCTCTTTCTCCTTTCTGGATGACCAGTGGAATCTGTTGTCAAGCCTGCCTCTCTCTCTCTTTCTCTCTCTGTGTGTGTGTGTGTGTGTGTCATTGAGAGCAGCTTGGGTATATAAGGCTATTTTAGCTCCTTTTGGATAACTATATTACAGTTGCCTTTGTTTAAAATGCTAGAGGCTTTTGCATTGCATATAATGTACGAATGCATCACAAGCCTTTGTTTTTGTAACAGGAGTTTAAAAGCGGGGCTTCTGAAAATATATAAAGGGGCTGTTTTTTATTATTATTGTTATTTGTTTCAGCTTTCTAATCTTCAGTGCTCCCCCCCCCTAGAAAAATAGGTGTCAGTACTCATCATGAAGTTGTTACAGTAATTGCCACACTTTTAAAAAACCCAAAAAAGAGGTGCAGGTACTACATACCCTTGAGTACCCCCTGGGGGAAGCACGGATCATCTTGTTAACATAACTGACGCTGGGTGAGTTTTGAAGCCCTGCATCTCTCTTCTGTATACATCCTCCAGCAATACAGTAGTCCTGTCAAAGTTTGACCTCCGTGATTTATGTCTGAAGCTATTTAAAAGGCAAACAAGTATTAGTCAGAGGCCAATATACTGTGGCAGTGCTGTGTCTGTGTGTATGTCTTTTGAGTTCCAAATTCTAAATTTGCTTCCCTGCACAACCTAGTCTTAACACTCACTGTGCTTTAATTATTAAGTTTAATTGTTTTAAAATCAATAACAAATACATGTGGCATCATGCTTTACCTCATTGGTGCCGTCACAGGGAAGAATTGTGCTCCTAATACTTGAAATATTTATTGTTTTTTCTGAGATAAAAAAGAAAACAAGGGGATCAAAATGCCTATCAACACCCTCATCTAAATGCTGTAAGGAATGATGAAACATGGGTCTTCATGTCTCTCCTTCAAACATCCATCGTAATACACATGGCTGCTGCGAACGAATATATAATTTGTAAATTATGATAAAGATTCAGGTGCCTCCTCTTTTGTAAGCAGCCGAATGTACCAGTGGCAAATACACCCATAATTAAGTAATTTTGAGGGTTTCTAATCATATTGGCTGCAATAAGATAATTTACTGATGGTTTTTTTGCTGGGCCCTATATATTTGAATAAAATACTTGCCCATGGAAACATGAAATTGATTGTTAATTGCTTACCATGAATATGCAGATAACCCCTGCTTTGATCTTTCCTGCTGGTGAGCCGGAGCAGCAATCCATGATCCATTGCATCTGAAATGTGGGGTAATTGTTTATTTCATTCAACAAACCACAGTTAGTAAGCCAGAAATAGACCTTGGCTTCGGATTGTGGTTTGTTGGTGCAAAACATACTATAATCCCTGTTACAGATGCAACACTTAGCCAAGGATTGTGATTTGTGGCTGCCACTCGTAGGGGGTGCAGAATCTAAATGGGAGTGATGTGGGTATTTATGGTAAACCATGGTTTACCATGATGGGGGAATGCAGCCATTGCTTGAAACAGTAGATATAAAGTTATTTAAAGCTGATTGCAACGTAACAGCAGTAATGATCAATCTTTCTGCAGTGGGGGTGCTTGATGTTTTTTGGGTCAAGGGATGCATCGACCAATGTATCTACTGAGAATCACATGTTATAGTAGCTGTGGCCAAGCTGTAAAAGTGACTGTGGCCGAGGTGGAAACTTAATGCTTTTTGTTTTTTAGTACCAAAAAATTACATGGAAACTTACAGCTGACTATTTTGTATATAGTTCATGGCATCATACAATACATATTCCTAATGAGATAACTGTCTGTTTTCTAGCTCAAGGTGATAATAGCAGATGGCATAGCCAGCAGGAGAAAGTTTCTCATAATTTGGAAAAAAACCAACCCTGCAATTGTTGCATATATTTAAACGAATTCCACCAGATCTGGTTCCATTAAGCCCCCATATTCATTCCGCTCTGCCCATACATTATTCCTTAATCAATTAAGCCTCCATAGTAATTCCTCTCCCATCCATTTTACCTGCTTGCATTAAGCTCCCCGTTTATTTTACAGTGTCATTTGCACAGTTAAGGGAGAATAAGAAGCACAGTAGTCAAGATGCTACTAAAGTATAAATAATACATAGCAGAGGCAGTAATTATAGTAGATTCCGAAGGGTGTGCTTATGGAAATGTGTCAGTTACTGCCCAGTCAGGTGAATGTTGATGTTATAGGTGCACATAGGATTTAGCCAGTTTAATATTTCTTCAGAGAATCCCCCCCCCCCAAAAAAAACCTCCATTACTGTATTTAAGAAACAGCATTATCATGTTGCATGTACCCCTGGGTGGCATCAGTCTCAGCTGGAGGCAAAAGAATGAAAACAAGCAGGCTGTGTAAAGTTAGTGTTATTGCTGCAAGCTTATTAAATGTTGAAGAGCTCTTTATATGATTGAGATGTACTGTTTGAACAGAAAGTTTATGGTTACAAGTAGAAATATATCCAGATTACTGTATTTGTCATGTTTCAAAGTATGACAGATATAAAGTTGATCGTAAGAGATGTTTGAAAGTCTTTTAAAAGAGACTTACTTGGAAAGCCTAATAGAGTGTTTGGAATTATATACTAGATGTGCTTATTTGGTGCATAATTTATTGAACGCCTTCCTTTTCTAAGAATTATTTTGGTGCTGTTTGAATAGTTCTGATAAGTTGCACCAGTGATCTTTGCCAATACACCCAGTGCACGAGAAACAACAATGTTCAAGTTCTTCCGTCATAAAAGCATGGGGCAGTTGGGGAAGGTTCCATGTATGTCCCCCTGAGCTCCACTGAGGAAGGATGGAATGAAACTTCAATAAACCATGTATAAATAAACTTCAATAAATTACATAATATTACCTAGGGCAGAGACGTGGGTGGCGCTGTGGGTTAAACCACAGAGCCTAGGACTTTCCAATCAGAAGGTCAGCGTTTCGAATCCCCGGACGGGGTGAGCTCCCATTACTCGGTCCCAGCTCCTGCCAGCCTACCAGTTCAAAAGCACCTAAAAGTGCAAGTAGATAAATAGGTACCACTCCAGCAGGAAGGTAAATGGCGTTTCTGTGCGCTGCTCTGGTTCGCCAGAAGTGGCTTAGTCATGCTGGCCACATGACCCGGAAGCTGTTCGCCGGCTCCCCTCGGCCAATAAAGCGAGATGAGTGCCGCAACCCCAGAGTCGGTCACGACTGGACCTAATGGTCAGAGGTTTCTTTACCTTTTACTCTCTTTCTTTGCCAGTGCATTACTCTGTTATCATTAGGTCTTCACTAGGCTATAGGTACATTTTGATATGTAAAAAAAATAAATAAATCTAGTGTTGCACTTCTTTATCTGGCAAATAAACTGTTCAGATAGTAATGGCATACAATTTTCTTGACAGTTTAGAATTGGAACGTTTGCTGTTTGACTGCTATTTTGAAGAGTTGGACTTTGGCAAAGAGTAAAAATAGCTTAGCACAATAGAGAGAGTCTGCAAATAGCCATGGTGTTTGATAAGCAGCAGGTATTTCCTGTGATAAATGTTGCCTAAATATTTGTCAGCATTATGTGCTTCAATGTGTTTGGCTTATGTACTAACAGCGTTGTCCTATGCAGTGCTCAGAAATAAGCCACACTGTTCTCATGTAAGTGTTTATTCCCATGTAAGCTAATTTAAGATTGCAGTTTAAATGTTATTTTATGAAGGTTTGGCCCTCACCTCAGTCTTGACACTGATCATAAGTGCAGGTTGGCAGTGAAGGATATATGAGCAGATGTTCCAATCAATTAGTTCCCTAAAATAAGTGAAAAGTGGTTTTAAACAGAAGCATTGTGGCTAAGGACTCCTAGTTGAACTTACTGTATGACTTCCTCAAGGCATTTTGCCAAAGTAGTTCACCTTTGCTACCGTAGGTTTCATGAAGCACTGATGCATTATTCAGAAGATACTGGCGCTCTTTGCTGTGCTAAGCTTCCGAAATTTGTCTTGTATCATTTGTACTTAGAGAGCTGAATGAGGGAAATCCAAAGCTGTTGTGTGCAGGAGATGTCATTGCTAATGTGCATTGTGTATTTCTACTGCATCATAGGAGGCTTTTTTAAACATATGTCCAAAGTTTAGTTTATAAAATCTATCTATGTCTACTTCAGTTTGCTGATTTGTCCCCCCACTCCCTCTGCCTTTCTAGCTCTGTAAAAATACTAATAATAGATCATTTGGCAGTATTCTGAAGCTGGAACTGAAGGATGAATTGTACCTGTCATTTTTGTATAATATCCCATAACATTGCTGAGAGAAGTCTCATAAGCAACATCCACAGGTCAAGAATGTTTGCAAATTCTCCTCCTTGTTGAACAACCGGTATAAAAATAGACTTCACTGAGCTATTTGTGGTCAGTTTACTACTTCAGTATGCTTGATTGTATAAAGTTTTCCCCAGACCAAACTGCTTCAGGGTGTATTTAAATACAGTGGTGCCTCGCAAGACGAAATTAATTCGTTCCGCGAGTTTTGTCGTCTTGCGATTCTTTTCGTCTTGCGAAGCACGGTGTCGGGAAAGTTTTGGAAAAGCTTCAAAAATCACCAAAGTCTTTAAAAACCTCAAAAAAGGCTACCACACCGCGTTCTATGAGTTGCTCCTCGAAGTCAAGTCGCAACTGTATTAACGGTGTTAAGAAAAAGGAAACAAACTTGCAAGCCCATAGGGAAAATCGTCTTGCGAAGCAGCTCAAAAAACCCTTTCGTCTAGCGAGTTTTTTGTCTTGCGAGGTACCACTGTACTCTACCATGAAAAAAACTGCCCATACCAAGAGTTCAGCCTGTGATGAATTGGTCCAAAATGTCATTAATTGATACAGAATCAATCCTTTGCATGATTTTGATATCTTGTTGATACATACATATTGGGGGGGGGGTTAAGATTTTGTTGAGGAGTTTCTGCAGTATAACTTACTGAGTTATCAGAATAAACAGCATCAATAGCTTTCTGTTTCCTAATTTCCTGAATTGTAATATTGACCTCTATAAGTTAAAAAAAAAATGTAAAGAATTGAAATATTCAGAATTAATCACTGGAAGACATCATACATATGAAGTGTATTGGCACCTTTTCAGCAGGATTACAGTAATAAGGCCAGAGGCAGGCCAGAATTCATCACAACAGCTGTCTGAAAGTAGGATTGCCAGAGAACCAGACAGTACTGGGTAGAAAATAGCATTGACTTTCTGTGCCCTCTAACCTCTTAGTTAGAGGAAGAAAGAGAACAACATGGAATTATGTTTAACACTTTTTCCTTTTTGTTTTTTACTGGTCTAATAATCCACATATTTAAATTTTCCAATATTCTGACATTTCAAGAGAGTTTTACTGTCCTTTCATAATATATTTTATTATGTGCCTACAAAGTTTACTTGGCTAAATGTTTTTCTTGGATTCGAATGGATTTTATCATGCAGTTTCTCTATTCTGCTGTGCTTATTGTTCTCTCCCTCTAATATTTTCTCCTCTCTATACATGTCCACCACCTTACCTCTTCTTTTCAGGAATCTAATAAAGTAGGGGTTGGTTTAGAAAAGGCCACGTAAAAATAAGTTAGTCCTTTAAGGTACCAGTGGTATAATTTGTTTACTCCTGCAGACTAAAATAACTTCCTCTGGAATCATTATCTTGCTATCACGCTAACAATATGAGCCTACCTTGAATATACAAAATTATACATTTCTAAAATATCCCTTGGAATTAAGTAATTTTAAAAATTGTGATTTTGTACTTGCAGATTATGCTTGGATTGGCAATATGTATAATATTGGTAAATGTATATTCAGTGATAGTAGTTACAGATAAATAACACAGCTAATATTTACTTAGTGATGGCAGTGGTTGGCTGCTAAATATAAATATGCAATGTGACTGGATTGTTTAGTGATATTTTAAAGATGCTGAGAGTCCAGTATAGATTTTGAATTATCGCAACATCTTTAAATTGAAAGCAAGCAAATCGAATAGATACCTTTCAGATAGCGGGGAAATGAGGTTAATCGGTGATTAGAGATTTAATAGCTGTTATTATCCACACAAAGAACTTCTCTTTATGATTTCAGGATGCTAACATTTATAACATGACACATACAAAACCAGAATTGCCAGCTTGTGAAGGCGATTAGGGGGGACGATATCATATGCATGATGTCGCACACATGTGACGTTGGGAGGGGCCAGGGGTGGAGCCAAACATAGCAGCAGCTTGGCTTTGATGGTTGGTGGCCCCTCCTCCTGCCGCGGAGGGGCAGGAGCAGCAGGAGGAGAAGAAAAGGAACTGGCCATTGAAGCCATGCTGCACTTGGTTCCATGCTTTTCCTCCTCCTCCTCCCCCTGAATTTTTGGGACATCCTCCCAAAAATGGGGGGGGGCAGAACGGATAGAAGATGTGATAAGTGACTATTTCACAGATAAAGTTCTTTTCCTTTAATTTTATTTAAGTTATTTATTAGTCACTCTTCAAGGCTAAGTCCTCGCAGACCAACATAAGAGTGGGGCAGAGTAAGGAGCATGATAAGAAAACTGGATTAGATCGCCAAAATTCTCTTAAGGAAATTGTAGGCTTCTGTATCAAATTGAATTGTTTTGTTTGTAATAGACCATAGTAAAGATAGAAGCTTTTAAGGCTTTCTTGAATACCAGAATTGCAAGGGCCGAATGAATGTTTATTTGAAGAGAGTTCCTTACTGTCAGCCTAACTGATATCGCTGACAAGCACACATTCAGGACTTCAGACACGAATCTTAGATTGTGGGCAAGGTCTTCTGGTACAGGCCGTCCTTAAAATATCCAATGCCAAATCATTTTAGGGAATTAAAGGTCAATTCTACCACTCTGATTTGAGTCCAGAAACATACTGGTAGACAGTGCAACTGGCGCCAAAGTTGTGTTGCATGTTCAGATCATAGTGCTCTTGGTAATAGTAATTATTATTTTTATTATTATTTAAAAATCACATTCTAGACAGATGAATCTTTGATTCTATGACATTTCCTATCTTAATAGGTGGCAAGATTAACATTGCAATGGAGCCAAGTTTAAAAACCCTGGCTATGTTTACTTCAGGAAACTAAGTGTTAGTGTTTGACCATAGTACATATAGAAGTCTAGTGATTTTTTTAAAGGGTTAAATTTTGCCTGTGCTCTGTTTTGCTGCAGAAAGTAGCAAGCTTTATTAGATAAGGTTCCAACATCTTAATACTGTAAAAGGAAGAGAAAGCTGTCCGTGTGTGAATATGGGCTTTTTGTAAAAAAAATAATGGAAATAATGCTTTTTACCGTTTACTCCCCCTTCTTTTGCATTGTTTTAAATATACAGTATCTCTTCTCTTTAGAAGTAACTACTTATAAGAGGAGGCAGCTGTTTTCTTTGCTTCCGTAACGCACATTAAACTACTGTGTTAATTTTGATTTTTGTAGAAAGTAGATCACATGTGAGAAAAATATAGAATTATGCCAGCTCCTCACAGCAGCAATGAAAGGTGCAAGTACAGATAAACAGGTTGCTTGCTTAACCTCATGCACTTCTAAACAACATATACAGTACAGTAGTCCCTTGGAGTTCTCCAGTTAATGGATATGTGATTATCACAGACTATCCTTTAAATTAATACAAAGCTTCAGACCCCTAAAAAGAATGTGGTACACGTAGTACTTTATGATTCATAAAGTTGTCCTGAAATATCTATAATATATTTGGGGAATTTGTGAACTGAATGAACTGGGGAAAACGTGTAAGGTTGTGTAATTTACCTTTTAATAATGATAGCTTTGTTTATGGCATAGCTAATTAAGAAGATATTTGGGGCACGGTTAATTATCTGCAACCTGTGGACAGTCCTTGGGAGTTGATTCATGGTTCCAGGGAAAGATTTATCAGTGGAAACAGATAAAAGACTTGATGCCATTCCAGTCCTGTAGCTGTTGAACATGATTAATCGTAAGAAAGGAGGCTAGTTGTAGGTGCTGCACAACTTGACTTAACTATTTCTGTAAAATCCTTAAGTAGTAAGAGCTATGAATTGTGAACCCTGCCTGTGTTTCTTCATAGAATGGCTTCCTGACATTTTGTTCAGCTTAATGTCTAAAACTGAATTTTTTCTTTTGAATTTATTTCAAGATGATGGCCGATCCAGGCAAGATCATAACATAAAGATCGTGATATTCAATGAAGTGCAAGTTTCAAATGTGTCACCTCGGACCTAACACAGCTGAAGAAAGAAGTACATACTCGTAATGCCAGTGTAGACCAATGGCTGTTGTCTACTCTGGTTTTAAACCAAAACAATCAAACCAAAATGAGAAGGAGCAACACACAATGTGCATACAGGATGTGGTTTCCAAATAACTGAAGTGTGAAGCAAACCTCATGAATTTCAACCACAGAGATTCAGAAAACATCACTGGTAAGTTGAAAATCAGGTAAAAGGCCCAGATATACCACTCTGGAATCCATTTGGATGAAGGGCAGTTTCTAAAATTTAGAAGTATTTGTCACTCCAATTGTTATAAACTGTTTGGATTGAAAAATGGGACAGATAGTTACACAGCCTGGATGAACCCCTCATCTACACAGTACAAGTCAAAGTGCTGCTCCTTTAGAATTATTATTTTTTAAGACACGAGTTGCAAAGGAAAATGGTCACTAATCTACTGCAAAGATTTATGTACTCACAGAACCTTTATCCAGATAGTGATCTGATGTTATCTACGGCTTTAATATAAAATAGAGCGCACAACCCTAGAGTCTGTCAAGACTGGCCCGTAGGGGCAGGGGTACCTTTACCTTTACCTTTTACTCTTAAGTTAATAATGCATTTCACATTTCTCAGCTGAAAAATGTGTAAGCTGGGGGGAAACCCACGTAGATGCATTTTAGTAGTTTGGTGCTGACAAAGCTGCTAATTTATTACAGTGTTTATTTAGTTAAATGTACTAAGGATTGTGCTGTTTCTGTCTAGCCCAGGTTTAAATCACTATTGATAAGCTATCATGGCTGCTTTTATTGTCAAAGCAAAGAAAATAAATAGTTCCTTTAGTATTCATCCCAAAGCAGATTGGTATCATGATGCCTGCCTATATATATGCCTTTTTAGATGTTTGTCCTAATGAAGATCTCGCTGAAGTTGAGCTGGTGAGCATGCTGGAGGAACAGCTGCCTCAATACAAGTTACGTGTGGATTCTTTATGTCTCTCTGAAAATGCCGACTGGACCCAGTCTCCAGGCCGCCACAGTCATGTCTCTGAAATCTCTTCTCCAGTTCTTTCTGAAGAGACCATCCGTTACATGAGTAAGTGCTTTTGCTCACTGCCAGGGACTGAAATGAAAAATATAAATGAACTGCTTAGGTGATGCCCTGATCAAATCCCTGTTCAGCCTCAGCTTGGCCTTTGTGACGCTGGAGAAAGTGAGAATTACAGTGACCTGACAAGGCTGTAGAAATTTTGTACAGTCTAAGTGCTGTATATCTGGGGTCCCTAACACAGTCTCAGGAGGCATCAATATACCATACTTTTCCATGTATAAGACTAGGTTTTTTTCTTTAAAAGTCATGCTAAAAATTGGGGTCATCTTATACATGGATAGTGCATAGGGTGGATGTTTGATTGGTTGCTGCTGCTGCTGTCAGCAGCTATTGGTCGTGTTATTGGTTGCTGCGTCAATGCCTGGTGTTGATTGGCTGACGCTGTGGCAATTGGGCGGGCGATTGGCAGCTTCTGCCGGTGATGGGACAGTCAAGAGTAGACGCGGCAATTTTCTGCAATCCCCCCTAAAAAAGCTCAACAACTCTGTGCCATATCCCCCATATTCTTAAATTTGAGTCCCCAAAAATAGGGGGCGTCTTATAGACGTAAAAGTACGGTATCTTAAGGTCTTCAACACTTGCCTGTTCCCTGCATTTTTGTTTACTCTGCTGAGTTGCTGTAGAACAGTAGCTCCGAAACCAATGCAGCCATTTTTCATTTCCGCACCAAACATTGTTGGCCTCCTGCAACCTCCCCCCCCCCAAGCTGGCATGACCAGTGATCAGAAATTACAGAAATTACCACATCTTAAAGGCCACAGGTTAGTCTTTCCCCGCTGTGATAAATATAAATGCAAGCTAGGAGTGCAATCTATACATGTTTACATGATGTAAGTCCAGTTGTATTAGTGGGGCATACTTCTAGGTAGGCATGCATAAAATCTCTCCCTCATTGTGAAATTTAATCAGTTTCTAAGAGCAGTTGAAGGCCGTATTAGAACCAATATATATAGAACGTATATATGAGAACCAATACCGCTCATTAGTGAATTTGTGGTTGCACTGAAACTTACAAGTTTCTCAGGTCAAAGCTCATAACTTCATCCTTGAAACCATACTGGTTTCACGCCATGTTCTGCAGTGGAAGATCTAAGCAATTTCAGATGAACATTGCATGAGTTCACATATTTTCAGTCCACACACCCAGAAATATGTTTATTTCCAAATGCAACAGCCTATAAAAAGTAGGCATAATGCTGGTAGCAATTCACATTTTATAACTCTTGGTCAGAGTTACAAAAGAACATAGCTTATGGGGAATAAATGGTTGGTTATAACTGAGAGAATTACCTTGGATTAAATGCAAAACCCTTAAAATAAACAGAGCCTTGGTATCTTTTTTCTTCTTTCATAACTTGATTATACAACTCTAACAATGTAGGTCTGCTTAAATATTGACTTATACAGCTTTTTATTTCCATGTTTTTCACCTTCACTCTTTAAGCTATTTTATCATCATAAAAATTCAGTGTGTTGTGGGTAGGTGTTCACATTTCTGGATTCTTAGAACTTAATTTTGCAAAAATGTTGGAAAGATCCTTATGAAATGTTGGTTATTTACAGAGCTTGAAAAGTAGGCATAATAATTGCCTTGGTCATTTTTTAACTAAAAACTAGGATTGTCTTTTTCAGACCAGAAAAATATGAATGCAAACAGATGACTAGCACATATTTCTGCATGGGATCACGCAGATGTGTAATGAAGTGTGTGTCATAAGTAAACCTTGTGTTTTTCCACAAAAACCGAATTTGCAATACTGAGTACAAGGCTTAAAAATTACAGCTCTTCTGTACTCTTGGACTGGAGGTGGTAAAGGCAATTATGGTCAACTCACAACTTAAACCTGTTTAACTTGCATGAATTCAGCTTTACATGCTTGGCCCAGGGGCAGGGGGCATCCAGTGGGGAAAACATCAGCAATCACACTTGGGAGAGCATCTGGAGACGCAGGGAGTGTGTGTTTTGACTATACACTATTTTGGCTCTATGCGCTATCTCGAGAACTTAACCCCCTTGTAAGTTGCAAGCCATCTGTATTTTTAGAGGGTTAATTTGTTTGGCTGTCCTGGTTCTATGAAGTTGATAATGAGCTGGATCCATGGCTGCTTAAAAGGTATCTTAGCCTCATAGTATTGTGTTCAAAAATTGAATAGTTTCGAGATGAACACATAACCACCTTGGACTTTCTCATGCAATGTGAAGTATACCATGTATTCTTTCTTCCTGATGCTTCCCCATCGCTCCCACCCCCAAAACTCACTTAAAAACTGTTAGGCAAAATGAGTACAGTCTCCCAGGAGATTTAGCGACAGGTCTTTTCCAACATACTCTTTTCTGCATTTCTACAACTTAGCTGGTTGACTCCCACCAGTAACTTGTTTTGACTTTACAGTGGTACTGGCACATCCCCTGCTCTTAAGTGTTTGCACAACATTTGTGTGGTCCTTTCTGTCTGTTATGTTAGCTTGCAAAAGGAGATAGCATCATGGATACCCAAGTACAGTGGTACCTCGGGTTAAGTACTTAATTGGTTCCGGAGGTCCGTTCTTAACCTGAAACTGTTCTTAACCTGAAGCACCACTTTAGCTAATGGGGCCTCCTGCTGCCGCCACACGATTTCTGTTCTCATCCTGAAGCAAAGTTCTTAACCCTAGGTACTATTTCTGGGTTAGCAGAGTCTGTAACCTGAAGCGTATGTAACCTGAAGCGTCTGTAACCCGAGGTACCACTGTATCTAGTTTTTCAGTTTTATCAGAACTTTGAAAAATTGAAATGTACAATATTTTGTCCCTCCCACATTTTTTTAAACTAGTTTTTTTTACCAGAAATGCAGTATATTCATTGTAGCATAACATGTGCTTTTAGTAAGCCGTTGCAGAAATGAACTAGTGATGTAAATCTCTTATTTCTTTCCTTTCCTCACCCCTTCCTCAGAACAATATAAATATAATAACACAGTTGGGGGCAGGTTTCACACAGAAATGCTCATTCATAGGCAGCTAGGAAGTAGGAGAGATATTTTGCTTGGGTTTGTAGCATCTGGATGTCTCAATGTGGTTTCTATATTGCTTGATCTGAGATTATAAATCACAGTCCTTAGATTGTGAGCCATTAGGGGTCATGGCTATTTTTAAAAATACTGTAAACTACTCAGAGCTCTTGGTATAGAATGGGATATAAATTAAATAAATACATAAAAGAAGGAATGTAAGGAAAGTAGAGGATAGAAATTATTATTTACAAAAAAGGAATTCATGCATTCCTGTTTAAAACTAATTATACCGCTTTGGTGAATTTACTGTTTCCATAGCAGATCTGCTGCCCTGAAATTCTTAAACAACTCTGGTCTGCATGGTCACAGCAATGCAACATCAGAATATATTCAAATGAAAGCTGACAGCTATCAGTAATGAATTTAGCAGGGCAGAATCAGTATTGCATCAGATTAGAGTACTCTATGAGCACCTACAGCATAAGAATAAATAAGAAATCTAACTTCTATAGGAGGATTAGATCAAATTTTAAAGCTGCATATTTTTAGAGTTCTGAATCTAGGGAACTACAGCATGATTTTTCTAATGCACTCTGAACTCACTGTGCTGATAGTATAGTATTGCAGTATAGCTCCTCCCTGCTTTATGGCACTGCTGTTCAGGAATGTTTATTTGCTAGACAACTTGAGTAAATATTAGAGAGTTCTTGTGTTGTGGCCCAGAGGCAGTGCCTGCTGCAGAAGGAAAAATACTGAACAAGCACTGCTTCTTGGCATATTCTCAACTGCTCCATATACATATGCTGGCACTCGGACATGGCACTAGACAACAGGGACATGAATCAAAATGAAGAGCTTCTTACAGCTGTCACTCTACAGGGTAAGTGGGCACATAAATTCTTCACGTAGATTCCTTTTATCCTGATTTTGGGCTAACTACAAGTTATCAGTCCGGAATCGTTTTGTAAAATTGTAGTTGGCTGTTGGAATAGCATGGTGATAATCCTGACCAATCTCTTTAGAGAGATTTGAATCTAGCCTCTGCCATAAACTCACTGAGGCTGAAATCCTGACCCATTTACCTTGGAAGTAAGCTGCATTGAATTCATTAGGATTTACTTCTGAGTGGACATGAGTAGGGGTGGCGCTGTGGGTTAAACCACAGAGCCTAGGACTTGCCGATCAGAAGGTCGGTGGTTCGAATCCCCACGACGGGGTGAGCTCCCGTTGCTCGGTCCCTGCTCCTGCCAACCTAGCAGTTCAAAAGCACGTCAAAGTGCAAGTAGATAAATAGGTACCACTCCGGCGGGAAGGTAAACGGCGTTTCCGTGCACTGCTCTGGTTCGCCAGAAGCGGTTTAGTCATGCTGGCCACATGACCTGGAAAGCTGTCTGTGGACAAACACTGGCTCCCTCGGCCTATAGAGCGAGATGAGCACCGCAACCCGAGTCGGTCACGACTGGACCTAATGGTCAGGGGTCCCTTTACCTTTACAGCAATATGCACAGGTGCAGTAAAACACAAGATGCCACAAAAGCAATACACATCATCTTACCTCTGCATGTTCTGCATGTTTTGACCTCCCTTCCAACTCCAGTTCCCAGCCTTACCAGCATCCCTACAGGCATTGCAATCCCCTGCCAACAGCATCTAGGTCTCCGTCTCCAGGAAAGGCGGAGAACCTCTATCTGCCCCACTCTGCCCAAGGGCTGTACGCCGGCTCCCTCGGCCAATAAAGCGAGATGAGCGCCGCAACCCCAGAGTTGGTCACGACTGGACCTAATGGTCAGGGGTCCCCTTTACCTTTACCCTTTTAGACATGAGTAGAACTGCACTGTTAGTTGTCTTAGTAAGCCTTCTCTCTCTTAGCTTTTGAGGGAAAGTCCCTACAAGATACAGAATTAAATTACCGTATTTTTCGCTCCATAAGACGCACCCGACCATAAGACGCACCTAGTTTTAGAGGAGGAGAACAAGAAAAAAAACATTTTCTCCCTCTCTGCACAGCGCCTCTCCAGCGAAGTGAAGCCAGGAGAGCAAGAGGGATTGGTGCGCACCAATCCCTCTTGCTCTCCTGGCTTCAGTGAATTATTATTATTATTATTATTATTATTATTATTATTATTATTATTATTATTATTAATATCCCGCCCATCTGGCTGGGCTTCCCCAGCCACTCTGGGCGGCTTCAAAAAAAATATTAAAATACTGTAATGCATCAAACATTAAAAGCTTCCCTAAACAGGGCTGCGTTCAAATGTCTTCTAAAAGTCTGCTAGTTGTTGTTCTCTTTGACATCTGGTGGGAGGGCGTTCCACAGGGAGGACGCTACTACCGAGAAGGCCCTCTGCCTTGGCTTCTCGCAGTGAGGGGACCGCCAGAAGGCCCTTGGAGCTGGACCTCAGTGTCCGGGCAGAACGATGGGGGTGGAGACGCTCCTTCAGATATACTGGACCGAGGCCATTTAGGGCTTTAAAGGTCAGCACCAACACTTTGAATTGTGCTCAGAAACGTACTGGGAGCCAATGTAGGTCTTTCAAGACCGGTGTTATATGGTCTCGGCGGCCGCTCCCAGTCACCAGCCTAGCTGCTGCATTCTGGATTAGTTGTAGTTTCCGGGTCACCTTCAAACGTAGCCCCACGTAGAGCGCTTTGCAGCAGTCCTTACTTTTTAGGAGGGGAAAAGTGTGTCTTATAGAGCGAAAAATACGGTATATGTCTTCTGCCTGGGAGCTGAAAAGCTTCTTCGGTTTATACAACTGGCTGACTCTTGCTCAGTGAGATCGTAGACTCCTTTTCTTCCTTTGATCTTTCAATATTTGTGGCATATTTGTCATGTTTGCCTATCAGTAAGTCATAAACACCAAGAACAAATTTTGAATTACCATTGTGGTTTAGAATGGAAAAAAACAACCCATGATTTTTGGTTTGGGCATAATGTTTAGCCAGGGATTGTGGTTTGTTTCCTCCTGGCACTAGTGTCAAAGAGCAAAATGCACATGATCTGCTTGTGCATGGCAAGCCACGGTTTGCCATTACGTGTGAATCCTGCCATTATATAATGCTTTTAAAATGTAGGGATGTTACTGACCCATCTTACAGGATAGTTGTGAGAATTCCCTGAAGATAATGTTTGTGAAGTGCTTTGAGAACGCAAAATTGCTAGAGCACTTTGAAGAATTTGATAATGCCGTTGGTTGAGAGCACAGCATCGCTAAGCAACTGTTCTTAGAACTTAAGCTGTGAAGCATTTGTCCTTCCATTCTTTAAGAAAAATGAATTATTTCATTCCCTCTTTCTGACCTCTTCTCAAATAAGCTGTAAGCCATTTGGATATAAATAGAGGCATAAAAAATATTTGCGATCTATGTGTTTACTGTTCTCTGTGGCACACAGGGTATTGCTACTCTGTAAGTCAGAAAGTGCCCCAGCTACATTTTAGTGGCCTTTGCATAATCCATGGCCCTTTCTGGTCAGAGTATTTAAAAATCAGATATTTAAAACAAAACACATCAAAACATTCATAAATAATGTGAGTTAACTATAACTAGGTAAACACTTCTTTGTTGGAGTTGTACAGCAGTGAAACAATGAAAAAACAGCTCAGTGTTCATAGAATGATGTACCCACCTTTTAAGAAATTATTGATATTGAAATAGTCAATCTTTGATTGCTAAGGTTCAGTTATCTGTATTTGCTCTGTGGTGGCACACCTAGGATTTACACCAAGGGAAAAACCAGGGCTTGCTTGTTATTGAACTGACTTTTCCTCCTACTGGTTGGAGCAGAGCCAGGATACTTTTGCTGCTAGCTTTCACAGGAAAGTAAGTTCACTCTCCAGGGGAAGGGAGGAAAAGGAGGAGAGGTTAAAAAGAAGTTAACTTGAGACTCTTCTTATCAGCAATACCACAGGCAGAAATAAGGGGGATGCAAAATATCCTTTAATGTTCATTCTGTTTTGGGTCCCACAAGCCCTTCCTTAGGGAACTTTAGGCTGCAATCCAATGCACACTTTCCTAAGAGTAAGTACCATTGAGTATAGGGAGACATACTTCTGAGTAAGTAAGCTCTGCAATAACTGCTTTGAGGAGGCAACACTTGCTTCTTCTCTGTACCTTCTCACAGTAAAAGCCCAACATTCCATGCTTTTGGGATGGAAATTATATAACATGTTCCTATATCCACACCCGATGTAAATCATTGGAACGTTCTGTGATTTGTCTTAAAAGATTTTCATGCACATTGGATTAGATGCATTCCCTAAACCTTTTAAGCTGCAATCCTAAACACACCTTTCTGTAAGTCCGACTATATCCATGTGGCTTACTTCTAGGTAAGTGTGCATAGAATTTCTGCCTTAGTGGGAAATCAAATCAGCTCCTACCAGCCATTGAACATCATACAGTAATGAGAACCACAAGGCATGAGGTTTCTTCAGATACTTGTGGATAATGAACACTCATTTATTGGAGTGTGTCCAACTAAGTGTTCATCAGGTGATGTGCCCATTTTTAAAGTTAATTGATGTTGAAGCAGTCACATCTTTGCTTGGTGAGGTTCAGTTATCTATCTTTGCTGTGTGACATGTATACACTTAAACATCAGATCACCATAAACATTCCTAGGAATTAAAAATGTTCGTGACAATAGCTCAGATGTTGCTTTTACAACTGCACACAGCTAAAGAGGACACAGTGCAACTTCCCACACACTACAAAATTTTATGGCTAGTCCAATTTTAAACGATATAATTTGTTTATTCATTTGGATAAGTGACTGGAATTGTTTTGTCCTAGGGGGTGCTGGCCTCATGGTAATGTGTAATCTCATCTCCTGAGGAGGGCAGATGGCGGTTTTGTTTGTGTCATTGTTCCTTGATTATCTGCAACATGAGAAAATGAGAAAACTTGGTTGGCAAATAAAACTGTGTGCATAAATGTTTCCCAGCCACTTTTCTAATTTGGCATTTTTTAAAAAAAGCCTGATCTGAGGCCAGAATACAATAGTATCTACAGTGTAGAAAGAGCCTCGTGGACTCAGGGTTTATCCATTCCGTTCTATGAGATGTAAACAGTTGATGTGCCTCATGGCCTCAGTCTAGAGATCCTATTGTGTGGTGCTGTGCAGTGCAAATATTGCTGCATGTGAGGATTTTCCTGTAGATGCCACTCTCGGAGTCAACTCTGTTAACCATCTGCTGTATGCACACATTCTGTCCAGCAAGGGATTCAGACCCGGGTGCTGGATGTACAGTTTTTACTGAGCCATTTCGTGCTTCATGCAGATTGCCGCAGCTGCATCAGGACATCTGACATAGTAATAGGAAGTTCCTTGAACATTCAGGGCTATATATAGCAAGTATGTTTTGGTAACCGAACCACAAATCCAGAAACCACAACAGTTTTGTAACTATTGATGTTTTCCTTTTCCTCTTCTGCATTTATTCTGTTCTTCCGTACTAGCTCTTCTTGAACTTCCCCCTTCTTCCTTGGCCGGACCTCGCAAACATGCCCAAGGTAATTCAAGTCCCTGTCTGTTCCCACCCTTTGCATGACAAGAGATAGTAGAAATTGCTTGTTGTTTAACACTTCCATGGTTGTCATGCTTTTTCTTAATCTTCCATTGCAAACCTTTCCATTAAAACTTAATGGCTAAAGTTTTGTTTTCCCTATTCCTCTTGCTCTCTACTGCTCCATACTGTTATTGTTTCATGGTTTCCATATACATTTTAACATGTCTTTCAAACCATCCACTAATTCTCGCAAGTATCCTGGAAGTTCCCAAGTGTGTATCACTTAGGGATTCTGGGTGGTATCCAACACTCCAGCAATGGACTTCCATTTGCACAGTGGAACGTCTTTCTCTCCTGCCCCCTCCATGTACCCTTAAAATCATCTCTGGGGAGTTGGGGGACCTTTCAGAGCAGATCTTGGGGACACATGGAGGGGGGAGGAAAGGAAACAAGTCAAATTGCATAGTGGAGTAAAGCGTGCGGAGCACTGGATTCAACCCTCTGTGTTTTGTTTAAACCACATTAAGGAGTTCTTTCGTTTTTCAGTTCTTGGCACGGACAGACGAGAGCTGGTGACAAACAATTGCAATGATGTTGAAGTGGTCACACATCTGCTGGCTGAGGTACAGTTATTTATTTATTTTTTGTACTTGTTAAGGTTTATTTGCTGTACATAGGAAGCTGCCTTAAGCTGAATCAAAGTATTAGTCCACCTAGCTCAGTATAGCTGATGTTGAGCTCTCCCAGACATACCTAGAGGTGCCCAAAACTAACTGAGCTACAGACATTCCTCAAAGCAGATGTCTGAGTTACAAGATCTCCTTAAAAAAATGTAGCAGGCAAAAAGATTTATGACTCAAGTCATAAACTGCTGTGCTACCAAGAATTGGTCTGAGAATTAAAAGGGAATGTTTAGGCAAAAATACGTCACATTTTAAAGATCTGCAGATAATTATTAGAGGATGTTTAAACAGCTGGAGCTCACCGACTGAATGCCAGAGTCGCCATGTTGGCTCTTACAAACCACGAACCTCGATTTGAACGTCATGTCAAAATAGGCATTGGCTTTGTTCCCAGAAGTTGTGGCAACCACAAGAGAAGAATGATTCAAGCACTGCATTAGCTGCACGCACCAATGTGATGATTGTTCACATTAAACAATAGTTTGTTTGCTTTTAACTGGTTTGGTACGAATTTACCAGCCCAGTGTGTAGATACAGATAAACAGGCACATAAGAGATAACAAATTAGATCGGGCAAATTCTTAAGGAGAGGCAATAGTAGAAAGAAACTCTTAAGGCTTTCTTGAATGCCAGGTCTGAATGGGTTAAGCAAATAAATGTTAACTGGAAGATAGTTTCACATCAGCAGAGCTACCGTTATGAAGGCCCTGTCTTGTGTGCTCAGCACCTAGTCAATTTTAACAGCAGGCACACAAGCAAGACCTTAAATGCAGATCTTAAATTTGGGCAGGATCATAAAGTCCTCTCTTGGTCTTTCTGAGCAGAGAGATCGGGACCTTGAATTGGCAGCACGAATTGGACAAGCCCTACTTAAACGGAACCATATCCTAACTGAGCAAAATGAAGCTCTGGAAGAACAACTGGGACAAGCCTTTGATAAGGTAAGTAGTATTAAACCTGAAGCATTTTAAGTGGCCGGAGGTGCTTGCTGTATGGTGGAAGATCAGATGATTGCATCAGACTAAACCCTCTACAGAAATGTGTATTTATTTGAAACATAATGTGATGTGGCAGATGAAGATGCTGGACTTTATGGAGCTGGCTGACCTGACTGGAAGATTCCGTGACCAGAAAGAAGAGGAGACTCAAGAGGATTGGAAGAAATTTAAAGAATATTTAGATAAATAGAAAATTATTGGAAGTAACAAATAGGCTTAGGGGTAGAATATGAATATGTAGAAGTAAATATTATGGAGTACAATATTAATAAAGGAGAAGAAGTTAGTAAATGAAAGGAGTTAATATCATTAGAAATATGAATTTGGAAAATTTATACAGGTGATAATAATGAAATTCAGTTAGAGGGGATTTGAGGAAGTCAGTTATTAATGTAATGAGAATTAGGTATTTGAAAAAATAATTTCTTTTTCTTGTGTGTTTAGTTTTTTGTAGCGTAGTATGTTTTTCTCTGTTGTGTGTTGTTTTGTTATGTCATTTCTGTGATAAATGTGGAAAATCAATAAAAAAAAATTGGAAAAGAAGAAGAAACATAATGTGATGAAGAAGTCAAATCAGCCAGCAAATTCAGTATGAAAAATGTTGTAATGCTTGGTCAGTGTCCTATGTACGATGGGAAAAACAATACTATAATATGTCTTGTAGGACAGTGCGCAACTTGGCAAGCTATTTAAGCAGAGTTACTCATTGAGTCTCAAAAGTATCTTTCAATTGGCAGTTCAACATAGGTAGCTACTGCAGAGAAATGGGTGGAGCCCTCCAATCTAGAGCCACAATTCACTGGAGGTGGTTGCAGTGTTGTGCATCGTTGACCGTGTTCAGTAAAAAAAAGTTGTTTGAAATCAGGTTCACCAGCTGCAGCATGAACTAACAAAAAAAGATGAGCTGCTTCGTGTCGTGTCCATTGCTTCTGAAGAAAGCGAGACGGACTCCAGCTGTTCCACGCCCCTGCGCTTCAATGAGTCCTTCAACCTGTCACAGAGTCTTCTACAGTTGGATATATTGCAGGATAAACTCAGGGAACTGGAGGAGGAAAACATTTCTCTTCGGACAAAGGTAAGTTTAGCTATGTTCATATTTCTGTCAAGCATTCTTAACTGGAATTGGGAAACAGATCTTCAGGATCTACTAAAACTCATATTTCTATGAACAAACAGACAGATTGGTGTTTCCTGAAGTGAAGGAAGTGGCTTAAACGGAAACAAATGACACACTTAATTGTCAAATTCACAACATTCATATTTGAGTTTCATATTCACAACATTTCGTATTTCTGTCAAGCATTCTTAACTGAAATTGGGAAACAGATCTTAAGGATCTACTAAAACTCAGGACAAGCTTGTGATATCATCATCATTTCATTTCAGTACTTGCATTTTAAAGAAAATTTTCAAAGCAGTTTACAACATCTTAAACCATCAAATAAAACAATCCGGAATAAAACAGATATAAAGTATACATTCAGAGCATTTAACAGGATGCTCACATGTTATCTTAAAGATTTCTAAATAGAACATTACAAAGGAGATCAGCTGCCGCACAGAATGCACATTTAATGCAGCAAAGTTAACAAAGAAATATCTTAGACAGTCCAAAATAAAACATTACTAAAGGAAGTCAAATATAAAATGCACATCTAATTAACAAGAGAATAAAATATCATACTCCTGCCAACCTAGCAGTTCGAAAGCACGTCAAAGTGCAAGTAGATAAATAGCTACCGCTCCGGCGGGAAGGTAAACGGTGTTTCCGTGTGCTGCTCTGGTTCACCAGAAGTGGCTTAGTCATGCTGGCCACATGACCCGGAAGCTGTACGCCAGCTCCCTCGGCCAATAAAGCGAGATGAGCGCCGCAACCCCAGAGTCGGTCACGACTGGACCTAATGGTCAGGGGTCCCTTTACCTTTTTAAAATATCATAAGCACAGAACATAGCTACTGTTGCTGCCAATCCTGCCAATGGTGGTTCATGGTGGGTGGCAGCTGTGGAAGCTCAGGCTCGATGACCTGGGTCTGCACTAAGTGACAGCCAAGATGGTCTGTGGCTTCAGCAGCCTCAGCTTTTGCAGCTGGAGTCAGTCAGGGCCCCACCATTCCAGGCCAGGTGGAAAAGGCCTGTAAGGCAGGGAGTAGGTCCTCCAGAACCTGCAGCCAAGATGGTCCTTGAGGATTTAGTTTAGAGTTCAGTCTCATAAATCCCATAGATACAGTGGTGCCCCGCAAGACGAACGCCTCGCAAGACGGAAAACCCGCTAGACGAAAGGGTTTTCCGTTTTGGAGGCGCTTCGCAAAACGAATTTCCCTATGGGCTTCCTTCGCAAAACAAAAGCCCATAGGGAAATCTCCGGGACAGCGGGGAAGCGCAGCGCGTCTTCCCCACTGTCCTCGGACCTCCTCCGAAGGCTGGCGGCGGGCGGAGAGACCTCCTCCCGCCGCCAGCCTTCGTTTCTCCGCTATCCCAGACGGCTTTTGAAGGCAGGCGGGGGGGGAGCAAAGACTTTGCTCCCCCCTGCCTGCCTTCCCGGGAGAGCGGAGAAACGCAGCGTGTTTCTCCGCTTTCCCGGACGGCTTTTGAAGGCAGGCGGGGGGGAACAAAGACTTTCGCACCCCGCCCGCCTTCAGAAGAGGTCCTGGACCTCTTCTGAAGGCCGGCGGGGGGCAAAAGTCTTTGTCCCCCCTGCCTGCCTTCCCGGGGGCTTTTAAATCGCCCCGGGACAGCGGAGAAGTCCCCCGCTGTCCTGGGGCTTTTTAAAATGCTGGCGGGCGGCAGCGGAGGCTTCGCTCCCGCCCGCCAGCATTTTAAGATCGCCCCGGACAGCGGAGAAGTCCCCCGCTGTCCGGGGGTTTTTTAAAATGCTGGGGGTTGGAAGAAAAGCCCTTGGTTCCCCCCCCCCCCAGCCTTCAGAAGAGGTCGGGGGACAGACTGTCCCCGGACCTGGTCTGAAGTCTGTTTCCATAGGAACGCATTAATTGATTTTCAATGCATTCCTATGGGAAACCGTGCTTCGCAAGACAGAAAAATCGCAAGACGACAAAACTTGCGGAACGAATTAATTTCGTCTTGCAAGGCACCACTGTACATTGTCTATCTCCACATTGTTCAGTTGGTTATTCTTTATATACTCACCAAGTCTTTATTTTAGATTGAAAGTGACTTTTGTCTTTTACTGAAGGCTTATTGTCTTTTTTTGTATTTCAAATGAAAATACTAATTATGAAAACCTCCATTTTTTGAAGCTATATTCTCCAACATCTTGCATGATATTGGTGATTTCATTTGTTTTCAGGCTGGTGGATTTCTCTGACAGTGTGTTTGTGTGTGCGTGTGTGTTTTAGAATTATAAGGAAAAAAATACAGAAGGAAAAATAAGAGAGAGAGAAGATACCAGAAAAATAAAATATGCATTATGATGCATCAGTGCAGACATTCAACATAAGTACAGCGACACATTGCTAAGGTTTAACAAAAACGTCTACATATTTGAAAAAGAAAATGTCATGGTAATTAGCAGTATGTTGAACTCAAGGTGGATCAAACAGAAATGTTAATCTTAATTACCTTGCTCTCTCTGACAGCTTTTGCAGTAAACGTTTTGCTTTGAAGTGTCCGTTTTAGAATGTGGTTGGTTGATTTGTATAACCACCCAACTTCATATTTGTTCATGGCAATTGGTGTTTCTTGAAGTCATAGAATCATAGAGTTGGAATAGACCACAAGGGCCATCGAGTCCAACCCCCTGCCAAGCAGGAAACACCATCATAGCACTCCTGACATATGGTTGTCAAGCCTCTGCTTAAAAACCTCCAAAGAAGGAGTCTCCACCACACTCCTTGGCAGCAAATTCCACTGTCGAACAGTGAAGGAAGTGGCTTAAATGGAAACAAATGACACACTTAATTGTCAAATTCACAACATCTTAGGAGATATTATTTTTGATCCGTCGGGGAATGGGTAGAGGAGAGAATCTATTTACGTTCAGGGCTACCTTTAAAATTAATGAAGACTTCTGAATGTTTCTGAAGGCCTGCCATCTGAAGACTGAAACCATGACATACGAAGAGAAGGAGCAGCAGCTGGTCAGTGACTGTGTCAAAGAGATCAGTAAGTCTATAGGTGGTTTCTTCCCCTAGGAATAAGAAAAATATTTTTATCTTTGAATATAAACTCATCAGCCACACTCCTATCTTTCCATGTCATAAATCTGTACAGTATAAGCAATTAGCCTTACTAGCATTGAGCTCCCTTAAAGATGTTACGTTTTCTAAACCTGCTGCATACGAGCCCAAGGATTCATAAAGCAAATTTTGACACAGGCAACAATGCAAATACACTTCTGTAAAGAAACATGAAAAAGTATAAATGAAAATAGCAGAAAATTTATACCATGTTGTAAAATAGTTTCTCACTGGTCTAAACAGATTACTGTTTGAATTTCTGTCTCCTGTAAAGCTGGTACATTTTTGTTTTTTCCCCAAACCTCTTTCTTTCTCTAATGTAAGCATGATATTCCAGATCATTTTCTAATCTCTCATGTTTAGCAGTCATAATATTTTTCTAAAAGTTTTCAACTAACATTTTTGATGCTTTAATACGGTTTGCAATTGGTTCTGTCTTAACGAGTAGAATACCATCTTTAATGCAAGCCCAGGAATTACTACATTATTCTTGGCTCCCTTGAAACTTTGTGGGTGAGATATGGGGTTTTCAAAAACTTTGAATTCTAACATCATCTAAATAAAAGAGCCACTTCTCAACAACCTTTCTAGCTTTTAGTTGTTCTCATCCAGTTATAGCAAATAATCTCTGCTATGTAACATACCGATGAGAATCCTTTTTAAAGTGGCCTTTTTCAAAACAGACACACAAACTTAAAGATCTTGTAGAACTCCTACTGATAACTCCAGGTTTGCTTTACCAATATCAGTTTCACAATTCTGCAAATACATACCTAGAACAAACCTACTAAAGAATTTTATGTATTACCGACCTGATGTTTCTAATTACCTACCTAACTATCAAAATGAGCTACAGGGTTGTGTGTGACTTCCCCATGTCCCTTAATGTCCCATAATGCCAGCCTTAATGTGGTCAAGACTGGAATCTGAACAAATCTTGTGTTAACTAGTATTTGCAAGGTTGTTGAAACAATGGCATGATGCTGATATCAAAATTCCAGTTAGTGTTAGCTATGACTAAGGCCAGTGCTGCTGTAAGAAGCAGAATCTAGAACACCTGGGCTGGAGTAAGGATGGTTGCCATCTTGCCATGGGTGTCAACTGTTGAGCCCTGCTGGCAGATGACTGCACAAGGACAACAGTTAGCACAACAGAGCTTTCCCTCTCCTCCTCCTGCCAAAATTGGCTTGATGGGGAGAACCCCCAGAACAGCATGCAGGAGCAGAGAGGGGGCATAATTCTGTCTGGGAAACTTGCACTGATGATGACCAAGGTGCTGGAATGAATTCCTCCCTTGATTGCTTTTTTACCATTTGGATGTTTCTGACTTTTGCTGCTGTTTCATTACGATTCCCCACCCCCCACAACAACTTAGGTTTGCGAAAGCCTTATTACGTTATTTTAGTACGGGCAGTACTTAGTTAAGTCATTTCCTTAACTTACCATGTATTGTGCTGCATATTTTAGGGGAAACGAATGCTCAGATAGCAAGAATGAGTGAGGAGCTGGCAAGGAAGAATGAAGAGCTGCTTCAGTACCAGGAAGAGATCTCATCCCTCTTGTCCCAGATTGTTGATCTTCAGCATAAAATTAAAGAGGTTTGTGTGCTCATAGGCTAGAGCAGGGATGGGAAACATTTGCTCCATGGGCCAGTTTAGGCTTGTCAGGTCTCTGGCCTGCAAAGAGGTTTTTCCCCAGCCACACTCACCTCTCCCACACCTGACATCATATGATTTGGGACAAGTTATCCCACGGGGACGCAGGTAGCGCTGTGGTCTAAACCACTGAACCTAGGGCTTGCCAATCGGAAGGTCGGCGGTTCGAATCCCCGCAATGGGGTGAGCTCCTGTTGCTCAGTCCCTGCTCCTGCCAACCTAGCAGTTCGAAAGCATGTCAAAGTGCAAGTAGATAAATAGGTACCGCTCCGGCGGGAAGGTAAACGGCGTTTCCGTGCACAGCTCTGGTTTTGCCAGAAGCGGCTTAGTCATGCTGGCCACATGACCCGGAAAAACCGTCTGCAGACAAACGTCGGCTCCCTCGGCCAGTAAAGCGAGATGAGCTCTGCAACCCCAGAGTCATTCGCAACTGGACTTAACTGTCAGGGCTCCTTTACCTTTTTATCCCACACTAGCAGGGCAACAATTGGGAAGGTACTGCTGATGGTTCCATTTGAGGTCACCAAATGGAGTTCCTTCCAGGAACCAGCTCCATTCGGGAACTCCCAAGTGGAATTGATCGCTGTTGAATGGGTTCTTTACAGCTGTTGCTTGAATTCAAGCCGGGGCTGCAAAAGAGAACTGTGAGCACAATTTAAGTGCTTCTTCAAAGTTCAATCACCTGTCAAATGACATAAGGTGAAAGGTTGGGGTGGTAAAAAGTGATCTGTAGAGGGTAGGCCAGTTCTGGTTCTGGTCTGCCAGTCAGATCCAGTTTGCCACCATTGATGGGGGGGGCAGTTCCTTGTGCTAAATGATTGTTACTTCCAATAATATTCTGGAAAGGAAAGCTGAAATAATCATCTTCTGTGTTCCCTCAGCATGTAATTGAAAAGGAAGAGTTGAAATTGCACCTACAAGCTTCCAAAGATGCCCAGAGACAGCTGACAGCAGAGGTATTGATCTTTGTACTTTCACATTTGAAAAGTGAGGAGGGAAGGAGAAAGGAGAATATGAACTGTCTTCTGTCGTGAAAAACACTCAGCAATGTGGGTGGTTTCATTTTACATGTTGTGTAAATATCTCAGAAGTTTTTTCCAGTGATTAATACTGGAAAATAATTGACTAGGAAAAGAAGTCAATAAAGGATACTTAATATGTTAAATTTAAGCAAATTGAAAGCAAATTACATTGCTTAAGTTTTAAGGGAAAATAAAAGTACTGAAAGCATGTCAACATATTGATTTTAATATGTCCAAAGAACTGTGGATTAAGGAAAAAAATATTTCCCTGATATAGGTATCTTAAAAAGTTAATTTTGAAATCGCCTAGTCTGGCTGATAGGTGTTTTTTTATGTTTCTGGTTATTTTATGAAACAATCGTTAAAATGGAAGAATTTCCACATAAAAATATAGCCGTCGGAAATTCCTCTTCAACTTTGAAGAAGGAAGTGATTCCTGAAAACAGCATGTTTAAACTTCAGATTTCCTTGCTGCTAAAAAGCCCTTTTATGCCATTTGCCTTGACACCTGTAAAGAAGAAAATTAGGAACATGCCACTACTTAGACAAAGCAAGAGACATGAAGTCGGAGCCCTGGATTCTGAAGTGTTGGGTGACGCTTTGGTTTTTTTTAGGGGTATCATTTTTGTGCTGTTCTCTGTACATACCGAAGTGGAATGCAATAATATTTCCTTGGATTACGTGCGAATCCCCCCTCCTCTTCAGTAGCTTTGTTCTTTCTGCCTACTAAATGACTGACATTTTGTGTTCTTCCAGCTGCATGACTTGCAAGAGCGGAGTGCAGAGTGTCTGGGGATGTTGCATGAATCTCAGGAAGAAGCGAAGGGGCTTCGCAGCAAAGCCAGGCACGCCGCCCTTCTCTGCCGCCCACAGTCATGCGGAGCCTTTCCTGTGGTAACTCAACAAGGCTTTTCTTTGATACCGGCAGCTGGTTCTAAGTAACATGAAACCTCAAGGGCAAACTTGAACCGTGACTGTCCTTGTCCCTTAAAGAGAGCTGCCAGTTTGCTCAGGGATCTAATGGTCTCCACCCTCTGCCATGCTATGATTCCATCTTTTAAATTTAGCCTTCCGCTTTTGTCGTTTCTAAAGAGAGCTTCCCCACGTCTCCTCCGTTGTTCAGTGTTTGCCATTGTGGATCACACCACACAAACCAGCTGGAAGAGGAGGAAGGCGTCACCGCATGTTCTGCTGAAATATGCAGACTCCTTGTTGAAGCTAGGCAGTTTCTGGAAGGGAGATGTCCTGAGATGTCCACCTAAGATTTAATGGTGAAAGCAGGGGTGTAAATGTACCATTTACCCGCAAATGGACGCGGGTGGCGCTGTGGGTAAAACCTCAGTGCCTAGGGCTTGCCGATCACATGGTCGGCGGTTCGAATCCCCGCGGCAGGGTGAGCTCCCGTCTTTCGGTCCCAGCTCCTGCTCACCTAGCAGTTCGAAAGCACCCCTAAGTGCAAGTAGATAAATAGGTACCGCTTTATAGCGGAAAGGTAAACGGCTTTTCTGTGTGCTGCGCTGGTGCTGGCTCGCCAGAGCAGCTTCGTCACGCTGGCCACGTGACCCGGAAGTGTCTCCGGACAGCGCTGGCCCCGGCATCTTAAGTGAGATGGGCGCACAACCCTAGAGTCGGACACGACTGGCCCGTACGGGCAGGGGTACCTAAATGTACCATAAATAAAAACAAGGCAATTCTGCACAAGGAGGCTTTTGACATTTCTAGTATACATCAGCCTTAGTTTGTGGACTTCTTGTAAGGAGTGAAATGATTGCTTTGCTCCTCCCTAGGGACCTTGCATTCATGCTTAAGGCATGATGGTTTGTCTTAGTGTGGCCCATAGGTCACTGTCGTTCTGGTATCATGGTTCACTCTTTCCATAAAACATTTAGCAGAAGGACTCCAAGAAAGGTTGCTTCTTCAGTCCCAGCAGTGCAGTCTAGAATCTGGGACTTTTGTTCCGGGCTTTGCATCCTCATTACAGCATTATTACTCTCCCCTCACCCATCATGCAGACTCTTCAGCCAATCACTTAGTGACCTCTGTGCCTGTTTTATTCGCCTTCTCCTGTTCCATCGTCAGAGGGAGGAAGCAGGAATAGATACCCCCGACTGATCTTTAGTCATCTGTTTGTCAAGGATGACTGTGGGAAAAGCAGCTGCTTCATTTTTCCTCCTTATCTGTTTTCGTCAAGGAAAAAAAAAACTACACAGCATGGTCATCTGAGACTGTGTTGTATTTAGCCTTTAGTGGTAACTGGTCACAGTTGTGCACACAAAATAAAGAAGGAGTTACTAGAATAGCATGTGGCTAGAAAGAATGTGCAAACTTTGAAAGGATGCTTAATAAAACTTTTGGATAATTATTTATTCAGGCTTTATTCCATGTACATATTGTGATTATTTCCCACTTGTCTGCCTAGTAAGGTCTCAGTGTTATGCCTTGCTGACTACTGTAGAGTCAGAACTTAACATTTTAAAAGCATTTGTTTTGAACAAGGATCCTATGAAATACTTCTTCCTATGCAGAAACAGCTAATTTGCTGTTAGGAATGACTTAATTCCTTCGTTAATGTTGGGAAATTTCTCATTGCAACTGAATTACGGAAATTCAGCAATAAACATATACATTTCTGACCTCACGACTTGGCACAATAGTTAACTTCAGCATCCAGATTTTACAGAACCACAATGGTGTTACAGTTCTGAACCATTTTAAATATAACTTGATTCTTGATCCACAACTTGTTAGTTTAGTTTCCTTTGGCTTCCCTGGTTCTGTTAGCAACCTCAGTCTTGTTCATAGTGAATTCTCACTGAAGCCAGCCATAAGTATGGTGGATTTTTTTTCTGGAGGGAGGAGGAGGGACTGTTGAAATAAGAACATATTGATTCATTACTTAGAATAAAGGGATATTTATTGTGTCCTATCTGGGTATAGGGAACATACCCTAGAAAGTTACGTTGCTGAAGCTTCTCAATTACTCTGCAGAGAAAGTTGTTTTTTCTACCTTAATATCTCCCTTTCTAAATAACCAATAGGAACATCTCTTTTAGTAAAACAGTCTCTAATGACCGAGTGGTAGAGGGGTATTAAAAACAAGAATGACTCACCTAGCCCTTAGAGATGAGATGGATGACTCCAGAAAAGGATCCAGACTTGATACTTAGCTCCAAGAAGGCAGTAAATACGTGCACGCACACACACAAAAACGTAGTATAGAAAGCCACTTTAAATTAATCCCTTCATTTTCTTAATGTGGTCAGCCTGAGCAAAGAAAACGTGTGTTTTCAATTCTTACTTGGGCATTAAACACCAATATCTGCTTGACTTTAAGGAGTCTTTGGCAGCAGAGATTGAGGGAACGATGCGAAGAGAGCTGAGTCTGGATGAGGAATCCCTCTCTAAGCAAAAGTAAGTGCAGCTCTTGTTTTTTCTACCCTTAATGCATTTTGACATGTCACAGTCGGTTCTGGAGGCTCCATTTTCTTTGTCTTTAAATATTGAAGAGTTTGAGAAACCAGCATTCCTCCATATGCATTGCATGGTCATACGACATCAGCAGCTGTGACGAAATTATTGTTATGCACATTCGAGTACAACGTTTTAAAGTTGTTTCAGAATTCATATCATAATTTCTTCTTGAAATTCCTTCTTGACCAGTATTTTAGGGCTTTAACATCATATCCTAGTTTATTTTTAATTCATATTAAACTCTAAAAGATTCCATAAAACATAGAGGTGAAAGAAGTTGTCATTTATTTCTAGTAACTTTAAGGCCTGCACCAAAAAAAAAAGCAAAGAATTCACCGCCAGAGCTTTAATCCTCCTGAAATCTTTTTAAAGTACATTTCACTGCTAGCTGAGGAGGTTGTGGATCCCATATCCCCCTTCCCAGCTATTCCCATCTCTGTATAAGAATATCTAAGGCCTCTTTTTATGTGATGGTGGTGGTCACTTAACCGTAGGTGGTCCTGCACTGCTTATGTAACCCTAGTAATGCAAGGTTATTCGGCACGCAGCAACTACCTCGTCCCCAATGTAACACAAGAATCGGGTGTGAGTGCAGTCCAAAATGCAGTAAAAGTCGGAGTGGTGATGTGGGGGAACACAATAATAATAATAATAATAATAATAATAATAATAATAATACAATAACCTATTAAAACACTAAAATACAATAACCTATTTATTCTCACAAAAGAATATCTACAGAAAAATATATTTAAATTTAGGAACGCAACAGGCAAGTCTTTTCCTCCGTAAAGGTAAAGGTACCCCTGCCCGTACGGGCCAGTCTTGACAGACTCTGGGGTTGTGCACCCATCTCACTCAAGAGGCCGGCCCGGGACACTTCCGGGTCACATGGCCAGCGTGACATCGCTGCTCTGGCAAGCCAGAGCAGCACACGGAAACGCCGTTTACCTTCCCGCCAGTAAGCGGTCCCTATTTATTGACTTGCACCCGGGGGTGCTTTCGAACTGCTAGGTTGGCAGGCGCTGGGACTGAGCAGCGGGAGCGCACCCCGCTGTGGGGATTCGAACCGCCGACCTTTCGATCGGCAAGCCCTAGGCGCCGAGGCTTTTACCCACAGCGCCACCCGCATCCCATCTTTTCCTCCATAATATCCTACAATTTGCAGCCGACTAGAACTCAGGGTTGTTGGCACTTCTTGAGTGCTCCATGGGTAGCCTTGTATTTCTGTTGCAACTCTTCAAGTTTTGAAGACAGTGTGGCTTTGGCACTGCCGCTCCAAAAGCTTTTCCCCTGCTGCTTCTGTTTCACAGTGTTCACGATGCACTCTGAAGTTTCTTTACCTTATTGTAAGCCTTGCATTATTTTTCAAAGGCACAGTGGTAAATATTTTAATTAATAAGGATAAGGAATACCAACTGCACAGGTGTGGAAGGAGGAAGAAGTGGAAATGGTGCCAATCGTACCAAAGGACACTCGATGGGGTACAGAAAGGGGATGGTAACGCCATCTGCAAAGAACTTGGGGAAAGGGGGCTAGTTGGCAAATGTGAGGACACACGAACCCCTGGGATGGCAAAAGCGGTAACTGAGAAATGAGGCTACTGGCCTGTGCAGGTGAAAAGATTGTGTACTATGGGGCGCAGTCCCTTTGGAGTTTGCACTTGTTTGGGGGCTTTTTCACAAAATGACTGCTCTGGAAGTTAAGCTTTATATTATTTAGAATTCTAGCAAATCATATTTAGCCACACATGGAACGACTTTCCCTATCTGCTTGGTCAGAATTTCAATGCTTTCCTGTGTCCGTTATCAGTCGGTCTTTCTTTTTTCTTTCAGGGTTCAACAGAAGCGCATATTTGATACTGTCAGAGTTGCCAACGTTGCCCGTGGCCGTTCCGCTTTGTGTCCTGCCCCGCTACCCATTCCAGGCTCAAATCGCTCAAGTGTTGTCATGACGGCAAAGCCTTTCCACTCTGACTTGAGGCACGTGGAAGGAAAGACGACTCCGTCTCAGAAGACCAGCTCAGAGAACCTTTCCAAGTAAGAAGTCATATCCACCAGCTCTGATTTCACTTCCCTGGGTACAATTGCTTATGTAGCCAAATCAGTACAATCCATGCGCAAGAAGGATGTTAGCAGCCTACTTGGGGGGGATCCTGAGGTTTGCAGAGGTCTTTTTTTTAAAAAAATGCTAAACAAAACCAAACAAACCCCAAAAGGGTGCGAAGCCACAACTCAACTCAGCCCAATGAGAATTGAACTTGCTTGGTATAGATAGAATGAACTTGTTGGGGAGAGAGTTACTATTATCATGTTGTTGTTGTTTAGTCGTTTAGTCGTGTCTGACTCTTCGTGACCCCATGGACCAGAGCACGCCAGGCACTCCTGTCTTCCACAGCCTCCCGCAGTTTGGTCAAACTCATGCTGGTAGCTTTGAGAACACTGTCCAACCATCTCATCCTCTGTCGTCCCCTTCTCCTTGTGCCCTCCATCTTTTCCAACGTCAGGGTCTTTTCTAGGGAGTCTTCTCTTTTCATGAGCTGGCCAAAGTATTGGAGCCTCAGCTTCACGGTCTGTCCTTCCAGTGAGCACTCAGGGCTGATTTCCTTCAGAATGGATAGGTTTGATCTTCTTGCAGTCCATGGGACTCTCAAGAGTCTCCTCCAGCACCATAATTCAAAAGCATCAATTCTTTGGCGATCAGCCTTCTTTATGGTCCAGCTTTCACTTCCATACATCACTACCGGGAAAACCATAGCTTTTACTATATGGACCTTTGTTAGCAAGGTGATGTCTCTACTTTTTAAGATGCTGTCTAGGTTTCTATTATCATAGGTAACACTAAAATGTACGGATCTACCGCCACCCACCGGCCATTCCTGTTTTAACACAACTATTTTATTTGTGTGTACAAACTTGTAATTCCTGTGAGAACCCTAACCTGGTATATTGTAAACAGACATTTAAAAAAACAACAACCCAAACCCTCAAAGCAGTAAATGCAAGATGAATAAAACAACTTGGTGGAACAAACCCATTAGCAATGCAGCACTGAAGGCAGTTAAAACAGGGAAGTAGTCACGGGCTACAATTATTGTATGGCAGAAGGGAGTTCATTCAGTAGGGAGTATGGTTGAGCAACAAAGAGGAAGACCATTTTGATTCTTCTGCACAGACTTCCTTGGTGGTGGGCATGCTATTCTCAAGCCTGCATCCATTCTTGATGGAAAGCTCTGTTTTCTCCTCTGAAATGATGACATTCCAATGTTGCAGAGAGACTTCGCACCCATACTAGATGGAAGTTTCGTGCAAATTACTACCGGTAGAGTAGCACCACTAATTCAGCCCATAGTAACAACTGGTGTTAAATGTGGTTTTCAACTGCACCCATCTACTATATATTTTGGAACGTTTTTTCTCCGCTTGCTATGCAATTGGACGTTTTAACCAAAGTGGCTCATGAGATAAAGGAGTAGATTTTCATCTCATCTTGGGAGAAGGGAAACTGTCAAGCTCCCTTGTTATTTTTGCTGTTGGATGTCATGAATGCAACCTTGTTATAGTTACAGTTTCGTATGCTTTTATACTTGTTGTTGTTTTATTATGTTGTTATTAAGTTGTTTTGCTGTGTTTGATTTCAAAATGCATTTCTGTTTCCTTTGTTGTAAGCCACTTTGAGCGTGATTCTTTTTGCGGAAAATCAGCATACAAATAAAATGAATGATCTCTGGGCACCAGTTTCAATCTAAATAGCAGACAGAACCTTTCAAAACTGCCCTGATTTTTTGGTTTCCTAGAATTCAGAGCAATGCTAGGTACAAGGCATCTATAAAGTGAAGTTGACAGACTATATATTGACCTCTCTTCCATTTGCAAAGAGATAAGAGATAATAACATTTTGTATTTTTTGTACTTTCAGCAGGGAAGCTCAAAAACTCAGCCATCCTGGCATCCCTGGACAAAATGACTTAGCCACTGCTCTACACAGACTTTCCCTCCGTCGGCAGAACTACTTGAGCGAAAAGCAGTTCTTTGAAGAGGAATGGGAGCGCCAGATGTCTTTGCTGACTGACCAGAAAGAAGAATTTAGTGGCTGTAGCACCCCAGTGGAGAGCTGCCTTTCATTGGGGAGCAGTACAGAACTGACTGATTTCTCTGGTACCTCCAGCAACAGCTTACGTTCCCTCCTCCCAGACAAACTGCAGATTGTCAAGCCCCTCGAAGGTAAGGTGAAGACAGTCTCTGCTCTCTCCCTCTCCAATGAAAACAGCTCTTCCCTATATTGTTGTTTAGTCGTTTAGTCGTGTCCGACTCTTCGTGACCCCATGGACCAGAGCACACCAGGCACTCCTGTCTTCCACTGCCTCCTGCAGTTTGGTCAAACTCATGTTGATAGCTTCGAGAACACTGTCCAGCCATCTCGTCCTCTGCCATCCCCTTCTCCTTGTGCCCTCAATCTTTCCCAACATCAGGGTCTTTTCCAGGGAGTCTTCTCTTCTCATGAGGTGACCAAAGTATTGGAGCCTCAGCTTCAGGATCTGTCCTTCCAGTGAGCACTCAGGGCTGATTTCCTTCAGAATGGATGGGTTTGATCTTCTTGGAGTCTATGGGACTCTCAAGAGTCTCCTCCAGCACCAGAATTCAAAAGCATCGATTCTTCGGCAATCAGCCTTCTTTATGGTCCAGCTCGCCCTATATGTTGTTGCTGTTTAGTCATGTCCGACTCTTCGTGACCCCATGGACCAGAGCATGCCAGGCACTCCTGTCTTCCACTGCCTCCCACAGTTTGGTCAGACTCATGTGTGTAGCTTCGAGAACACTGTCCAACCATCTTGTCCTCTGCCGTCCCCTTCTCCTTGTGCCCTCCATCTTTCCCAACGTCAGGGTCTTTTCCAGGGAGTCTTCTCTTCTCATGAGGTGGCCAAAGTATTGGAGCACTCAGGGCTGATTTCCTTAAGAATGGATACGTTTGATCTTCTTGCAGTCCATGGGACTCTCAAGAGTCTCCTCCAGCACCATAATTCAAAAGCATCAATTCTTCGGCGATCAGCCTTCTTTATGGTCCAGCTCTCACTTCCATACATCACTACTGGGGAAACAATAGCTTTAACTATACGGACCTTTGTTGGCAAGGTGATGTCTCTGCTTTTTAAGATGCTGTCTAGGTTTGCCATCACCTTTCTCCCAAGGAGCAGCCATCTTTTAAAATCTCTCACTGCCTCCATTTCTTCCCCTTCTATTTGCCAGGAGGTGATGGGCCCAGTGGCCATGATCTTCGTTTTTTTGATGTTGAGCTTCAGACCTATATAGGGACGTGTGTAATAAAGACAATAGAAATAGACCTGGGTTCCTTAGACTTACTTCCCTATCAGTAAAACAGAAGTAACAAGTTCTTACCTCATAGTGTTTGTCGGAACGAACAGCTAAAGAAATTTAATCATTTATGCTTGCTGAAATTTAACTGATTACCCAAAGTAGTTCTAACTATATTTATGCCATCGTCTCTCTCTTACATTTCTGTGTCAGGGGCAAATGTATCCTCTGTTTTAAAGTCAAATGTGAGTTAATGCTATATTCTTCTTTCTGTGGATATTGTATTGTATAATATTTTTTTAAAATTCTTACTACTTCACCAAACCTTTATGAGGCATTACAAATATAGGCCATCATAAATCACCCATATACCCTTCCCCCAAAGTAAGACATCCCCCGAAAATAAGACCTACTTCCAGTTTTGCCTCTCGCTGTAATATAAGGCCTCCTCCGAATATAAGGCCTCCCCGATAATAAGGCCACCCCAGAATATAAGGCCCCCAAAGCCTTATACCTTAAGGCGTTGTACCGTATACAGGTAATAAATTTCCTTTTTTTCTTCTTCTTCTTCTTTTTTTTGTTCAACAATAAATGTGTACCATATTCTTCTTCATGGAAAAATAAGACATTCCCCTGAAAATAAGACCTAGCGCATCTTTGGGAGCAAAAATTAATATAAGACACTGTCTTATTTATGGGGAAACAGGGTATAAATTTTTAAAATATATTCAAATAATTATTACAAAATTTTAAATAAATGAGTAAAACGTAAGGAAAAGCCTGTTAGGATATTTGTCATCACCTTTTAAAATCCTCCCAATCTGAATTTCCTTTACATCCAGTGAATTTCTCTTTCTCAATGAAGTTTTTTAAAAAATAAGAATCTATAGCTGGCTGCCTGGGATTATGCTAAGGAAGAACTCTGCCCATTTTGACATTTGTTTGTGCTCTCTTAGGTTCTCAGACCCTGTTCCATTGGCAACAGTTGGCTCAGCCTCACCTCGGCACAATTCTCGACCCACGCCCCGGCGTTGTGACAAAAGGTTTCACACCACTGTCCGAAGCTGACGGCTACCACCTCTCTGATTTTGAAGAAGACGAGGAAGAGAGGGATGAAGGCATCACCTTCCAAGTGCAGCAGTCCCCTCTTGAGGAAAAGAAACTCACAGTGCCAAAGTCATTGGCAGGAATCTTTCTTCCACCTACTAATTTAGCAACAGTTTCCCTAGCTGGTAAGGGCTGTAACAATTGTGGTGGTTGTTGTTGCTTAGATTTATATCTAAACATCATAAAATCTCGGGGCAGTTCGCAGATCAGTACTTGGCTGATCTGATCTCTTACTGTGACAGCTCTCCCTTGGAAGAATAGTTTCCCCCCCCCCTTTACTAAGTCAGGTTTTTATTTTTATTCCTTTTTTTGTCCTGCTAGTCTGTTCTCCATCTCCTTTTCATCTGATGTGTTTTTATTTATATTTTAGCTTCAAATCCAGGAAAATGTCTCTCATCTACAAACTCTACGTTTACTTTTACCACCTGTAGGATTCTCCATCCATCCGATATCACTCAGGTCACCCCCAGGTAAGAAGTTTGGTGGTCACCTCAGAATTCTGCTTGCCATCAAATGAGAGCCAGTGTGGTGTAGTGGTTAAGAGCGGTAGACTCGTAATCTGGTGAACCGGGTTCGCGTCTCCGCTCCTCCACATGCAGCTGCTGGGTGACCTTGGGCCAGTCACACTTCTCTGAAGTCTCTCAGCCTCACTCACCTCACAGAGTGTTTGTTGTGGGGGAGGAAGGGAAAGGAGAATTTTAGCCGCTTTGAGACTCCTTGTTGTTGTTTAGTCATTTAGTTGTGTCCGACTTTTCGTGACCCCATGGACCAGAGCACGCCAGACACTTAGGGTAGTGATAAAGCGGGATATCAAATCCAAACTCTTCTTCTATATCCAAGTGATCCATAATTTTGTATTTAGCTTCACAGAACGGTTATGCATTTAGCTAATTGCAGTTACCTTTTCATGTTTTAAAACTTTTGAAAAGGGATAGGAAGGAAAAAGGAGAGATGATTTGTGGGATGTTGCTGGTAAAGAAAAGGTGTGACGAGGACTTTGGAGCCTTGTTACAGCACGTAGAAGTCCTGCCCTTCATTTCTGAAAGCTTTCTGCTTTTCTTTTGCCCTTGGTATAGCGAATGTAATTTTCTCTTGCTTTGTTTTCTAGTGCTTCATATGCCCCTTTGTGCTCTGGAAGTGGCAGCAGTTCAAGCAGTACAGTCACAAGCTCCCCATCCGCGTCCTACAGGCTTAGTATTGGAGAATTCCTGACAAGCACAAGAGACTCGACCATCACTTTCAGTACAAGCTTAGCTAAGCTTCTGCAAGAGCAAGGCATCTCAGCCAAGGTCTACAACAGTCCAGTCTTGGAGAAAGTGCCGCCGTTTCAGTCTCTCAAGATACTTGCCGTTCCCTCAACGCCGCCCAATTCTCCTCTGCATTCCCCTTGTCCTTCCCCTTTGCCGTTTGAGTCCCGAGTAAATGCGTCCGAAAACTTTTTGGCCTCTCGGCCCGCCGAAACGTTACTGCAGGAGATGTACGGACAGAAAACCTCAAATCCTCCCGACGCAGGACAGCTGAAGATGAACCTGGTGGAGAGACTGAAGAAGCTGGGCATTGTCAGAGCTGTCAAACAGCCGGAGGCAGGGGACAGTGGGAAGGTTCAGGGGGCCAAGAGTGGTCTCCACCGGCCTGACTCTGCTGCATATGTAAATGCAGGCAGCAATCTGATGGGTGGGCTGAGAAGGAACCACAGCCTTCCCGTCTTGATCGGGGCACTTGGAGGTCCAGTGAGCACATCCTCCGCAAAAATGGGAATTCTAGAGGAGAACTGAGCAGTTCACCATGGTGGACCTTTAGCAGAGGAAATAATACAAAATGCATGGACTTGGGGATGTAGGTTAAGAGGAGGTTTAAAAAGAGGGTTGTTGTAGGAGGCTGGTATATGGCTAAAGTAGGGGAGGGAGGACTTTGCATGGAGTATGGAAAAGAAGTCATACATTTTAAGCGAGAGGAGGAAAAGGAAGGAAACCAAAGTTCAGTTTTGAGAGCACTGAAATTTCTAATCGTCCCTCATGATCAATAGGAGGGCAGCACAAACAAATTCATTGCATTTTCAAGCTTTGTATGGAACAGTAAATATCTACGCAAGTCTTGTATCTTCTGTGTATTTTGTCAGGTGCTGTCTGAGAGATGCTGCCACTGAAATGTAATTTTAAGGAAAGGGGCAGAAGGGGCAGTGTCACAGCCACTCTCCCAGTAATGCTGTCGCTGCTGCTGACCTGGACAGAGCAGGGCAGGGAGGTCAACGCTGCACAGGGACACTGGTGAGAATGCTGGATTGGGTCCGCCAGTGCACCTGCACAGCCCTGACCTCAATGGTGCCCTGCTCCTTCCAGGTATGTGGCAGAAGCGCCAGAGTCTGGAGGGCAGTACTGCTGCACCATTCCAGCTTCTCCTGCAGAGGAGCAAAATATCTGTTAAATACTGGTCCGAAATGTTTTTAGGAGAGAGCACAGCTTCATTTGTGAATTTAAAATACAAATACCAATGGAATGAATATGGGCTCTCCTAAAAATGAAGCTTCACAAGCTTAGCAGAGAAAATACTTGTGATAGGTAATTCATATTTAGCAAGGCATAATTATGACAACATGTCCTGTTGCACAAGTTAAAAAAAGAAAACCCCTCTCAGGCAAATATTTACAAGGAAGTAAAATCGAGGTCCTTTATTTTAGGGTACATTATTTACTTAGATCGGGAGCATATATTTAGCAGAAACAGAGCAATGTGTTTGACGTTCTCCATCTATGTTTGGGACATGTTGAATACTGGAATGGTCTTTTCCATAGATGTATGACACAACCTTAGTCTGAAATGTCCGTGGCTCCAAGCCACAGTCTGGGAAGATCACTTTTATAGCTAAATCAGTTTTCTTCTGATTCTTGGTAGACTTCGCCTGCACGGCTTTCATAGAGGAGAAAATCAAATGCACAAAGCAACATGCATAACTTTCCGTGTTAATGTGGAACCAAGATAGCAGTGGTTTCTTTTCATGCTGCAGTAGACAAAAGCATTGGGATTGCTAAAAGGAGAGGAAGAGAAACCTTTTCCCGTTGATAAGATAATGTTCTGAATGAATTCTTCTGTGATGGAAAGTTTTGTTTTCTTTTTTTGTTTTGCCAGAATGAGCAGATAGAAATTTGGTCTCACTCGGGATAGCTTGGATGTGAGGCAAAGGCAGGAGAAGGGAAGAGGAAGCACGCCTAACTTGGGTACCTCACCGTTTTCACACTTTCTGTGTGACGGCTGAAGTGGAAACTTGAGATGCAGGACCTCTATGCACATCTAAAAGGTGTGAGGATATTCCAAATCGTGATACGCTTGCAGTGAGCTCCATGGTAAAATAGAGCACAAACGGTGGCTGGGTGACCTGAAAAGACCTCCAGTTACTTCAAGTTATAACCACAAATTCTGAACAAATTAACTGCAAACCAAGCCATCAGGTCTTTTATATCCATGTGTGATTTGCAACATGATTTTTCTCCTCTTAACCAATCCCTTAGGTGGGGATTTCTGGTGGTTTCTGTAAAGCAAAAGTTTCCACAAACATTTACACCCAAGTGCTTTTGTCAACTGATCTCCCTCAGTATCACCTATGAGCATATATAATAGCTCCATGGGTTGTGGAAACTAAATGAAATCCTGTAAATAGTAAATGTTTATTTATAAATTACTATTAACTGTATACGGGTTGACTACATTTTAAATGACAAGCACGTTCTGAAAATCTGAAAGCGCTCGGAGTGCATTTCCTTCTCGGTGTATGAAACCTTGCATTCCTTGGCAAGAAAAATAAAAAGGGAATTTTCTTTAATTTCTTAAACGTGGAGTCCAACACATCCTGTTGTGTTTCTGCAACAGTAGAGAAAGATTAGGTAATGACATGGTAGCATTTCCCCAGGAAAACCAGCAATACTTGGAGGGAAACAAGCACAACCTTTCTGCTAGCAAGTTAAGGTATGTCTGATTTATGTAATCTGTAAATTCTTTCCGCAATCTTTTGATTAAAATAATAATAATCTAGGATGAGTGGATTTCTAACGGGCTTTCGTGTAACTGCATCTGTTTTTAAGTTATACTGTATGCACCCTGTTATCCGTGGATGAAGCAGACCATATTCATGTAAAATTTAATTTTGTATATTCAATAAATGCATGTTCATCTGTTCAAAGAGAGCTTTCCCCCCTCCCCTTTCCAAGAAGGTTAGAAAGAAATATCAGTTCAGCAAAGTTGAAAGCCTGGTCTAGCCCCTGATAGGCACCCCTGCTTAATACGGTGGTTGTCGTCCCATCAGAGTGAAGCCAGTGGTAGCAAGGAAGAAAACCTATTTGTATCCACAGTTGTTCAAGTGCATTTTGTACAGTGTGCCTAAAGTCCATTCTCTCAGCGAAACAGTACCTTTGTGCCAAAACCCCTCTCGGGCATGAGCCTTGGAGCATAGAGTACCATAAAACCAATTCAAGAGATGGTAGTATAGATTCAAAAAATACAAGTGACCCTCTGTGACATCCCAGATTCTTACAGTATAAAGCGGCTTTTTCTGACAGCAGTGGTTCAGCCATCCATAATAGCAGGCCTGTAGGATGTCTGAAGTGGGACGCGGGAGGCGCTGTGGGTTAAACCACAGAGCCTAGGACTTGCCGATCAGAAGGTCGGCGGTTCGAATCCCCACGACGGGGTGAGCTCCCATTGCTCGGTCCCTGCTCCTGCCAACCTAGCAGTTTGAAAGCACATCAAAGTGCAAGTAGATAAATAGGTACCACTCTGGCGGGAAGGTAAATGGCGTTTCCGTGCGTTGCTCTGGTTCGCCTGAAGTGGCTTAGTCATGCTGGCCACATGACCTGGAAGCTGTACGCCGGCTCCCTTGGCCAATAAAGGGAGATGAGTGCCGCAACCTCAGAGTCGGCCACAACTGGACCTGATGGTCAGGGGTCCCTTTACCTTTACCCTTTAGGATGTCTGAAAGGAAATAATTATCATGCGAACAAGGAGACAATGCAGCTATCCATCTTTTTACTAACGTATATACTTGAAAATGGGTACTATACTTGGGGGTGCCAACTGAACACAAAAGACACACGTAATATAAATCAATATTGAAGATTTTCATTACGTACTATGAACTCAACGCACATTTGATAAATAAACGATATGTTTCAGTCTCTGTGCTTCTTGAACCAGAAAGCTGATTTTTTAAAAAGAACCAAATGCATATCCTAATGGTTATACAGATTAGTTGTTTCTTTTACAGCCAAAAAGGTAAAATGTATCTCAGCTGAAGGGGGAAAACTTATATAAGCCGTATAGAAAAGAGTGAAGCTTTGACTCAGCAGGTTTTGCAACTTTTCTTATAAATCAGTGGCAGATTGTTTTTGCACATGACTTTATTTTGAAGTGGAAACCAAGTGTTACAAATAAATGCATAAAAACCCTTTTGCACAGTTTTGGTTGTACAGTGATTTCTTCCAAACATTGCTAATGTGTCATTTCATGTTGTTGTCCTCCTAGCTTCTGCATTGCCATAAAGCAAGATTGATTGACTAAATGGTGCTAACATAATTGTCCTTGGCCAATTGAAAATAAAATAATAAAGACTATCAAGATGTGAACACAACATATCTCATAGAACTTGACAAAGTAGCTCAGTTAATATTAGTGGAATAGTTACTTGCTTTTATTCACTGCCCTGAAAGAAAGGAAAATCTGAGTTCTGCATACAACATGTACAGCTCATTGTCATTTGCTTCTACCAATAACGTAGTGAAACCTGTTCTAAGCTTTCAGGGATGAGCCTGAAGGCTATTGGTACAGTAAAATGCAATTTCTAATGTGGTAATTGCATATGCAGATGTGCTCTTGGTGAAGCAAGAGGTGTATGAAGCTTGGACATGGTATTGTGTGTGAATGAATGTACAAGCGAGTTGCGATGTGTGTAATAAATTGGGGAGGAAGGGTGGGATATAAATTTAATAAATAAAATAGTGAATCACCTAAACATTGGCCAAGGAAGGACATGTTCCTTTAGTTATCGCAAAGGCTCGACTACTGAGTGATCTTTATGCTCACTTTTAATGTACTGTTCCCATGCTTTTACCTTCTAATGGTTTTGTAATTCAGAATCCGAGAGTAAGCTGAATGCCTCTTTGTTTTTGGAACAGATAGGTTTAAGCGCAATCTATATTCCCAACTATAAGGGACGCGGGTGGCGCTGTGGGTTAAACCACAGAGTCTAGGACTTGCTGATCAGAAGGTCGCCAGTTTGAATCCCCGCGACAGGGTGAGCTCCCATTGCTCACTCCCTGCTCCTGCCAATCTAGCAGTTCGAAAACACGTCAAAGTGCAAGCAGATAAATAGGTACCGCTCTGGCGGGAAGGTAAATGGTGTTTCCCTGCGCTGCTCTAGTTCGCCAGAAGCGGCTTAGTCATGCTGACCACAGGACCCGGAAGCTGTACGCCGGCTCCCTCGGCCAATAAAGCGAGATGAGTGCCGCAACCCCAGAGTCGGTCACAACTAGACCTAATAGTCAGGGGTCCCTTTACCTTTATCTTTATATTCCCAACTATATTGCGGGGCCAAGCTTGTCTGCGTACTGTGCCTTTAAGAGAGGAATGGAAGGAAACACGAGAGTAAGCTTGTTGCCGTGGTGAGAAAGAAAACTTAAATCACCCAGAGAGAAAAGAAGAGGAAATAAGAAGTTCAAGCAGTAAGACATACTGGCTGCCTTAATCCCCCAGCTTCGGGTTTAAATTCACAGAATGGAGACTGCAAAGTAGTGAGATGTTATCGCTGTGGTTTCTCTTGTTTGCTTTTAAGTTGTCCCCTTTTAATAGAGCTGGCCCAGGACATTTGGACAAATGATCTCCCCCATGACAGCAAGTGTCCCCACAATCCTGAAACTCTTGCTCTGACAAAGTGCACTGACTATTCAAATCATTTGTCTTATGTTCCCACATCTTTAACATGACAATAATCGGGATACTTTCAGCACCAAATAATTATATTTTAGAGAACAATGTGTACAGTTATTTACCATACTTATAAAATTACATATAAACCTAAAATAGAAAATTGATTTTTTCCCTTTCCCAAGCTTCTTTAGGTATGCGTGCATTTTAAGTATTTCAAAGACTTCAGTGTGTTTGGATATTCTGCTATTTATTTTTTAAATCTGTTTTGTTTGAAATTGCATAATATATTTTACTGTGGTGGTTCCATTATGGCAGAGTTTTCCAAACTATGTTGTGACACATTAGTGTGTTGGCTGCAGTGTTTAGGTGTGTCTCAAATCTTCCATTCTTGGGCAAGTTGATTGAGCGGGTGGTTGCTGAATGTGGACCATTTGGATCCCTTCCAGTCGGATTCAGGTCTCATCATGGGACTGAAACTGCCTTGGTTGCGCTGGTCGATGATCTCCGGCAGGCTAGGGACAAAGGTGGAAGTTCTGCTAGATCTCTCAGCGGCCTTTGATACCATCGACCACAACATCCTTCTGGACTGTCTAGTGGGGCTGGGAGCTAGGGGCACTGTTATTCAATGGTTCTGCTCCTTCTTCCTGGGCCGTGCCCAGGAAGTGGTGTTGGGGGTTGAGTGTTCAGACCCCTGGGCTCTCACTTGTGGGGTGTCTCAGGGTTCCATCCTCTCCCCCATGCTTTTTAACTTCTATATGAAGCCGCTGGGAGAGAGCATCCTGGGGTTTGGACTGGGTGTTCATCAGTATGCAGATGATACCCAGCTCTACCTCTCTTTTAAATTGGAACCAGTGAAGGTCCTGTGTGAGTGTCTGGAGGCAGTTGGAGGATGGATGGCGGCTAACAGATTGAGGCTGAATCCTGACAAGACAGAAGTACTGTTTTGGGGAGATGGAGCAGGCGGGTGTGGAGGACTCCCTGGTCCTGAATGGGGTAACTGTGCCCCTGAAGGACCAGGTGCGCAGCCCGGGAGTCATTTTGGACTCACAGCTGTCCATGGAGGCACAGGTCCATGTATATAAAAGGATGTCATATAGAGGAGGGAGAAAGGTTGTTTTCTGCTGCTCCAGAGAAGCGGACATGGAGCAATGGATCCAAACTACAAGAAAGAAGATTCCACCTAAACATTAGGAAGAACTTCCTGACAGTAAGAGCTGTTTGACAGTGGAATTTGCTGCCAAGGAGTGTGGTGGCGTCTCCTTCTTTGGAGGTCTTTAACCAGAGGCTTGACAACCATATGTCAGGAGTGCTCTGATGGTGTTTCCTGCTTGGCAGGGGGTTGGACTCGATGGCCCTTGTGGTCTATTCCAACTCTATGATTCTATGATTCTAGGTCAATTCTGTGTCCAGGGCAGCTGTCTATCAGCTCCATCTGGTACGCAGGCTGAGACCCTCCCTGCCCACAGACTGTCTTGCCAGAGTGGTGCATGTTCTGGTTATCTCCCGCTTGGACTACTGCAATGCGCTCTATGTGGGGCTTCCTTTGAAGGTGACCTGGAAACTACATGTGGCAGCTAGACTGGTAACTGGGAGTGGCCTCCGAGACCACATAACACCGGTCTTGAAAGACCTACATTGGCTCCCCGTACGTTTCCGAGCACAATTCAAAGTGCAGGTGCCGACCTTTAAAGCCCTAAATGGCCTCAGCCCAGTATACCTGAAGGAGTGTTTCCACCCCAATCATTCAGCCTGGTTGCTGAGGTCCAGCTCTGAAGGCCTACTGGCAGTTCCCTAATTCCGAGAAGCCAAGTTGCAGGGAACCAGGCAGAGGGCCTTCTCGGTAGTGGCGCCCGCCCTGTGGAACGCCCTCCCATGAGATGTCAAGCAAATACACAACTATCTGACTTTTAGAAGACATCTGAAGGCAGCCCTGTTTAGGGAAGTTTTTAATGTCTGATGTTTTATTGTATTTTTAATATTTTGTTGGAAGCTGCCCAGAGTGGCTGGAGAAACCCTCTGTGCCTTACTTGAGAGAGGATGCTGCTCTATCTGAAGGGTCCCAAGTCCAGTTGAAAGATGAAGAACCATAAGAAGTGAGAGCAGGAGACTTGGAGGATACCCATCAACACTTCCCAGCCAGTAGGCACACAGGTCACCTGGTCCCCATAGTCTTGCCCACCAGGGTGTAGCATGTTATGCTTCTATGTAAATCTGTGGCCCTTCAGAACACCCAACTCCCATCAGCCCCTGCCAACATGACCAACATTTGTGGATAATGAGAGCTGTAGCCAGCAACATATAGAGAACCACAAGTTCCTCATCACTCATTTAAATTATAGGAATTATACATTCACGGGCCTTTTATACTAAAAAGACTGCTTTCTTTTAGCTGTCCCCCATACGTTGTTTCCAAATCTTCACATTCTAAAGCACATTCTACCAGCTTAGAGGAGCACCTTCCTTCCCTTGGAAGCACACATAAAGCAGTCTGTCTCTGATGTTCCATTTTGCCTCCCCATCTACAGGGTTTTGATTGAAGAAGCCCCAAGAACAGCAGACATGTCCCAGCCCCAGTCCCAGACCTTGTACTGCCCCTGCTGGGATCCTTGGAAGACAGGATACAAAAGACTCAACAGAGCTAAGGCAGGCACGCTGTCTCAGAAGCCCAAGTAAGTGGGGAATTGTTCAACATTGGTGGAGAAGCAATAGCAGCACTCGGTTTAATAGCAAACTCAGAGTCTCTGTCCCATCCGAAATGGACATCCTTTTTATTGCGCATTCATGATGATCTGTGCTCATTCTGCTGTCGGGGCGGGTCATACACAATACGGTCGGTACCTGCAAAAGCTCTAAGGCTGCCACACTTTCATATCTCGTCAATGCATTTCCCATAACTGTGCTGAAATCCGGTAACTCTTCGTGCCACAAATGTTCTGGTTTACTTAGTTGTGCACTTGTTGTTCTATAGCCCCTCTGGACAGCATTGGTGAAGCATCGCAGATCAAACTGAAGCAGAAAGAATCCGCCACAAATGCTGACTGTCAGCGACTCTCCCAAGATTTCAGGCAGGAGTCTCCCCCATCCATTCCAGAAGATGCTGGAAATGGAAACTAGGTCTTCCTGCAGGCAAAAACTAGGGTCTGCCATTGAGCTATAACCCTTGTGGTGTTCCATACCTTTCGGATTTTGCAATGATGTACCGTATTTTTTGCTCTATAAGACACACTTTTTCCCTCCTAAAAAGTAAGGGAAAATTATGGAGCGAATGCAGGCTGCGCGGCTAAGCCAGAAGCCAGAACAGGGAGAGGGAGTGCTGTGCAGCACGGGGCTCTGTCCCTTCCCCCACCTCCCAGAAAAGACCCCAAGAGCCACGCTCCCTTTAAAGAGCGCGTGGCTCTTGCTGGAGGTGGGTGAAGGGACAGAGGGCAGCTTACCCGCGCGCAGCCTCTTCCGGGCAGGGGGAGCCTAGATCCCGCTGCCCGGGAGAGGATTCGGCGGCTATCCCAGAAGCCAGAACAGCAAGAGGCTATCCCTGAAGCCAGATCCCTCTTGCTGTTCTGGCTTCTGGGATTCAGAATATATTTTTTTCTTGTTTTCCTCCCCCAAAACAAGGTGTGGCTTATCGTCTGGTGCGTCCTATAGAGCGAAAAATACGGTACATGTTTGTTTTTTTCTGTCCATCGTCTTGCGTATCCTACAGAAAGGCGCTTAAGAAATGTTTTTTTAAAAATCAATCGGCATGTAAATATTTGTCATTTCTTCTTTGTTATTCCACCTGCTTCTCCTAAATTGCTAATAGGAATGATGATGCTCTGACCTAGCTCACTGGAAGCCTAGAAGCCTGCTCTAAGGAGAGAGAAGTGTAGGCGTAAACATCTCGTCTCTCTTCCTTCTTGCTGCCTTAGGAACGTGTTCTTCTGCTCACTCGTGTGTGGCTGGCGGAAGCCAGGAAGATGCCAGTAATGTCACTATCATGCTGTCTTTTTAAATGTCACCGGAACCATGCTCAGGCGCCTTCAGCTTCTCCCCATCATGAAATTTTGCAGGGAAGGGAGTCCAGAAGGGCCTCCCCCTCTTCTTCTCTCCCCCCCCCTGGACACTGGGGCTCCCCACCCCACCCCATTCATGCTCCATTAGTCCCAGGTGCATCTAGTTTGCCACTGCAAAAACAAGGTGCTGAACTGGCCCAGCAGTGCTCTTCTTATGCTCTCATGTTATGTAGATGCCTTCATAATAAGATTTATTTCTATATTTTAATATCATTTATATCCTGCCTTTTCTGCCCAGTTAGGGTGCTCCGTAGTGGTTTGGATAGGAACGCTAAAACCTTCACATGTGCACAAACTCACCGTACTCATACAGCAAGGCAACACAAAAAACGAAATCGCATTTCCCCCAAGCGACAGTTGTGAAATGCTTCAAATGCCTGGATGTTGTGGGCAAGCTTCCAGGTATCTCTGGATTGCTTCCATTGTATTTTACAGTACAGTATTACAAAACCACAGAGCCTAGGACTTGCCAATCAGAAGGTCGGCGGTTCGAATCCCGCAATGGGGTGAGCTCCCGTTGTTCGGTCCCTGCTCCTGCCAACCTAGCAGTTCGAAAGTACGTCAAAGTGCAAGTAGATAAATAGGTATACCACTCTGGCAGGAAGGTAAACGGCGTTTCCGTGCGCTGCTCTGGTTTGCCAGAAGCGGCTTAGTCATGCTGGCCACATGACCCGGAAGCTGTACGCCAGCTCCCTCGGCCAATAAAGCGAGATGAGCGCCGCAACCCCAGAGTCGGTCACAACTGGACCTAATGGTCAGGGGTCCCTTTACCCTTTACCTTTATTACAAACCAAACTATTCCAGTAGTCTCCTGTTGCATGTGCTTGCTGCCATGAGAGAATCAGAAGCAGAAGGAATCCTGTGTATAAACACTGTAATCCTGCTTAGCTGAAGAACAGGTAACATTGATGGATTGAAAGTGACAAGCAGTGCTATAGCTCTTCTGCAAAATGCAAAGCAATTATAAGCAAATGTCGAGTGGAATCATTGTACAAACTGGCAGCTATTTATTTGAAAGAGGATGATGGATCAGTCAACCGAATTGCTGCAAGGAAAATTCTTCAGACAACTCAGTTGTCAAGTTTTTAAAAGCTTGAGAAGCAACATGCCTTCCCTGCTGCTGTGTACAGAAATCCAGTTATCAAAGTGTAACTTTATATGCATTCATATAATAAATAATTATCTTATGTGAGAAGATATAACTTTCAGAAATAAACGTTCTTTCCTTTTTTTTTCTGCATAATTTTTATTGTTTTACAAAATACAAAACACAAAACAAATAAATCGATATTCATATTATTCACAAAAAGAGAAAAATTGAGACTTCCTTCTGTCGTTCCACGAATCGTCCAGAGTAACATTAAACAATAAATCCGCATTTCCTTGTTTGTAATGCCACAAGTTGTTCTCATTCGTCTGTTTTTCTTTGGCATTACCCTTTGCTTTTTACAGAGCACCTTTAAAACCCGCCAGTGTTATCTGTTCGTCCGTTAAATTTTCCAGATATTTCGTAAAACTTTCCCAATTTTTAACAAACCTCTGATCTTTTATATATCTAATTTTACCTGTCATCCTGTCCATCTCCACATAATCTAATAGTTTGGATCTCCATTCCTCCATTGTTGGTAAACTCTCTTGTTTCCAATTTTTAGCTATCAGGACCCTTGCTGCCGTTGTTGCATATTGGAACAATTTGTAATCTTTCTTCTTTATCTCCGTTCCTACCAGGCCTAGTAAGAACGCCTCGGGTCTTTTAACAAAGGTGTATCTTAACATTTTCTTCATTTCATTGTATACACTCTCCCAGAACCCTTTGATCTTTTGGCACTTTGATCTTTCCACCTGTGTATAAGAGAAACTCATGGATCCTGTTTTGAATGGGATAGGGAAAGGGGTATTTTTACAAGTCACATCACTGTCTTGTTTCAGGCTGAAATTTTGCAGACCTAACGCACAACCACTAAGAAGCAGGGAGCCTCGAGATGTGAGTAGAACAAAACATTTCTTCCCTTTTTAAATTTGCAATCTTCTTTCCTTCCTCTTTGCAACAACCTTGTTAAGTAAGAAAAACAAGTTTCGATTTTGGAGGCGTCTTCATAGTTCAAAGACCCCAAACTCTGTTTCTATACTTTTCAGTTACCGTATTTTTTGCTCTATAAGACTCACTTTTTCCCTCCTAAAAAGTAAGGGGAAATGTGTGTGCGTCTTATGGAGCGAATGCAGGCTGCACAGCTATCCCAGAAGCCAGAACAGCAAGAGGGATTGCTGCTTTCACTGCGCAGCGATCCCTCTTGCTGTTCTGGCTTCTGGGATTCAGAATATTTTTTTTCTTGTTTTCCTCCAAAAACTAGGTGCATCTTGTGGTCTGGTGTGTCTTATAGAGCGAAAAATCCGGTATATTATATACAACTTATATTAATGTCTACTGAGGATCCATTCTGTTTATAGTTGAGGAAGATATTTTAGATCCAAAATCCAGAGCGAAGTTCACTCACTGTTGTCAGTGCCCATTGATGGGATTTTCAGTGGGCTTTCTTCCAGTAAAAAAGAAATTTTGCAGCTCTCTAAAATGTATTTGGATGGATTTCTAGAGGAAAAGAGTCCAGCCTTGAAGTTACGGAAGCATCCTGAGGCTGAGAACTGCTTAACTGAAATGTTTTGCTCCAATAAAATGCGCCCAACTCCTTGTTCTGTGTACCTCCTTTGTGTAGCACAAATGCAACGCCCTTGAGAATATGGTGCTTTACTTAAAAATAAATAAATGCATCTGTCAGTTTGAGGGGCACTTTATGAGACTGGATTTTAAATGCTAGGATTCCACAGAGTGCAGTCCCTTTTGTTTTAACCCCAGATATCAAAGGAGATTGAAGATGAGATCACTCCTGGCTTTACCGTGTCTCACAGTAAGGATCGTATCACTGTCACGCTGGGCGAGGAATTCTTTGAGAAGAAGAAGCCTGATGAGGAAGTTGCCAAGCCCCCTGTGCTCAGGTAATCTTACACAAGTAACTAGCATTCTTCCTGACTTGAGGATATATGATGCAGCAGTGTTGGTTGGAGGTCAATGACAGGTGGAGCCAATTAATTCCAGCTTGCTCTGCTTTCTCCCTGCTGAGTTCAAGGGCTAAATGGAGGGCAAGACAAAGGAAGCTGGCAGCCAGGGCTACCCCCTAGACTGCTTGTAAGAAGGGGGGGGGTTACCGGCTGGCTAGCTGGCTGAAAGGCAGACTGAGGTTGGTGGGGCAGTGCCCACACCCCATAATGGACCAGCCTCCTCTGCTCCACAAGTGTGTGAAGAATCAATAACAACAGTAACAACATTTATGTAAGGCAATTTTCACATTGGTCATGCAGGGTATCTTTAGACGTGCAACCTAGCAAGGGAGTTAAATGCTTGCCAAATGCGGGAAACGTTCACACAAATTTCTTCTCGTTCCTTTACGTGTGGAGGAGGCATGTGGTGATACAGTTCCACCGGCTAATTCCTTTTGAGCCCACTACAAACGTCAACAAGTTTGTTAATAATGGTTTCTCTTGGTTCCTCGTTTTCTTCATGCGTTTCCCCCTCATATAATGCATCGTTGTATCTTTATTTCCTCCGACATATGCATTTATATGCACTTTCCCCTAATGTATGGCACCTTTTTGCTTGCGTTTCAGTTTGCATATTGTTGTAGGAAGTGTGAATTATGTAGATACGCATTAAAATGTGGACCAAACCAAATTTTTCATCCATCCTTGTTGGTGATAGTTGTGCCTTCACAAACACACACACACACACACACACTGTCTTTGTACCTGTGTCCAGAAAGTCTGTTGAAGGTCCTCAGTTTAGCCACCTGAAGACACACGTCATGATGCATTGTGTCCTGTGTGGCTCTTCGCTATGTTCATCACTGGGCTGCAGTGAATATAATTTCTGTGTACGTCATCTGTATGGGGTTTGGAACTTAACAGGTTAAGTTATTCCCATGATGCCTCAACATTCTGACGTCAGCTTTCGAAGCTGGGAGGAGTTTGGGAGGAGTTTGCTGTTCCTCTCTGTGCTGTGAGAGGGAAAGGAAGCAGTTTTGTCATGGCTGCAAGTAGTCCTGGATTTTCCGGAGAACTGTTGGAATAAACAACTGTAAATAGACAAACCTGTACTGTGTGTGTTTGTCAAAGGACGTGATAGCTTTCCCGCTGTGCTGGGAAACTCTGCTGGGCGTGACTGGACGACGGAGCTAAGTGGCGCAGCTGAGGGAAGCGCGCCGGACGGCAGTAAAGAGCTAAAGCTAATTGTGGATCGTAAATCAATTAGCGGAGGTCACGCAAAATAATAAATCAACTTTGACAGGTTATGGAGCTTAATCACCGATCGTAAAGCTATCACGGGAGCTTTGAAGTTGCGGTTTAGAGCTACGGAGCTACGGCAGAAGGTGGTGAGATATTTGCCTGTTGCTAAGAGGCAAAAGAGAGCTGCGGAGCGAGAGCTGAGAGCAGCAAGGAATCGTTTCTCCACGGAATCGTTTCTCCACGGATGGGTGCCGGAGGAGCTTGTAATTTGTGAGTATCGCTTGGGGCCCCTTGGGAGAACGGAAGACAATGGCAGACAGCCAGGTCTTGAAGGACATTGCGTTTGAAAAGCTCACTCTAAGAAGTTGGGCAAGGGCGTAAAGTCAGCAAGGGCTGTCTGGGAATGTGCTGCGTTTGCTGTGAAGCTTCAGCAGGAGGCCAGAGCCCTGGAGAAGTATTGAGAAAAGCCTAAAGATGGCAGTAGCCCCTGTTCCTGATGTTTTAGCCTCAAGGAGCGCTGGTGAGCAGGTCGGGGGGGCGAAGAAGTTTTCTAAAGGCCACTTCAAAGAGTTTTCCACTGTACGTGCTGGAATGGAATGGCGGTCCAGAGAGAGCAAGTCTGGCGCAGGCAGCTCCACCGGAAGCAAGGGGGGGGCCAGGCCAGATGAGAGCTCTGTTCAGTGTTTTTCCACTGGAGTTCGTCGTTGCTACGTGTGTAATGCAACGGGACACTTGCGTCGAGACTGTCCACAAAGAGCGAGGGCAGCTGCACAGGAATGTTTCAAGGACACTTCCCATGGAAATCAGTCGGGTTTCCATGGCAACCAGTCTGGAAGAGGAGGCCAGCGTGGGAACGCAAGAGAAGGACGTGGAAAACAACGTGAGGAGGCTTATCAACTAACAGCTAGTCTGGCTTTGTCTGAGGACAGCTGTGGGACAGGCTCAGAGCTTTGTTTTGTAATCGACTCTGCAGCGAACTGCAATTTGATTCCAGAGACCCCTGCTGTCGAGATGTGGAATTGCAAAGCAATTCCGGCTGGAAAAACTGTACTATTTGCAAATGGACAGAAAAAGAATGTAACTAATTCTGTGAATGTGCATGTGTTTGTTTTACAGGAGTCGTTGGAGTGTTGTACCGTTCCTGGGATGCACCACTGTCTTTTATCTGTGCCTTATTTGTTGAAAAAGGGGTTTAAGGTTTGTTTCGAAGATGATGTCTGCACAATCTCCAAAGGAGGGAGGATATTTGCCAAGGTTAAAAAGGGGCAGAATGATCTCTTTGTTCTTAAAACACCTCTGGAGAGTGAGGGGAAGGTTGGGAAAGCACAGGCTTTACGTGCTGAAATCAACAATCATGTGACATGTGCACATGCGTGGCATGCAAGAACAGCTCATGGTTCTCTAGAAGAACTACAGGTGCTGCCTGAGGTTTCCAAAGGTTGTGAAATTACAGAATGTGGATGTGCTGTAAAATGTGAAACTTGCAAACTGGCAAAGGTAAGAGGATGCAGTTATCCAAAAGTAGAGAGGGTAACCGCAAAAACTTTTGAATTGGTTCACATTGATTTGTGGGGTCCTGTAAAGGAGGTGAGTCTGGGAGGTGCAAGGTTTCTTCTGACGGTGCAGGATAATTTTACGCAGAACTCCTGGACCCATGGTCTCAAATCCAAGGATGATGCAGCACAGCTGATCAAAGGATGGATTGAGGAGGTGGAACAAAGGTTTTCCACCAGAGTGCAAGCAGTCACCAGTGATAGAGGAGCTCAATTTACAGGGTCTGCTTTGCAGAAATTCTTTCACAAGAAAGGGATACGTCACACAGTGACTTCACCCAATCAGAGAGGGGTGGCAGAGCTGAGAAGTGAGGCTCTGGTTAAAGCTGCACAGGTGATGCTGGCAGATTCTGGGTTACCTCCAAGGTTTTGGCTGGAGACAATCAAGTATGTGGGTTTCACCTGGAATCGTACCTACAATTCACTAGTAGGTGACACACCCTTTGGGTTGTTGCATGGCAGGAAACCCCAGATTCATTTTCTGCGTATGTTTGGTGCAAGTGCATCTGTGCCGGTACCTACTGCTTTGCAGGGGCCAGATGGATCCAAGTTCCGGAAAATGATCTTCTGCGGGTATGAGCCAGAAGCACGTGCATGGAGGTTTGCATATCCATCAGGTGATCAGAGTAAGGTGCTGATCAGTAAACACGCTGAGTTCTATGAGCAGGATAAAAGGTCAAAAACTGCTGTCATGCGTGATGTGCTCTCAGAATGTCTATCTGATTCTGAGGAGGAAAGGGAGGTAGAGGCTGATCCCGGTGATGAGGACCAGGTCCACGATCAGGGTTCAGAATCCGATGATGACGAGCAGGTCACTGACCAAAGTCAGGAACAGGAGGAGGTTTCTGTAGCTTCTCCACAAGATGTTAAGAGAACACCCAAAAGCGAGCCCAGTTCTCCTGTGAGTGTAATGGAGAGGATTCGAAAACGCTTTAAGTCAGAGGGGGAAACCCGTGATGCTGAGGACACACCTTCTGGTGGCGGTGAGTCAGAGATAACATCTGAGTTTGTGCCTAGAAGGTCCAGTCGCACAACAAAGGGTATTCCACCTGAAAGGTATCAGGCCACAAGTGCGTGGGTATGTTTCGCACAGTGTGATTCTGGGAGTGTTGAAGGGGTTCAACAGGTGCCGGGGAAAGATGCTGGAAAGAAGCGCAAGGCAAAGGGAAAGGTGTTGAACTCAAAAAGGTCTTGTCAGAATGTTCGGCAAGGGGGGGTATGGGGTTTGGAACTTAACAGGTTAAGTTATTCCCATGATGCCTCAACATTCTGACGTCAGCTTTCGAAGCTGGGAGGAGTTTGGGAGGAGTTTGCTGTTCCTCTCTGTGCTGTGAGAGGGAAAGGAAGCAGTTTTGTCATGGCTGCAAGTAGTCCTGGATTTTCCGGAGAACTGTTGGAATAAACAACTGTAAATAGACAAACCTGTACTGTGTGTGTTTGTCAAAGGACGTGATAGCTTTCCCGCTGTGCTGGGAAACTCTGCTGGGCGTGACTGGACGACGGAGCTAAGTGGCGCAGCTGAGGGAAGCGCGCCGGACGGCAGTAAAGAGCTAAAGCTAATTGTGGATCGTAAATCAATTAGCGGAGGTCACGCAAAATAATAAATCAACTTTGACAATCTGCATCCAGACAGGTGACTTGCAAAGGCATTGGAACAAGCAGAATTCAGTTTGTAACTCACATACGCACACACAGTACTGTGTAGATCATTCTTTTGATACATCTATTTTGAAAGAGAATGTGTTTAGCTGACAGTAGTGGTGCCTTAACACCATCTCTCTCTCTCTCTCTCTCTCTCTCTCTCTTTTAACTCTCTTTGCAGTTCTCCACCTAAGCTTGAAACGTAAGTACCAATCTACCCGCCCCTCACACAACCCCCTCACCTCAGCTTCCTTTTTGTGCATTACAGTAACAATTGTTGCTTAAGATATCCTCCTCCCGGTTTCCTTCCCTCACTTCAATGCCACCCCTTCTTCCAGGATATTGCTTTGACAGGAACTTGCAAGATGTATTGTGGCTCAGTAAGTCGCTGCACATTGTTACCCTGGCAACAAGAATTATTGTCAGGAGGAAGGCCTGAGGCCCTGTTCAGTTTGACACTACTGGTTTAGCTCTACGCTCGTTTATCTCTCTCTCACACACAAACACACACCCCTGCTCTGGAGTACTAATTGTCTGCAGTGGACTTTTTGGGGGGTGTTCAGTGTTTTCGCTTTTGATCCTCCATGTGGAGTATTTGACACATAATGGGAAGAAACTGTGCTTACCTGTCTGACAGTCAGCCTTATATTTCTCCCTACTGGCAGGGCATTGCAGGGTTTCATCACTGACTGCCCACCTATAGCTATGAAAAGAAGAAAGCTGAACATTGCAGTCCCCTAGTTTGATTGCAACTAAATTACCGTATTTTTTGCTCTATAAGACTCATTTTCCCTCCTAAAAAGTAAGGGGAAATGTGTGTGCGTCTTATGGAGCGAATGCAGGCTGCGCAGCTATCCCAGAAGCCAGAACAGCAAGAGGGATTGCTGCTTTCACTGCGCAGCGATCCCTCTTGCTGTTCTGGCTTCTGAGATTCAGAATATATTTTTTCTTGTTTTCCTCCTCCAAAAACTAGGTGCGTCTTGTGGTCTGGTGCGTCTTATAGAGCGAAAAATAAGGTGTTGTGCTGGAATTTTCCCTCGCCCCCAAATCTGCCCTGGAGCGTTGGGGGGAACCCCAAATCAGATTTAGGGAGCATGCAGTGCAAGAAGAGGCAGAGAGCTTCCCCTTGCGGAAGGAGAAATCCTTGCATGGACCTTAGTGCTTTATTGAATGCAATTCGGTTTGCTTGGCACTTAATCTAGACTGGGATTCTCTCCCAAGAAGGTTGTTTTTAGCCAAGCAATTATAGGACCATTGCATCGCCAGTTACTAATGTTGTGAATAGTCGTTGTGCTAGTCTTCGATACATCTGAGGTTTGCTCTGCCTGTTCTGTTTCATGGCTTTTAGGCTCACTGTTAACAATGTGTGTGTGTGCGCGTACATGTTTGTTTTATAGGTAATAGTTACAGATAAATATTCATAAAAATATTTACAAATTGCTTCCAGCTGAGAGTACATCGTAGGCAACCGATACCTTTAAATTTCTCACAGCCCTGTGTCATATACCGTATTTTTCGTCCCATAGGATGCTCCGTCCCCTAGGACGCACCTAGTTTTTTTGGGGGGAAATAAAGGAAAAAATTGCGGATGTCTGCCCGGGGCGCTCTGCTTCAGGGCGCCCCTCATGCCGGGCAGCAGGCTGCTATCCGCAGCGTGGGGAGCCCTGCGGGGAACTCCCGCAGGGCTGCCTAGGCTGCGGATGTGTTCCCGAAGCGCTGGGCGCTCTGCTTTCAGCGCGCCCGGTGCTCTGGGAAGCAGGCTGCGGATGTGTTCCCAAAGCACTGGGCGCTCTGCTTTCAGCGCGCCCGGCGCTCCGGGAAGCAGGCTGCTATGCGCAGCCTAGACAGCCCTGCGGGAACTTCCGCAGGGCTGCCTAGGCTGCGGATGTCTTCCTGAAGCCTGGAGAGCGAGAGGGGTCGGTGCGCACCGACCCCTCTCGCTCTCCAAGCTTCAGCAAAAGCCTCCATTCGCCCCATAGGACGCACCCAGATTTCCCCTTCATTTTTGGAGGGGAAAAAGTGCGTCCTATAGGGCGAAAAATACGGTAAGCCAGTGATACCTGCTTCAGTGTGAACATTCCAAATACCTATCCCATACATTTAAAGCACATCCAATGGACATTTGAAGCAGATGACAAATAAACCTGGGAACTGCAGTTTCCCCCTCAGAGGGCTGCCATACCCAATACCCGTAACAAACTACAGTTCCCATAATTCTTTTGCGGGGGAATCTTGGACTTCATAAGTGAGTTGGGTGTGCTTCAAATATATGTGGTGCGGATCTGCTGGAGCAGCGGGAGAGGAGTGCGTTTGCTGAACATTTTGTTTGCCCGCTTGCTCCTTCCAACTTGAAACCCACACAAGCCTTGCCCAGGGCAAGAGCCAAAGGCCTCGTAGCCAATAGCCTGTTAGCTGGAGGATAATCCTGAGACTGCTGCCCATTGACATGCTTTGGTTTGATGCTCTGAACTTCTGGAGCCCCGTTGCAATTAGGAAAGGTTGAAGCTTAGCTTTGATTTAAAATCTGAACGGAACAAAGCTCCTCTCCCTTCCTTCACTGGCTTATACTGTGCTGCGCTGACATAGGGTCCCGCTAGCGCTGATCTCTTCCAGACAAAGAGAAGAGATTAGACTCATAGAAACCGCAAAATAGCATTTGCAGTCATATAGAAAAGAGGGAGAGAAATGACTCTTCCATTGTGAGCAAGGAAAGCCTATCATTAAACTTCATCCAGACTTACTTCCTTCTCTCCCCACATAAGACAGAGTGTGTAGAGGCACCAGTTTCTTTTCCCTCTCTGTTTGAACTTGGTGAAGACAGCAAACCCCCTTCGGCCCCACCACCTCCTCAACCCCGACTGCCAAACAGATAAGGGAATCCTATAAACCTTTTTAGTTGCAGTTCTTGATTTTCCTACTCTTGATCCTTCCGACATGATGACATTTGCCAACCAGCAAATTTTGCTGTAGAGACACAATGTTGGTCTTGCAGGGAGGACATTATAGGTGACTTGGTGGAACAGATTGCTGAGCTCACAGCTATAATGGAGCAATTGCGCCGAGACCACCAAGCTAGCCACAAACAGGTGAGTCACTTCCATTTGGGGTGCTGCTGTTGGAAACTTAGCAAATGTAGCCTTGTACAGTGGTACCTCGGGTTACATACGCTTCAGGTTACAGACGCTTCAGGTTACAGACTCTGCTAACCCAGAAATAGTACCTAGGGTTAAGAACTTTGCTTCAGGATGAGAACAGAAATCGTGCGGCGGCAGAAGGAGGCCCCATTAGCTAAAGTGGTGCTTCAGGTTAAGAACAGTTTCAGGTTAAGAACGGACCTCCGGAATGAATTACAGTGGTCCCTTGGGTTAAGTACTTAATTCATTCCGGAGTTCCGTACTTAACCTGAAACTGTTCTTAACCTGAAGCATCACTTTAGCTAATGGGTCCTCCTGCTGCCGCTGCACCGCCAGAGCACAATTTCTGTTCTCATCCTGAAGCAAAGTTCTTAACCTGAAGCACTATTTCTGGGTTATCAGAGTCTGTAACCTGAAGCGTATATAACCTGAAGCGTATGTAACCCGAGGTACCACTGTAAGTACTTAACCCGAGGTACCACTGTACTGGAATCCTCCATTAAGGACATAAGTTTTCAGAGAGTAGTCTCCTTTTCATCAGATGCATGAAGGACACTCCTCAGTTGGAATCTATATACTGTAATGAGATAGGAGAATGGTTTGAATGATCTCTCAAGGTTTGACCATGGGTCGACATGGCCCTCAGCCTGAAGGATAGCAATTGCTGTGTTAAAGCATCAATGTATATAAAACCACTGTAATTTTTGTTGGTGCAAAAAGAAAGAAAGTAGAATTCATTGGACACCAAGATCCAAGTTTAGGGCAAGTACTATTTGGTGAGAGAACCCCAGCAGAGATTTAAAGTCACAAAATACGTAGCAAAGTAAAGCATGGAAATATAGGTTATTATACCTAAATTTTAGTTTGCCCTTTCAAGTACGTTCCAAAATTTCCCTCTTTCCTCAGCATAGGAAAAGGCCACAAGTTTGGTAAGTTAAAATATTGGTTTACTTACAAACACTTCAAAAGTCTGGTACATGTGCTTTTCCATGCATCAGGCAGAAAAGTAAAACGTAGCTTAGCTGCAAAGTTGTCAATGTTCCTAGATTCTTGGTAAAGGAACACAAGAGTGGCTCAAACCTCTTCACACTGCACTTCTCAGGTAGACTAGAGGGTGAACAATAGCCTGGATTGCCCATTTCATCCCAAAGCAAGGGGATGTCATAGCTAAGCTGGCAGGACAGCTGTGGTATTAATCCTTTCATTCATTAATTAGACCCAAACATGCCGGTTATATGAGGCTAGTTATCCCATAATTTTCCCCATTTGCCTCTCTGTTTTTTCTCTCTCTAAACCATGGGTAGGCAAACTAAGGCCGGATCCGGCCCAATCACCTTCTAAATCCGGCCCGCGGACGGTCCGGGAATCAGCGTGTTTTTACATGAGTAGAAAGTGTCCTTTTATTTAAAATGCATCTCTGGGTTATTTGTGGGGCATACAAATTTTTTCAATTCCCCCCCCCAAAAAATATAGTCCTGCCCCCCACAAGGTCTGAGGGCCAGTGGACCGGCCCCCTCCTGAAAAAGTTTGCCGACCCCTGCTCTATACCCATACCCAGCGACTTAGGATAACACTTAATGCTTTGCATGCCAGACTATAAAAGATTCTGCCATCATGCAGGCAGGCGTAGTCTATGTGACTACAATTCCCATAATCCCCAGCTAGCATGGCCAGTGATCAGGGGTGATGGGAATTGCAGTCCAAAACATCTGGCGAGCAGCACATTGGCCAAGACTTCTTCTGAAAAGCAGTAACTGTCAAGCTGGTTGAAATAAATTTCTTATTTGGCATTTCTGGAGCAAAGGTGACGTTAAGGTAAAGGTAAAGAGACCCCTGACCATTAGGTCCAGTTGTGACCGACTCTGGGGTTGCGGTGCTCATCTCGCTTTATTGGCCGAGGGAGCCGGCGTACAGTTTCTGGGTCATGTGGCCAGCATGACTAAGCCGCTTCTGGCGAACCAGAGCAGCGTACGGAAACACCGTTTGCCTTCCCACCGGAGCGGTACCTATTTATCTACTTGCACTTGGACGTGCTTTCGAACTGCTAGGTTGGCAGGAGCTGGGACCGAGCAACGGGAACTCACCCCGTCACGGGGATTTGAACCGCCGACCTTCTGATCAGCAAGTCCTAGGCTCTGTGGTTTAACCCACAGCACCACCCGCGTCCCATAAGGTGACGTTACCATACGATTAATTGGCATGGAGGAACCAGGATGCTGTGTGTGTCTATGTTTGTGTTGAGCCTCTTGATCACAGAAACAAAATCTATATGCTGTGAAAGTACCTGAAGGTATCTTGTAAAGGCAGCTCCCCTCGTTCACCTTTATACAGAGCTTATTGTCTCTTTCTTTTCCTAGTTGGAGAAAGAGATGGAAGACAAAAGGAATGAAATGCAAGAGGAACACGAAAACAAAATGAGGTATGGCTAGTTCTACGTGCAAGATGGATCCATTTATTTTGCAGCCGCTATTCTGCATTTTGTTTTGGATAACCTCCGGAGGGAATCTGCTCGACGGGGGCTGGGTCTTGCCGTGCCGGCGACACGGGGACCCTTAAAAACCACGGGCGCGAATGCCCGTGGACGTGGTGACTCGGCGGGCACCGTTAGCGCCCTCCCGACCCGCGAAGGAGCCTTTTTAAAGGCTACGGAACGGGTGACGGGGAGCGGCGTGGTGCTGTGAGTCCTCTGCTTCCCCTGCTGAGTGAAGCCGCATGCCATTTGTCGGAGAGCGCTGACTTCTTCCCTTTAAAATTCAGACTTAAAATCAAGAACAACAACCCGTGAGTAATTTGGAACTGAACTTAAACCACTTCGTTTATGGATTTGGTACGAGCGGGGGAGGTGAAAAGAGGAAGTCCGTCTCCCCCCCATTGTAAACAGTTTAACAGCAAGGATCTGCCAACTAAGGTTGTGAGAAGAGCTGTCTGTTACCTTTTGTGATTGGATAAAAGATATTAATTCCACGGATTTAAAAAGACTAAGTTATTGTGCTGGAGGGCAAGAGTTTATTTGTCTTGATCAAGTACCACTTTTCTCGAGACCGGGAGTAACCCGTGAAAAGAGCCTGTGGAGGATTTACAGGAAGCTTTTGACAGCTGTCAAATTAGCTGTCAAAGTCCAGAAAAACTGAAAGCTTTAATTTTAGCCGGTTATTTTGCTACAAAGTAATGAAAGTAAAGGAAGATTGATACAAACAACATTGACTTTTGGGTCGGAAGTGAAAGGAATACTAAGTAACTAGAATCCCTCTAGAGGGGATTCACGGACATTACAAGAATGGAAATAGGTCGGGAAATGCGAGCTGAGTTGCAAGAACTGGTCGTTCTCATGGGAAAGCTGCGAGAGATGTATGAGCAAGGTCATGTTTTGTCTACAAGCCCTACAAAGTCGAAATCAACAGAAAATATAGCTACTGAGATGGAAAAGGGCTTGATGTTCAAAACACGAGCAGCTGGACAAGAAAAGAAACCAAAGAAGGAAGAGGAGGAAAAGATACCTGTTAAACAAGGGGCGGCTGAAATGATACAGAAGACAAATGAGAGCCGAAGATCTATCAAGACGATCTTAAACCCGACCAGAGTGAAAGTTGGACTAGTTGGGATGTATGAACTCAAGAAACAGAGCTGGAGCTTCACCTCTAAACAACTAGCCCTGGTTGAAAGAATCACTGCCAATATTGAGAAAGTATCTTTTCGAGTTTGGGCATTTAATATAAAAGATTTCCAAAGAAGCCGGCTGAGAGGGACTGAAAGGGACCTGAGAGCCTCGGACGTAAGGTCACCAGGCTAAAAAGATAGACTAATGGCTTTTGGTCTGGGGTTGAAACCGGGGAGGGAAAAGGAGGGTTTGGGAGCCCGAAGGGGGCCTGATTTTCACTATGCAGTGTAAAAACTTTTTAGGTCATTTATTATTACTAAAATGGGGAATTCGTGGATGGGAACTAGGGACAACCTTAGGAAAAGTACTCTTTTTTCTGTTTTCTTTTGTCTTTCTATCCCTTTTATATATGACTAAGGTATACAACTTAAATGTTATTGATTAAACTGAAGTAAATATAATAGTGAAATACCGGTAATGGTTAAACTGATTATAAAGAAACGTATTAACAATATATGGCTAAGACACTAAGGTTAAAAACTTGCTGAACAAAATATTGGAAGTGGAATACAAGAAGGGGAGGCGTGGGGAAGTCAAGAAAAGAAGCTACTGAAAAGGAGATTTAAAAGGTGGAATTTTTTTTCTTTTTTTGTTTTCTTTGGTGTTGTGTGTTTTCTATGTTTTTCTGTTTTACTCTTTGTACCTTTTAAAAATGATAATAAATATTACTTAAAAAAAAAAAGAATTATGTACAGACACCTATCAGCCAATCACCCATTCCCACCGCCCTTCTGAGTAATACCCCTCCCCACACTCTCACTATATATAAAGGTCTGGTGACTTCTGTTTCAGTGTATCTGAAGAAGTGTGCATGCACATGAAAGCTTATACCCAGAACAAACTTAGTTGGTCTCTAAGGTGCTACTAGACCATTTATATATATATATATATATATATATATATATATATATATATATATATATATTTCTATGTACAGCCAGTTTGGTATAAATCCACCACTGATACACTGGGATCATTATTATTTCAATAGATTTTATTGAAGTTTGAAAGAAAATTTACAAAGGGTTAACATTAAATATCCAATTTTTAAATCAAAGATTAAAAAAACCCTAATTAAATAAAAACACAAACCAAAAGGAAGAAAAGAAAAAGAGAGAAAAGGAAGGAAGGAAAAAAACAGAACTTCTGATTCTTCATCTTCATTCTTCAACCCAGAGACCATACGTTTGTTTTCTTTTTCCTGCAAAAAATCTATAAGGAGTTTCCAATCTTAAGTAAATATTGTCAATGCTTTTTCTCTTCCCATTAAATTTGTCACCTTTGCCAGTCTTAACTAAGCCCAATGATTTTAACAAACCATTCCTCCATGGAGGTTGGCAAAGATCAATCTTTCCATCTTTGTGCGTCCGAAAGTCTCACCGCTGTGACCATTGCGTGAGTGACATGTTGCAGAATACGCTCATAAAGGACTACTGAAGTAACGATTGCACGATGTGACGCAGAAAGTTCTGTGGGAAGAATAATTAAATAAATAAACATGTTGGTTTTGCTCCTGTTGGTATAGGTGTTATTCTCAAAACACTGTACAGCTGTATTTAAAAAATAGATATTTTTAATAAGAATAAGTGGCGGTATTCTCAAAGCAGTTTAGAACTGAATAATAACACACACACCCAAATAATCTACCCCGGGTGGCGCTGTGGGTTAAACCACAGAGGCTAGGACTTGCCGGTCGGAAGGTCGGCAGTTTGAATCCCCGCGACTGGGTGAGCTCCCGTTGCTCGGTCCCTGCTCCTGCCAACCTAGCAGTTCGAAAGCACGTCAAAGTGCAAGTAGATAAATAGGTACCGCTCCGGCGGGAAGGTAAACGGTGTTTCCGTGCGCTGCTCTGGTTCGCCAGAAGCGGCTTAGTCATGCTGGCCACATGACCCGGAAGCTGTATGCAGGCTCCCTCGGCCAATAAAGCGAGATGAGCACCGCAACCCCAGAGTCGGTCACGACTGGACCTAATGGTCAGGAGTCCCTTTACCTTTTACACCCAAATAATAAATAGTGGTACTAGTAGTACATGATTGATATTAGGCAGAATCCCAGTTACCTGAGAAGATCCTCTCTTCCCCTATCCCTGATCTAATTTAGAGGGTCCTCCAACCCCCTGGAGCAGATTTGGACACTGCACAGAGGGCTGTAGCAAGAGAGGAGAGGCAGTGAAGTCCCATTGCGGCAAGAGGAGGCTGTGCACAAATAGCATTCCATTGTTGTTGTCTTTTAATCAAAGCAGCTTGCTGGGTAATTCTAATCGAAAGCTACGTTGTCTTTGCAGGGAGATGCAGTCACACCATGCAGCAGAGATGAACGCCTTGGAAGAGCAGTACAAGAAAGAGCTGCGAAACGAGAGGGCGCACGCCCAGGAGAAGCTGGGTAGGACTCGGGGGCCGAACTACCTGTTACACTGTACAGTAGTATTGCGGCAGTCCTAGTTGCAGTGGAGGCTGGTCCAAACTTAGCTAGTCCTCAGCCTTAGCTAGTCCTCAACCAGCCCCGCAGCTACCTCCCTTATTTACAACCAGTCAAGACCGGCCCATCTATGAGGCTCACTGAGGCAATTGCCTCAGGGTGGCAGCCTCAAAATGACTGGGATGAGTGGCAGTTCCAGGCCTGCAGGGAGCCCAATAAGGAGACCCTTGGCTGCCTGACAATGACAACAAAACCTCTTCTTCTTCCCTGCCTTTGTAAAATCAAGAAGGCCACAGAGCAGCTTTTTAAAACATCTCAGCCAGGAGTGCCCAAATTTTTTTCAAAGAGGGCCAGATTTGATGAAGTGGCCATACGTGAGAGGCGAGCAAAGTTGTTAGGATTGAAGCTGTTAAGCTAAATTGTTGAGGTTTTTTTACAATTTTACTCCAAAGTTGTTGAGCTTTTTTTAGGATTTTACCCCAGGACATATACTGCCACAGGGGGCCAGATTAAATTGACCGGTGGGCTGGATTAGGCCCCCAAAACGGACTTTGGATATGCCTGATCTCAGGAGCTGAGGAACATCTGATTCGGGATCATCTATCTGTTAAGCAGGAAGGTTCTGAATGTTCTGTGCCTTCAAACAGAGGATAGGATAGGAGTTGATAATAAGCATGCAGAACCAATCAAAGGTATTATGATAAAAATTGTGGACTAACAAGATCTATAACAAGGGACATGATCCCCCGCCAGCATATGAATCAATCTGGCAAACCTGATTCAAAAATACACACTCACACCCTGCTCACACAGAAAAACAATTCTCACTACAGCCAACCAAAGACAACCAACCACACCCTAAGCCACCCCCAACCTCTCTAACCACCCAGGAAATACAACAAGTGAATAGTAAGAGAACCCATACAAGTAACACTGACACAACCCCTCACACACACTAAGTAGAATAACAGAAGCATAACCACCCCACCCCACCCACACTCCCCCCTTCCCTTCTTCTTCTTCTTCTTCTTCTTCTTCTTCTTCTTCTTCTTCTTCTTCTTCTTCCTCTTCCTCTTCCTCCTCCTCCTCCTCCTCTTCCTCCTCCTCCTCCTCCTCCTCCTCCTCCAAATGGTTAAACCAATTCATAAACCAAGAACTCATACATTGACCACTAATAATGAAACACGTTGTACCTATTTTTCCACATTTATTATGCTATTTTTGTGATATACAAATGACATGAGAAAACTTGGTATCCTTTTTTGTATAACATTATTCTTGTTTATAAAACCCAATTAAAAAAACAAGGGACAAGACGTACAGGTCCTTGTCTGTTAATGCTAGAAGCCTCAAAGCGGCAAGTTATAATGTCCCCACAGTTAGAAGTGAACACTGGGGGCAGCCATGTTTTTGCTGTGCAATTTCCTCTGAGGGTGGCAGAACATCACTGGTCCCTCTGGGGGTCTTGCTCTTCTCTTCAAAGAGTGTGATGGGAAGAAGCCTTTGACTGTGAGCAGCCAGACATGACCATTGTATTTCTAATTTGCTGTTAATTTCTGGGGAAGGCATGTTGTTGGCTGAGCAGCCAATTCATTTCCCTTCATGAAGAGAACTGAGAAGCAACTGTTTGATTTCGGTAGTTCCATGTGTGGAGCATTTTATTTTCCCCTCCCCCCCCCTTAGCTGGGATGCAGAAGGAATACAAGTATCTGAAGAATGCGTTCCGTGTGTACCAGGTAAGATTTAAATTATACCACGCGCCTGAGGTAATCCTAAACTCCTACGAGTCTCCTACGAACCTTAAAGACCAACAGTTAGTTTGTTGCCTAAGATTTTGCGGTGCTCATGAAAGACTGCAGTCCAGTTGTCACAGGCATCTTGCATTTCATGGCTGCTTGGTCTACGGCCAGAGCCAGTGTTGCTGCAGTCCCAGCCCAACTGACTGGATACCTCAGCAATGACAGGGAAACCAGAAGCGGCAAAATTAATCTGCAATGCCTGGAGTCTTCTGAACCCCGTACAGAAAAGGAAGGATGATCAGGCTACCTCAGATGCTCTTGCAAAGTTGCCACCCCTTCCCCGTTTTCTGATTCATAACCAGTGTTCCCCTGAAGTACTTTGAAGACTTGCAGGCAAAAGAGAGTATAAAATTGCCATCTGGTTGTTGGCATCCGTCTGTCCCAAGAGACAATGGAGTACGTATTGGCAAAACCTATTGGTGTTTCACAACTTTCTGACTAGTTGCAGGACCTTAGCCAGACCTAGCAGACTAAACGCAGAATCCACGGAAGCAACTGGCAACTTGGCTGCAGACAGGATAGACGAAGCAGGAACCAGGAACTTGTAGTTAGGTGTTTATTATATACAGTGGACTATTTTACAGGAACAGAACACGGATCTTATGCTAGCTCTCTTTGCCACGACTCACAACTCCTACACTCACTGACACACTGCACTCTGAACACTGAACTAACACACTCCAGTTAGTAGGTAATTGATTATCACTCCCTTGAGAGAGCTTGACCAATCAGGGAGCTGTCTCCATGTCTCTGTTATCACCAGGCAGGTTTACTCCTTCAGATTGCCTTCTGGCTGTCTGCCAAACCTTAATTGACTCTGTGTGAGTAGCTGCACATACACAGTTTCCCAACAGTACGCTTCCAGGGGTGAAGTCAAAATGCTGCGTTAGCACCACCAAAGTGACCTCTCCGGCACGCAAGCCTCGGCAGTGTTTATGGAGGTCCTGGGCTGCCCGGACGTCAGGACTCCCCTTTAAATTGGCACCTACATTAAAAAATAATCATAATTTTTAGGATAGTATTTCTGATGAAATGGAGGAGAAGTGGCTGAGAAGGCAAGCGGAATGGAAAAAGAGTGAGAGGACTGAACGGGAGAAGGCTTTGTTACAACAAAGTGAGTACAAGAGAGGGGTTGCATCTTATTTGTATTGTGTGTGGGATGCGGGTGGCGCTGTGGGTTAAACCACAGAGCCTAGGACTTGCCAATCAGAAGGTCGGCGGTTCAAATCCCCACAACGGGGTGAGCTCCCATTGCTCAGTCCCTGCTCCTGCCAACCTAGCAGTTCGAAAGCACGTCAAAGTGCAAGTAGATAAATAGGTACCACTCCGGCGTTTCCGTGCGCTGCTCTGGTTTGCCAGAAGTGGCTTAGTCATGCTGGCCACATGATACGTAACTGATTACTCCCCACCCCCACCATTGACGTTGCGTTTCCTTTGCACTGAAATGAATCGCGTGGAATAACTTGACGGCATTACATTATTTCACCACCTTAGACAGCAAGACAGATAATGTGGCTTTTGCCAGAAGACAAACCGCAGCAGCATTGAAACGCTGCTGCAAACGAAAAATGCGAGGGCAGAACGGAAAACGACACCTCCTTATATCTCTGCATGTGTGCAACAATTTGAACCTCAGTTATGTGACCTACTTTTGACCTGAGTCCAGTTTGAACTCTGTTCTCATTCATCTGAATTTACGAAGTTCCATGTTTTTTTGGCTTGGCTTGGCTCATTCTGATAAATGTTCCTCTTCCCTGTGGAGTCAGATGGGTGGGTGAGCCTTAATTACTGATATCCTCTCTGCAACCAGAGCAAATTGCTCATTAACTCTATTTTTTTCCTTTGCAAGATCTCAATTAACGAGAGTTTGCTTTGGCTGCGAAGAGGAAAGGGATGATTAAGGGCCCACCTATGCTCCCATCTTGCAAACAGAAAAGGAATTGCAATGAAGGGCCAATTCAGGAAGGTCCATGTTAATGGATAGGAAGTGTTAAGAGAATGATAAGGTCTAAGATATAAAATAAATGTTCATAAACGCACCAGGCAAACACATACAAAAAAATAAAAACCACATGTCGGAAACAGTATAGGAAAACAGTTGTGAAACCATTTTGACTATCCCAAATTGACCTCAAATGTTTCTCTGCAAGGAGGAAGGAAATGGGAAAAGCTCCCCATTGTCTCTTTGATCACAAATCCTGTCTTAATGGTGTATCTGTGTATGAATAGGGTGAGCCTGTGACCTGGATTCAGGAACTGAGTATTTACCATCACAAAAGAATGGCCAGGATGCCCAGGTAAAAGCAATCAGTGACCATTATCAGGTATCCTGGCAGACAGGTTTTCTGCTGTAGACTGTCCCTTCAGTGATGTATGTATGATGTATTGGGGGGGGGGTGGCCTTGAGCTACAGGGTGGCCATTTCAAAAGTCTATATAAGAGCTTGCACACCAATGTTCTGGGTTCTTCCTCCCTCCTGCATGCGCGGGGTGTGTGGGTGTGTGTGTGAGCACCCTGTTGCAACAATTTAATACAGATAAGGCTTACTAGCTGCCTTGCTTCTCAAGATTGTCTGATTGGCCTCTGGGCCCATCACCTCCTGTCAAAGAGAAGGGGAAGAAGTGGAGGCAGTGAAAGATTTTACTTTCTGGGGCTCCATGATCACTGCAGATGGTGACAGCAGTCACAAAATTAAAAGACGCCTGCTTCTTGGGAGTAAAGCAATGACAAACCAAGACAGCATCTTAAAAAGCAGAGACATCACCTTGCCAACAAAGGCCCGTATAGTTAAAGCTATGGTTTTCCCAGTAGTGATGTATGGAAGCGAGAGCTGGACCATAAAGAAGGCTGATCGCCAAAGAATTGATGCTTTTGAATTATGGTGCTGGAGGAGACTCTTGAGAGTCCCATGGACTGCAAGAAGATCAATCCTATCCATTCTGAAGGAGGGCCTGGAGTGCTCTGGTCCATGGGGTCACGAAGAGTCGGACACGACTAAACAACTAAACGACTAAACAACAACAACAATTTTCTCCTACCGATAGAGAACCTACATAAGGACTCTATATGGGCTCTTGGGTACCCCATAAGGGAAAAGGAGCAAGTTTTTTCTTATAACAGGAAGCAACTCATTGTAGAGGTAAAAGCTGAGTAGCAGAAGCCACATTAAAATAAAAAGGCAAGGAGACAACAGGTCAGCTGTAGGGAAAAGCGGAACCTTTTATGAACGGGACATTTCTGCAGAAATATACATTTTCCATCTAAATGGGCACTGCTGGATCTCTATGGCAGATCTATATTAAGTGCCATATGGAACCATGATTTTAATTCTGCTTCTAGGTGGTTGCGGCACTAAAGATCCCTAATGTAAAAGCAGCCAACCTTCTCTCTTCTGTTAAGAGGACACCGCTGTATAAATCTCCCACAGCTAGCAAATGGCGCCCAATGTTTCAAGCACATTGACTTTATTACTAAGAAGTATAAAGTTTTGGTGACACACTAATGCAGACCTAAAAATCTAATCTTATCCGCAGAGCAATCGTTGACAAAAAAGTTTGAGCAGGCGATAGAAGAACAGAAGCTTATCATTCAGAATAACAGTTTTTTAATAGGCAAAGTTTATGAAAAAGAAAGAGAAGTAAGTGGTGTTTATTATTAAGCACTGTGGGGCAACTGTTGCTTTAACAGAAAACTCTCCCCTTACAAATCCTGCCCCTTCTAATGCTCCCTATTGACATGGCCTGGGAATTAGTGATATCTTGTCCCTTAATTATTCGTATTCTCTTCAGCGGCTGGCTGAAACTACTGGTTGCTGCCATGCTCTTCCTTTACTCCTGTTATATTGCAATAGTATTATTTTGCTGTAAAAACGAAGTTATTGTTGTTGATCTTCAATGAAAGGACAACAATAATTAAAGCCTGCGCCTCTGGGGAACAGGGACTAATCCCATTCATTCAGTAATCCCATTCATTGATTAATCGCTATGTAAGGGGCTGAACAATGGGACGCAGGCGGCGCTGTGCGTTAAACCACAGAGCCTAGGACTTGCTGATCAGAAGGTTGGGTGGTTTGAATCCCCGCAACAGGGTGAGCTCCCGTTGCCCGGCCCCTGCTCCTGCCAACCTAGCAGTTTGGAATCACACCAGTGCAAGTAGATAAATAGGTACCGCTCTGGCGGGAAGGTAAACGGTGTTTCTGTGCGCTGCTCTGGTTCGCCAGAAGCGGCTTAGTCATGCTGGCTACATGACCTGGAAGCTGTACGCCGGCTCCCTCGGCCAATAAAGTGAGATAAGTGCTGCAACCCCAGAGTCGGTCACGACTGGATCTTATGGTCAGGGGTCCCTTTACCTTTAAGGGGCTGAACATAAAAATGAAAATGTTGTACTGGACATTAAATGGGGCAGAACCTGAAAGGTGGAAGCTTTCAATTAATGTTGCAAGGGTCCTTTGTTAAATGGAGCCTAGTTGTAAGTAAATATTACACCCAGATCTTGCTGTGCAGAAGGGCAATGCGAGACAATATAATGCCATGTTCATTCTGCTTCCAGCTGATTGTGAATAATCAGTGCCTTGGCAGCAGTAAAAAGTAAAATATTAAGAAACAAAGAAAAATTGGTACAATATGTTGAAGGAAAGTATTAGAAAGTGTGTTAAAAGTAAGGTAATAATTATAAGTACATTCAAAATCATTAATGTCAACTATATTGGGAAATGATGGGAAGTCAAGAATTATTTTATCATTTTATGTAATATTATTTGATCTTAGCTTAGTGGAAATCTAAGTGGAATTTGAAGTTTAAATTTACATCTTATAGCAATTCAACTTAAGGATTTTTTTCTTTGTGTGTATATGTGTGAAATTAAATTTGTAATGATATTAATGAATTTCAATAAAGTGGGATTATTATTATTATTATTATTATTATTATTATTATTATTATTATTATTATTTTGGTGTAGAAGCAACCTTAGCCAGAGGTGTAGAGAAATGGTAGTTGTTACAGGCTAGCACACTTTCTCTGACATTCAGTTTTCTTGGAAGGGAAAATCTTTCCAGGATTTGAGCAGTTCTCCTTAGTTTTCATTTTGATTTATCATTCAAGTACTGTTTGTAAGGAGAAGTTTGTATGCGCAGGCATGTGAAGTGCTGATCCGCATGCAGATTAGTTCAGAGTGAGGAGAGCCTTAGAAATAACGAGCTCCCCTAATATCAAGTGCTAACGAAAATCCTTAGTATCATCAAGCCATTGCAAAAAAAAAAAAGGGGTACGTATATGAAACCTGCCATAAATTAAATAGATCTGCTTTATCCATTCTAGATCCCAAAAAACATTTCTCCCCCTCAGTTTTGTCACGTCAACTGAAGGCAGCTTCTGTGTCAGGCTTGCCAGGGACTGATTTCACCTGTATTTGTATAGGCACCCCAAGGTTTCATAATGAGTCTACTTAGAAGTAAATGTTGTTTGAAGATGCGCTTTACTCTACACTATTCCTTACTGTAACTTTTATCACTTTTTTCTTTTCCAGGAGTTCCAAAAGCAGCAACAGGAAGCCATGGATCAAATTGCTGAATTAAAAAAACATATTGAGGCAAGTAAGGGACGCGGGTGGCGCCTTGGGTTAAACCACAGAGCCTAGGACTTGCCAATCAGAAGGTCAGCAGTTTGAATCCCCGTGACGGAGTGAGCTCCCATTGCTCGGTCCCTGCTCCTGCCAACCTAGCAGTTTGAAAGCACGTCAAAGTGCAAGTAGATAAATAGGTACCACTCCAGCGGGAAGGTAAACGGCGTTTCCGTGCGCTGCTCTGGTTTGCCAAAGCGGCTTAGTCATGCTGGCCACATGACCCGGAAGCTGTACACCGGCTCCCTCGGCCAATAAAGTGAGATGAGCGCCGCAACCCCAGAGTCGGCCACGACTGGACCTAATGGTCAGGGGTCCCTTTACCTTTACCTATTGAGGCAAGTATGGTAAACACTTTTGAACAGAATGTAACCGAATCTTACGTAAAAAAAACAAACAGGCAAGACATTCAGGAACCAGCATAGTGAAGTGGTTAAGCTTTGGACTAGGACCAGAGAGACCTGGGTTTGAAATCCCTGTTCAGTCATGAAGCAAACTGCATGAATTTGGGAGTAATTAGCTATCAGCCTAACCTTGCAAGGTTGCTTTGAGGATAAAATGTGTGGGGCATAATGAAACTGTTTGGGAAAAGTGTGGGATGTTAACAGCACAGTTGTACCTCGGAAGTCGAACGGAATATGTTCTGGAAGTCCGTTCGACTTCCAAAACATTTGGAAACCAATCAGACGTTTGGGTTCCAAAGGACGTTCGTAAACCGGGACACTCACTTCCGGGTTTGCGGCGTTCGGGAGCCAAAACGTTTGACCCGCAAGGCGTTTGACTTCTGAGGTACAACTATATTAAGAGGATCTGCAGAAATGTTTTCGTTTGAAGTGCTCCTGTTCAGTGATCCTGCCAGCCGGTTATGCCCTATTTCAGGATACTCCAGTCCATTACCTCCCCATCCCACTTTCCCAGACACAACACATTCTGTCACCACTGAGCATGCTGAGTCTTTATTCCCCTTTAGGCAGCCCTAGGCAGTGGTGGGTGGAACCAGATGGAAAAGGGTGCAGAGCAACGAAGGCACCCCCCCCCATCTTTGTTCAGTAGTGTTACGGAAAAATCTAGGTGTGAGGCTGCTCTGTCACCCAGCTCGTCGGGCAGAGCCCGCGGGTCCCTGCGGAATAAAGGAAGGAGTCCAGCCAACCGGAGCAAATAGCTGTAGACCAAAGTTTATTGCACAATAGGTTCAAAGAGCAAATTTGAACCCCGAGGATGGGGTGACAGAGACTTTAAAAACTTTCCCACCATATCCCAGAATACAGTTCGTACAGCATCATTGCTACATCACTGACATGTCACAAAAGGGGAGGGGTTAACCTTGGCAAAAATGTCCAGACAAGTCCTTGGTACAAGATTAGCATAAGCAGACATGGCAGGTATAAGATTAGCATAGACAAATATGTCTTAAGTACCCACCACCCAAAAGTACAATAGAAGTTCCTTTATATGTCTGGAGCCTGAGGCGAGTCAGGTGATGAGATTTGGCTTCCTTTGGCTAACAATGAGCCCAGCAATTGTCACCTTTGGGAACTTCCTGGAGTCCTTTTTCAAGGGGAAAATAGCTTTGGAATGGAGGAAACTGGGAAAGGAGATGATTTTATATTATTTTTAAAGCTAGGTATCTTCCCTGAGCTGTCAAGTTGAAAGGATACATTCAGGCATAATATTTGTAATATTTAACTTTAAAGATGTGCCCCCCCCGGTAATTTCTGTAACAAGTAGGCTAGTTTCTACATAGAGTATACTCACACCACTCTGTGAAAGGTAGATAAAACTTTATTCACATTAGCCAGTGGCCATAGCAACAGTAAACCATTACAGTATACACAGAAAAGGAAATTTGATATAAGAGCACAATTTAAAGTCTTGAATCAGCCGTCAGTTAGTGGCCCTTATTCTGATTGCCCCTGCTATGAACCTAGCAACCTTTGCTGTTATCTGGTCATTTTGATCTGATAGAAGAAAGGACATTGTGGCAGTGGTTGAGCGCCCTGGGATGGTTAGTACGAGTGGGTTGATGATCTCGTTCCTCAGGTCTTTGTAGAGAGTGCAAGACAGGGCGTGTGCCGCTGTTTCGGTGCTGCCGTCTCCACAGGGGCAAAGACGTTTCTCAGGCGGGATCTTTTGCAATCAACCCTCAAGTACCTCAGATGGCAAAACATCCAGTCTTGCAAGTGTAAAAGCACGTCTGTATTTTGGGATTAGAAGTTTGTGCAGATATGGGGCCAGAGAATCAAAATGGAGAGGGGGAAACTGAACATACCAAGGGCAGAATTTCCTTCTAGTGGCCAGGTTTTTCTGATGCTCGGTATCTTTTGGAGGTTGACCAATTAGACTGTTTGCTTTAGTGGGGCCCATAGTGAGTAGGTGTTGTGGGGATAGGACGCCACCCTGTGTTCTCCATCCAGACAAGTAAGAGGCCTTATCAGAGTTCAATGGCACATTCCAGCCAGGCAAAAACATTCAAGGAGGGTGTGAAGCAAGGCCCATGACAGGCAGAACTCACAGAAAGGGGGTGTGGTCTGGCAAGAGTCCTGGGGACTAGACGAGAAGCGTGGAGGGCCGCATTTGGCCCCTTGGCCTCAAGTTCTCCACCCCCTGCCCTAAAAGGTTACCGTATTTTTTGCTCTATAAGACGCACCAGATCATAAGACGCACCTAGTTTTTGGAGGAGGAAAACAAGAAAAAATAATATTCTGAATCTCAGAAGCCAGAACAGCAAGAGGGATCGCTGCACAGTGATCCCTCTTGCTGTTCTGGCTTCTGGGATAGCTGCGCAGCCTGTATTCGCTCCATAAGACGCACACACATTTTCCCTTTTTGGGAGGGAAAAAGTGAGTCTTATAGAGCAAAAAATACGGTAATTTGTCAGTGAAAAGCTCTAGAAGTCTATGAGCTTAGGTACTAAAAATGGAAAACAAAACAATGCAGCCAAGGTTATTATTTTGCTGTTGCTACACCAATTTGAAACACCTATAAAATTACATTTAGAAAATATCCAGCAGGGCTTTTACAGCGTCTGGGTTTTCTGGAGTGAACTTTTCCAGGCGTTCAGCAGTGATCCTTTGGTGCCATGCAAAAAGTACCAGTATCCCAGAAGGCCTTTGTTTAGGAATGTGCTTTGGCTCCAGAGGTGTTTTAGGTATGGCTTACGGTACTGTTTTTAGTTTGTTTCATTGTACAGTTCTTAAATTGTCGTTGTGTTGCTCTGCGCAGTGGTGGATGTTTAGAATATAAGCATCTTAAAATAATGTGTTCCATCCAATAAAAGGGTTTGGATATGGAAATTAAGGAGAAGAATGAGACTTTGGATGCTATTGCAGCCACACTTCACAAGACAGAGACTGAACTCCGGAATGAGGTGAGAACTGGGGAATAGATTACCAAGCATTTTAAAATCACCGATACCAGTGTCTCACCCCAGTGGTGATTGGAAACGGGTTTTGTGGCATGTGTGTGGTTTTCAACATTTAACTTGTGCTTTCCACATCCGATCTATGATGGAATATTGCAACCTGTGCTCTGATAGACTGAAACAGGTATATTCGCGAAGGACTGATAGCATTTATCTTCCCCAGCTTTTGTGACCTCCAGATATTGGACTACAACTCCCATCATCCATGACTATTTGCCATGCCGGATGGGGCTGATGGGATTTGGAGTACCCAAACACATTGAAGTACATGATCATGCAATTGTAAAATTGTCAACAAGTCCCTGTCAGGGAAAGAGGTGGCTTAGAAGTAAATATTTAATAATATACTAATGCCCAGGTCTCAAGTGAGGGGTGATGGGAAACTGAACTCTTTGATCTATAGGTAATCTTGCAATGGCTGGAGTTTAGTGCAATAATTAAGCTCAGATTAGCCCTATGAAGAGATTGGCTCAAATCCTGTCTTCCCCATACCAATTCCCAGGTTTAACACTAATCATTTCCCTTTTAAAGGGATCACAGGCAGCTGTGCCATCAAAGCCTCCTCTAATTATCAGGAAGCAGAGAACAATATAGGGCTAGATTTGACTAACACCTGACATGGATGATATTGGGCAACTCCATGTTTCGTCTTCTTCCTGCTCGCCCATTCATTCCTTTCCTTCCTCTTTACAGAAAGCCGCCTTGGTGGAAATGGAGAAAAGTATCCAGCAAAAAATTGCATCCATTGAAGATAGATATCGAATTAACACCACTACTTTGGTAGAAGAAAATGCCATGCTCAGGTAAGGGGCTAAAATCTCTCCCAAGTCCAGAAAGTCAGCCTAATATTTACCTTTGAGCTTTTTAAAGCGATTTACTGCAGAATTCCCTGTGAAGCAAATTCTTGATTTATATTGCAACAGAGGTTCGCACATTCCTGAGGAAAAAATAATTTGGCTTTGTCTGTACGAGACCTATTGTTCACCTGTCACCACAGCTGGGTGGGTGCTGATAATGCCAAGGTTGCAGGTTCGATCCCCATAAGGAATAGCTGCATATTCCTGCATTGCAGGGGGTTGGACTAGATGATCCTCAGGGTCCCTTCCAACTCCATGATTCACAATCTATGATTCTACCACACCCCTTTGAATATTCATTAACTCTAAGAGACATGTTCTCAAAATTTAGATTTACTTATGTCACCTAATTTGTTATGTTTGAACTGATTTTAATTAACTTTGTGTTGGTTAAGTTATGGCATGACAAGGAGAAGGAAAGAAGCAGCAAGAACATTCTAGGAGAGCTTGCTTTTCCCTTCCCCTTCCTTCCTTCCTTCCTTCCTTCCTTCCTTCCTTCCTTCCTTCCTTCCTTCCTTCCTTCCTCCCTTTGGAGCAGATTCTGGGTATGCATGCAGAGAAGAGAGGAAGTCCCATGGTGCAAGTGGAAAGTTGCTTGTGTGGCATTGGATACAAGCCAGTGACTTAGTCTTATTGGATCAGATTCCATGGTTTTCAGTGGGACTTAGTTATGAGAAGCTACTGCCCACTAGGACCTGAGGAGCTAAAACAGACATAGCCAACATGATATCCTCCAGATACCATTGGACTACACCTTTGCATCAGCCCCAACTGGTAAGATCAACAGCCAAGATGGTGGAAGTACACAACATATATAAAAGACACCATATTGGCTATCCCTGCTGTATGTAGTTGCATATACAGTGGTACCTCGGGTTACATACGCTTCAGGTTACATACGCTGCAGGTTACAGACTCCACTAACCCAGAAATAGTACCTCGGGTTAAGAACTTTGCTTCAGGATGAGAACAGAAATTGCGCAGCGGCGGCGCAGCAGGCCCCATTAGCTAAAGTGGTGCTTCAGGTTAAGAACAATTTCAGGTTAAGAACGGACCTCCAGAACGAATTAAGTACGTAACCAGAGGTACCACTGTATATAAGTGCAGAAATATTGTCTAATGCTACTAATCTCCTCCCCAGGCGCAAGCTCATTGAAAAGAATGAAGAGATCTATAATCAACGGGCCCAGCGATCGGGCAGCTATGAAGCATATGACTAGGGCTGTTCAGGGGAAAAGCAACAAAGGTTTGACTATGACATGCTGCCAGAAGCCTGAATTTAAAGCCACATATGCAATTCTGTAGTCAGAAAGGAAGATTATTTGTTGTTTACTTCAATCTTGTATCGTGTTTGTTTACATTTGCACGCTGCTCTTCAGCTGAAGATCACAGAGTGGTTCACAACATGAAAATAGAAATGAGAACAGAAGATGCAAACCAATAATCGTTCCCTCCTGCAAATTTCCCCTTTGGCTCAGGGCACAACACTGAAGCCAGGCAGTCAGGAACCTTGTGGCCTAAGCCAGTCGCAAGAGGTAGTAAGCATCCACAACTCCTTATTGTCCCACCAGTCTGGGTCAGGAGGTCCCCAGACCTTATTGGATGTCCCTTGAGATTCAGAAAGGCAAGAGCGAAAAAGCACACTCCGACCTCTGAATCAGGAGCACACTGGCCGGTAGGCCAAGAAAACTGGAATCAGGTGTTATGCCATAAAGCCCACCTAAAACATGTGAGGTAAAGGTAAAGGGACCCCTGACCGTTAGGTCGTCGCAGACGACTCTGGGGTTGCAGCGCTCATCTCGCTCTATAGGCCGAGGGAGCTGGCGTACAGCTTCCGGGTCATGTATCCAGCATGACTAAGCCGCTTCTGGCGAACCAGAGCAGCGCACGGAAACACCATTTACATTCCTGCCGGAGTGGTACCTATTTATCTACTTGCACATGGATGTGCTTTTGAACTGCTAGGTGGGCAGGAGCAGCGACTGAGCAACGAGAGCTCACCCCGTTGCGGGGATTCAAACAGCCGACCTTCTGATCGGCAAGCCCAATGCTCAGTGGTTTAGACCACAGCACCACCTGTGTCCATTAAAACATGTGAGGTAGTTAATTGCAATTATATAAAAATAGTAGCTTGAAAGATCAAGTACTCAGTGCAAATAGAATACTGCTATAAAGTTGGAAATGGGGAAAATAATAGACTACGTTGCCTTTCTTTGATTCTAACACAAAGCTAAGGGATACCTGACACACATAACCCAGGAACAACTAGCAGACACGTGCACAGACATTGGGGGGGGGGGAATACTCAACAAAGGAAAAACCCACTTTCTAGGAAATCAAACCTAATCAGAATTTACCAGCCAATCAGAAGCTCTTCTGGCTGGAACTTTCCAGTACTCGAGTACATGTGATCTCACATTTGAACTGTTCCTTTTAATGAAGTAAGGCACCGTAATAGAACTTGAGCTAAAAGCCACAGGTAGATAATGCACACATTCTCAGTACAGTGGTACCTTGGTTTAAGAACAGCTTAGTTTATGAACAACTAGGATTAAGAACGCTGCAAACCCAGAAGTAGGTGTTTTGGTTTGTGAACTTTGCCTTGGAAGCAGAACATGTTCCGCTTCCTGTTGAGTGTTTGTTCCATTTGTAAATTGAGTCCCCCACTGCTATGGGAAAGCACGCCTTGGTTTAAGAACGCTTTGGTTTAAGTACAGACTTCCGGAACGGATTAAGTTCATAAATCAAGGTACCACTGTATGTGATCTCATCCCAATTAATTAATCAGGTGGATTGGCGCAGCATATATAAAAGAAACCCAAGATGACTGAACTAGGTGCAATGATCCAAGCTCCTTTGATTTAAATTTGGGAGAGCTAAGCAGAAATTTTAGCATTAATGGGATTTTAAAAAATAATAATAATACTGCAGCCTTGAGCACAAGGTCATGTCCAGAGTTATGTGCTATCTACATAATAATTAAGTCATATTTGCATATTGCATGCCCTGCCATAGAACAGAGATTCAACTCGCTGATCCTTTCTGAACTAGCTTTCATTTCTGCTTAGTAGCAGTGGGTGGATGTGTAACTGAAAGCTGTTCCTATTATCACAGCTTTCAATCTTGTACACGGATATGCTGGGTTTTCACCGGTTCCATGTCTCTGTCCCTTAAGGTTGTTTCCCCAAAAGAAAAGCACACACAGACACAGCCATTTTCCTGTTACTCATAAGAAAAAGCTAACTATTTTATCAGGCATTAAGGCAGGATTGAGGCCACACCAGCCAAGAGGACCCTTCTGTGGCGGCAGTTGTAGAAGCAAACAAAGATCTCTTTAGTTCAGAGTTGCCGAAACCTGCACGGTTCTTTGAGGGCGGGGGCGTGGATACGCGATGACTATGCCATTTGCACACACTTATCTAGAAATGCGTGAATATGGTACATGGGCAGCTGTACATTCTGCACTTCCATTGAAGAGAACACGAGATGACTTCTTGTTCACTGTTCCTACGTACATTCCAGGCGTCAGATGAATTCTTTGGGATGCTCAAAGCATGGGGAAGATTATTTGAAAGGCAGGAGTGTGCTTTCTTTACTCTTTCAAAAACCAAGAGTGCTTGTCAAGCAGTCAGCGACCCAGCAAAACCCAAGCAAAAACCCTACAGCTGTTTTGACACAGGAGGAGAGTTGCTAGGCACTGGGAATATTAATTTCTTCCTGAGAGTGTAAGCTGGTTGTGGCATCTGCTTCTTTAGTCCATTTTTGTCTGAAAGTTTGCTCACGTCATCATTGACTGCCGTAAGAATGGACAAGATATCTTCTCTCCTGCAGAGAGAATGAGAAGGCAAATATATTAGGATGCAGTATTGTTACCATTAAAGAAGAAAAGCAAAAAACCTGTTGCAGTCCTGGACTTTTCTTTAGGATACTCTGAAATCCCTTAAGCCTAACAAGAATTTGTTAGCTGCATTTGTCTAGTCCTAAAGGAAAAAGTTAGGGACACAGGTGGCGCTGTTGCTCCCGTTGCTCGGTCCCTGCTCCTGCCAACCTAGCATTTCAAAAGCACGTCAAAGTGCAAGTAGATAAATAGGTACCGCTCCGGCGGGAAGGTAAACGGTGTTTCCGTGCGCTGCTCTGGTTCACCAGAAGTGGCTTAGTTATGCTGGCCACAGGACCCGGAAGCTGTATGCCGGCTCCCTCGGCCAATAAAGCGAGATGAGCGCCGCAACCCCAGAGTTGGCCACGACTGGACCTAATGGTCAGGGGTCCCTTTACCTTAAAGGAAGAAAGTTAGTGGTCCTCACCACTTTTTCCTACTCAACCTATCGAACTTTAAAAGGCAAAACCAAGAGGAGTGCACATGCATATTCAATACAGCTCCTAGTGTAAGAATCAGCCTTTAACTGAGGAGCAGAGACAATGCAGCACCCTTCAAGGTGCCTTATCCTACTAGATCAGGGATAGCTTGGGGTCTGGATCCTACCCTGCTGCCTCACCTTGGCTGAGGATAGTCTGCCATCGGATGAGTCAGCAGCTCAAACAGCAGTTAGTAGTGTTGTCAGGGGTTCAGGGAGAGAGGCACAGATGAGGGAGGAGACTGAGAGCGAGGGGGAAGAATCCCGGAACGAGGAGGAGGAGGATGACAATGACTTGAGGGTTTCCATGAGTCTTTCAAGTGAATCGGAGGATTCCCAAAAGGGGGCGCCCCTGGTCAGGCCAAGGGGAGCCACAGGGGGGACTCGTCAGGAGCAGGGGAGCAGCAGGGAAATCCCGAGTGGGAGTGGGAGATCGGGGCCGGCTTCCCCGCCGGAACGGAGTGAAGAGGGTGGAGTTCCCAGTGTGACAGACGAAGCAGAGCAGGAAGCAGAGAGGGGAAGGAGATCGGGGCAAGACGTCCTGCCGGAAGGGGCGGAGAGTAGTACAGAGAGTAGTGTAGCTGTCAAGAGGAAGGTCAGAGGTAGCGAACGCGCGCCAAGTTCAAATGTGGAGGCGCGCGGAAATGCGGAGAGCCCGGAGGAGGAGCCTGGTCCCAAAGCACGGAGGAGGGGGGAGCAGGCATCTGGGGACTCAGCGTCAGGGGAAAGCAGGAGGGAAGGAACCCAGGGGGGCAGAAAGACCCTGCGGAAAAGGAAGGACAGGAAGAGGTGGACCAGCAGAAGCCTCTTAAACTGGTGTGGAGGCGGGACTGATTCAGAGGGACTTCAGCGGTCTAAGCGTAACAGACGTGGGGCTGCGCGCCTCGGCTGTGGAGCAAACAATGTACTTCAATAAAGAATTTTGTAAATAAAGTGGACTTGGCGTTGGTCTCTTGTGAGCTGGGACCTGAGGCGGCCCTGACAAGTGTCCAAAAAGATGCTTGTCTCATGTCGTGCAGGGTGTCAGTTTACAACTTGTGGAAAACAAAGGCGGCACCACAAACATCTCTGGTTTTGAATCATGAAAGACATTGGCCAAGCTGGTAGGCTGACCCAGAAGGCACCATTTCCTAAGTCGATGTTTGTAGAGGTGCACCAGTCTGACCAGTCACTTTTAACCTGGCTGGCATAAGCCCTGTAGCTTGCCACCTGGGCACGCCCTCCCTCTATGCTGTACACAAAGGAGAAATTAGCTTTCCGCAAAGAAACTGCAACATCTCTCTTTAACAGCACCATGCAACATTAACTAATGTCTAAACACAGTCGTATCTTGGTTCTCGAACAGATAGTGTTCCGGGAGAAAACCAAGGCGCAGCTTCCGATTGGCTGCAGGAGGAAAGTCCTGTAGCCAATCGGAAGCCGCGCCGGACGTTCGGCTTCCAAAAATCGTTCGGAAACCGGAACACGTTTGGAACCGAAATGTAAGAGCTCCAAGGCGTTCGGCAACCAAGGTACGACTTGTATTTCAAAACGTTCAGTGGATTAGCCAACGTGAAGCCTTATATAAAGTCAACCAAAATTGACCCACTGGAATGAGCTAACTTAACTCTGTTGCTTTCAATGGGTCTGCTAAGAGCATGACTAGTTACGTACAATCCAAAGTATTTTATCCAAAATGCCAGGTTAATGCCGAGGAAAGACTGTCACACATAATAAGTAAAAGTATCACCTTGGTACCAGCTCCCGAAGCTTCTCGCAGAGGACCTGAATGAACCATGTGCCACGCTGCACATCCCGGTAAGAATAATAACCATCCACTGTGGCCATGCCAAGGAGGAAGTCTGCCTCTTCGGGGATGCTTGAGGTCATCTGCTGTTGTGTAGGAATAAATCCTGAAGTTTGGGCATCTGCTCCAGGGGAGCACGTCTCGTGATTGTCTGCTTCAAGATAAACAGGTTGGTGCAGCTTGCTACCTTGGCACGCCTGGATGAAAAACAGTTTGGGCTTCTTAGCCAGTAAAGCACATTGTTTGGCTGTGAAGAAAGATGTGATTTTATTGATGGAGATGAGACAGCCGTCCGTCGCATAAATTTTCCCAGATTCGCCGTGAGAGAGAATGCAGCACACAAGACAATCACTGTCTTTCCAGTATTCAGAAGATTGCCAGTCCTTTAGAAGTTTGAGAAGTTCGTCTGATGTCTTGTCATCATATTTTTTCACTTCAAACCCAAGCCATTTAAACACACTTTCCAATTCCACTGTCAGAGAGAAAAGGGGGGGGGGCAGAGGTTAGCGCAAAGAGATGGCAGTAAACACCAACGAAACAGGTGTGCCAATTTAACAGGAAAAAGTGTGATGCATCAATTTAAACCCTGATCCCATAAAGGCAGCTTCCAGTTATACCTTCAGGATTTCTATTCTGTCATTAGGGTAAAACAGATTTGATACAATCACTGATAAAAGTGTTTAATATAGAAATTACCGTATTTTTCGGTACGTCTATAAGACGCACCAGATCACAAGACGCACCTAGTTTTTGGAGGAGGAAAACAAGAAAAAAAATATTCTGAATCTCAGAAGCCAGAAGAGCAAGAGGGATTGCTGCGCAGTGAAAGCAGCAATCCCTCTTGCTATTCTGGCTTCTGGGATAGCTGCACAGCCTGCATTCGCTCCATAAGATGCACACACATTTCCCCTTACTTTTTAGGAGGGAAAAAGTGAGTCTTATAGAGCAAAAAATACGGTATTTGCTTTCCACCAATAATCACAACTACATTGACTATCCCAAGGCTAGCACATTCCAGTAAGGTGCAGAACGATGAAAACTGCATTGTGGAGAGGTTTGTAAAAAGCAATGAAAGCCTGCTCATTTCTACAGGATTAACCCAAATGTGCCCCATTTCTATGCCAAACATCTTCACCAAGCCACCCATCTCCTGGCATACAGCTTTCAGTAAACAAGTTGCGGTTGTTTTAGGAGTTTTCTCCAAGCTCTCAGACCCCATAAGAGTACAAAAATCTTAAGAGTACTTAAGAGTACAAAAATCTAAGGACCTTTTCTGGACACTTGCATAAACGCAGTAAGGTCTATGTACCCTGAAACCACATAAAACTTGCAAACCAACAATAACTTCCTTGCTATGGATATGCAAACACTTATTTTGAAAGGTATTAAAGAGAGACAAGACACATGCTTTTCCTTTCAAGTGACTTACTGGCATCTTTCTGAGATCCTGATCTGGGTCTCAATCCCTTGAAATAGACATTATTAAAAATAAGGCAATATCCTCTGCGAGGCCTGTTCATTTTATAGAGAGCAGACTCCTGTGGAATAAGGGGAAGTCAGACATCATCATCTTATCCAATCCCTTTTATCTATCTCACATCATCTCAGGCAGTGATACTGTTAGGGAGACTTTGGATTTATAGAAACCCTCTTTATACGGTAACGTGCCACTGCTCGTTATGGCAAACTGTGCTCTGGATCTCTGCTCCAACACAGCACCACTGAAGACTGAAGGCTGGAGGTGAGTTTATATACCTGTGGGATTCCTCAAGAAAACAAGACTTTCTGCAAAAAATAACAACACCCAGCTGTTTATGCACAAGTATGGGCAATGCTAGGATAGATACAGCTCCTTAGCAAGGGTGGCTTAAAGGTAAAGGGACCCCTGACCATTAGGTCCAGTCGTGACCGATTCTGGGGTTGCGGCGCTCATCTCGCTTTATTGGCCAAGGGAGCCAGCATACAGCTTCCGGGTCATGTGGCCAGGATGACTAAGCTGCTTCTGGCAAACCAGAGCAGCGCACGGAAACACTGTTTACCTTCCCGCCAGAATGGTACCTATTTATCTACTTGCACTTTGACGTGCTTTTGAACTGCTAGGATGGCAGGAGCAGGGACTGAGCAACGGGAGCTCACCCTGTCGCGGGGATTCGAACCGCCGACCTTCTGATCGGCAAGTCCTAGGCTCTGTGGTTTAACCCACAGCGCCACCCATGTCCCATCGCAAGGTTGCTTACTTTACACCAAATTCCTTGGGGAGGAAGTCAACACTGTGCTGTTGAAGTCCCTTAGCAATACAGTGGCACCTTGGTTCTCAAGCTTAATCTGTTCCGGAAGTCCGTTCCAAAACCAAAGCGCGCTTTCCCATAGAAAGTAATGCAAAACGGATTAATCTGTTCCAGACTTTTAAAAACAACCCCTAAAACAGCAATTTAACATGAATTGTACTATCTAACGAGACCACTGATCCATAAAATGAAAGCAACAAACAATGTACTGCGGTCACACAATCAGTCAGTAGCTGAACTGGGTCCCACAAAGTCACAAAAACAAAAAAGAGCCACAAAAACGCAAATAGCATAAACAGACCTCAGCGTAACACTAAAAGCGGAAGTGTTGCACTCAGATCAGAAGCGTAACACTCAAAACGGAGCATGTTCGGCTTCCGAAAAAAGTTTGCAAACCGGAACACTTACTTCCGGGTTTGCAGTGTTCAGGGTTCCAAGGTGTTTGAGTACCAAGGCGTTTGAGAACCAGGGTACCACTGTATATTATATTAGTGCTAGCAGGATGGTATGCGCAAGAGAAGGGCAGCTAGCCTGAATGGTTTTATTTTTATTTTTTTAATTCATTCTTTTATTTATATTTTATACATTTATTTAAAAAGTAATAATCATAAATAAATAAGAACAAAAATATGCACCCCACCCCCGAGACCATTCCATTGTAACTATCTAACCTTCCAAAATTTCAACACCTCTTGCGATGGTCTGACCCCTTTCAGTGCAAATTCTACAAGCACCTTATGTCCTGAAAATCATTTCTCCTAAATATTCCCTGTCTTAACGGCACATGTTAATTTATTGTTAATAGCTATATCCCACACCTCTTTATACCATTCTTCCATTTTATACTCTGCTTGCCCCTTCCACTTCCTAGCTATAATAATTCGTGCAGCTGTCAATAAATTTGTGAGCAAGTGCTTCACAGCCTGCAAACCTTCCACCCCATTGTAAATTGATAATAATTCTACCTCTGGACTTTTGGTCAACTTTAACCCAGTGAATTCTGTTATCTCCTTAAACACCCTTTGCCATTTATTTATTTTTACATATTTACAGCCCCACCACATGTGAATATAACTCCCTGTCTCCTGGCATCCCCTCCAACATAATACTGAATATTCCTTGTTCATTTGATTTAATCTGACTGGTGTCAAATACCATCTCCAAATTAATTTATAATAATTTTCTTCGTATAGAAAACATTTTCAACATACTATTCTCCCATATTTCCCCCCAGCTTTGACTATCTGCCATACCTCTTTTAATTTGTATTCTTGATCTTCCATTTCTACTAGTATTTTATAAATTTCACTGGTTTCCCCTTTTATACCTGTATTGTCTTCTTTATCTCCCCCTTTTATAACCATTTTTTCAAATTTTGTATATTCTCTGCAGTTCTTGTTTTCCCTTAACCACTTCTTTGTCCATTGCACCAGTTGTATACAGTTAAACCAAGTTATTTTACTTCCCGTTAGAACTTCTCTTATTTGTTCTTTGCTTCTCATTTTCTCCACCCAACCCTTTATTCTAAGTATTTTCTTCACTTTCACTTTCCTTTTTAAAAATTTACTGGGAAGTCTTCTATCACCACCAGCAGGGTTAGTGGGGAATTTGTTGGTCTCAATTTTCCTTTATATTTCACCCATATCTCAATATTTCTTAATGAGGGATTTTCAATATTCTGCCACCATTGCCTATTTGGTACGATAAAAAAATATATTCACTAACTTCTCCCTCATTTCCTGTGTACCACTCTCTAACTACAGAATGGTCCTTATGGTTGCACAACACATTGCTGCAAAGCCGCTATTTCCTGTTGCACAAGCTTTTGCCGGCGCAACTGTTGTGCTGGAAGTCATATGGTGCCGCCATTATGCTTTTCTTTCTTTAATTTGCATTTTCAAAAACAGGAACAGAGAGCATATTTAACGCCCCTCCCCCTGTCCCACTTACAACTTTGTACCAAATACAGCATGTGTACCGTAAGACTTGGGGCGCGGGTGGCGCTGTGGGTTAAACCACAGAGCCTAGGGCTTGCCGATCAGAAGGTCGGCGGTTCGGGGGGGGGGAAAAAAAAAAGGTCGGCGGTTCGAATCCCCGCAATGGGGTGAGCTCCCGTTGCTTGGTCCCTGCTCCTGCCAACCTAGCAGTTCGAAAGCACGTCAAAGTGCAAGTAGATAAATAGGTACCACTCCGGCGGGAAGGTAAACTGTGTTTCCGTGCACTGCTCTGGTTCACAAGAAGCGGCTTAGTCATGCTGGTCACATGACCTGGAAGCTGTACGCCGGCTCCCTCAGCCAATAAAGCAAGATGAGCGCCGCAACCCCAGATTCCCAGAGTCGGCCACGACTGGACCTAATGGTCAGGGGTCCCTTACCTTTACCTTTACCACATGACTTGCCTTCCAATCTTTTCCTGGTTCCTTTGCTTTTCTTCTACTCCGCATAATCCACATCTCTGAGGATTTGCTCGAGACCTGCCAAGCTATGTATTTGTCTAGACTGGTTCTTAAAATATTCAATAAACATTGTCCATTCCTCCTTGTAGTCCTCATCTTCGTTTTCTCTTATCTGGTTCAACAAACCAGCCAGTTCAGCGTATTCGAACAGTTTACACTGCTATTCTTCCTTAAGTGGGTACTATACTTATTCTCCACCTTTGTGCCAATATGGTTCTAGCTGCGGTGGGGGCATATAGTAATAAACTTTTTTTTTTTTGGGATCTCCATTGTTACCATTCCCAAGAGGAAAATCTCAGGTGTTTTGGGGAAAGTTTTTTAAAGTATCTTTTAAAATTCATTATATATAGTTTCCCAATAGTCCCTAATTATTTTTCATATGCGCGTTCTTTGTGATGTAGAGTATCTGCCTGATGTCTTAGAAATGCGGAATCAACCTTAAGAACTATCCTAAGCCTTCTTTGTTCTCGTTTGTGAGTATGGTTAGTTAGTGATGTCAAACAATGTTTTTATTTCGCTGTTTGAAACTTGTAAGAGATGTGCCAACGTTTAAGTTTGAATGATTTTGTTTTTTAAATAAATTTTGGGGAAAGGATTTTCCTGTTCCGTCTTTTGTGCCTTCTGCTGGGGAAGTGCAAGTCCAACGCCTGGCCACCCTACCAGACCTGTTGAATTTCTGCCTGAAATGTGGTAAAGAAATACAGGGTGGGACAGCCCGTTGAAGAGTAATCTGCTTCCTTAAGTTATTCTTCTGGACTGTCCTAAGATAAGGAAGTGGTGGCAGCAACTACTGTTTCTGTTGTGTTTTGTTCTGAAAAACCAGCTTCGGCACACACCCCTCTCTCTCAGCCGGGTCTTGGCGGACTTGGAGGGTGTGTGCCAGAATTGCTACAAAAGGTATTACCTCTTTCTATCTTAAGGTATCTCTCTTTAGGAACAGATGCCAATTTTATATTTTGACTCATGTGTTTTTGTATTCTCAATACGCCAATAAAGGTGACTGATTGGGGACAGATGGACCCGAGTTCAAGGTTTTTGGTCTCAAGCTCTACTGCTACCACTATTAAGCACATGGACAGAATGAGGCTGTAACGGGTTATTTACAGACTTAAGGAAGGGCCTGCTGTATTCAATAAACCCTTCAAAACATGCCAAACCTCTGCTGGTTTCAGTTGATCCTGTCCTGCAGACTGTTGCAAACTCGGCTCTCGCACATTTCCAGCTTTTAAATCTGCAAGGCAAATACAGGGATGCACTTGGGTTCAGATTTTGGTTAGAACACTGCCTAAAAATTTTGTGTGACAAAAATAACCCCTTAAAAATGCAAAATCATTTTCTCTATGCCTGCATTTAGACAACCGATTCTCCACTTAACAGCCTCGGTCCAGTATACCTGAAGGAGCATCTCCACCTCCATTGTTCTGCCCGGACACTGAGGTCCAGTGCCGAGGGCCTTCTGACGGTTCCCTCCCTGCGAGAAGCCAAGTTACAGGGAACCAGGCAGAGGGCCTTCTCGGTAGTGGCGCCCGCCCTGTGGAACGCCCTCCCATCAGATGTCAAAGAGAAAAATACCTACCAAACTTTTAGAAGACATCTGAAGGCAGCCCTGTTTCGGGAGGCTTTTAATGTTTAATACGTTACTGTGTTTTAGTGTTCTGTTGGAAGCCACCCAGAGTGGCTGGGGAAACCCAGCCAGATGGGCGGGGTATAAATAATAAATTATTATTATTATTATTATTATTAACAAGCCAAGACGTGAATGAGCCTCATGCTCCCAGGCGTACCTGCTTCATCCCCTGCTTTGCACAGGCGAACTATAGTTTCCCGCAGCATTCAAACAGAGAAATCACGGTTCATGGCTTCTGAACACGACAGTATGAGAAGCTATGGTTTAAAGATGGTTTCTTCAGTTGCATATCAGTTTTCCCTGTTCAGATCTCAACGGGAAGCTAATCAAAGACTTCCTGGCTTGTTTGTAACTCAAACAAAGTGTGGAATGAAGTAGCTGATGGCGTTGAGGGCACAAGGCTGCTTAGTCTTGAGGCTTGCTAAGCTGATATACGGGCTGCTTTCAGACAATCGTCTCTCTTTTCCTTTGTGCACATTCAATCAAAGACACCTCACAGACAGCTACACAGATAACAGCTGAGAATAACAAAAAAAGCAAGAACCTACGAGCCATCTCACCTTGACTTGCAGCAAAGGAGTGCAGACTTCCAGCATGCTCCCTCATGCTCCCAGATTCTTCGGTGTGGGGATCTGTTTGGAAGGAAAAGGTGTTATAAAGGTGGTATAAATAAGAAATTAATTAATCCAGAATGCGGCAGCTAGACTGGTGACTGGGAGTGGCCGCTGAGACCATAGATCACCGGTCCTGAAAGATCTTCATTGGCTCCCAGTACGTTTCCGAGCGCAATTCAAAGTGTTGGTGCTGACCTTGAAAGCCCTAAACGGCCTCGGTCCAGTATATCTGAAGGAGCGTCTCCACCCCCATCGTTCAGCCCAGACACTGAGGTCCATCTCCGAGGGCCTTCTGGCGGTTCATTTCTCCCTACAAAAGTACTCAACTCTGCCACCCCTACCCCCCATGCCCTCTTGTCAGCAGAATTATCAAGAATAGAAGGGTGCTGGATTTATAAGAGTATATATTTAAAGTAGACAAATAAATGAGCAAACTAAGTTAATTTGGATATGCAGAAAATATAAAAAATAAATTTAAGGAACTGCAGAAATAGGGGGATGGAAGTCAAGTTTTGAAATGTTAAAATGATTATAAAATTACTGAAATGTATAAATTGAAAATCATATTTTAAAAAAAAGAATAAAAGGGTGCCATTTATAAAACAACGACTTAGCCATGTCCATTTATTTCAGTGGGTTTACTCTGAGTAAAACTTAGTTGAAGACAACCCTTAGATCTAAATATGCGCATTAGGAAGGCAAGAACTTTCAGTACTTACAATGATTTCTTGGTGGGTCATTGACAGAGAGTCCCTGTATGGGAAACAAAAGAAAGTTTTCACTTGCAAATATTCCATGCAGAGAAGAGAAAAGCGACAAGATCGTGACCAAAAGCATTTGATCACAAGATATTTACCAGCCAGGACGCATTAAACTGCTCTGATCCTTCCTTTTTAAATTACATCTTCATCACCAGCTGGGTTTGCACATCACACCAAGCCAAACTGTGGCTTAATATGAATGCGCATATTTCCATAAAGGAAATTGTGGCTGCTTTGCTCCTGCCAAGGTGTTCGTACTGGGAGTATACCTGAAGGAGCGTCTCCACCCCCATTGTTCTGCCCGGACACGGAGGTCCAGCGCCGAGGGCCTTCTGGCGGTTCCCTCATTGCGAGAAGTGAGGCTACAGGGAACCAGACAGAGGGCCTTCTCGGTAGTGGCGCCCGCCCTGTGGAACACCCTCCCATCAGATGTCAAAGAGATAAATAATTACCTGATATTCAGAAGACATCTTAAGGCAGCCCTGTTCAGGGAAGTTTTTAATATGTAACGCTGTACTGTTTTTAACACTGATTGGGAGCCGCCCAGAGTGGCTGGGGAAACTCAGCCAGATGGGCGGGGTATAAATAATAAATTATTATTATTGTTATTATTATTATTATTATTATTATTATTATTATTATGTTGCTAACTTATACCACAGTTTGTATTACCATGTTGCCCGAACATAGGTTCATGGTTTAGCCCTCACCAGACTAACACAAGGAGTAACCAAGGTTTACTTTTGATTCTAGCTCAGCATAGCAGCAGAATGATCAGAGAAAAGAGGTTGCAATTTCCTCTCTCTGAGCCTGTGCCCTTGTGGCTAAGCCACCGTTTGGCACTGGCTGATGTGCCAGCATTGATGTGTCACAGTGTTAATCTGTGTGCCTCTTCTGTGCATACATGAGAGCTCAAAGTTTGAAATAATTTCTATACGCTAAACGTGCTTAATAACATCCATGCACCTTCCCACATCCTGATAAACTAACTGCAGCCTTCTGAAAAAGAAAGGTGGGGTTTTAGCAGTAGCTTCTGCTACAACGGAATGGTGCTTAGATGCAGCAAAGACAATTAACTACAAAGGGGAATCGTTGCGCTCAAAGAGGCAACAAAGGAGAACACATAAGGCAGGTTTCTATCCAGATCAGTAACACCAACATTATGGGACTATGCAGAGATGGCAAGGCTAACTGGGAAAATCAGAAACCAGGAGAATCAAAACTTCAATAAAGAATGGGACAAATTTTCATTATATTGGAAAGATCGCTGTAAACACCTGAACTCTTTGGCAGGTTTTAAATAACTCTTGCAATGTTACACAGGCTTTGGATACAATGGAGGAGGGTAAATTAGATGGACTTATAATATTTAGTTTAAAAAGTTACTTAGAGTACCCATGGAGGGGAGGAGGGAAGTCTTGAGATTCGGAAGAATCTTGTGTTATTTCTATTATTTGTGATTATAAATGTGAATGGAGTTGTAATATATATGTGTGTGTGTGTGCGTGTGTGTGTGTGGCACAATGAATGAAGGCATCTACCCAAGTACACCTAAGAAGTGAAGCATAAAAACTGACCATGCAACAAAATGCAATATGGTTGAACTATTTCCACTTTGTGTGAATTTTAAAAAATAGCTACCAATCAGTAGCAAGATCTATTTTTTAAAAGAGCCAAGTGAGCAACACTGACCTGTCACTCCACTGACAGGATGTGTGTGTGCATTTTATAATATACAAAAAAGTTTTTGTGTGTGGATACACAGATACACCCCACCCCACCCTTTTCCCCATAAACAAACAAATAAGGATCGCGTATTGCTTGATGGTGGGTTAAGTGGGAACCAGGTCCAAAAACATCGTGGACTTCCCCTGAAAGCAGCAACCAACTTACACAAAGTTGGGGGTGGGGAATCAAATGGTGTACAGTTTATACCTCGGGTTGAAGTAGCTTGGGGTTGAACATTTTCAGGTTACGCTCCACGGCGACCCAGAAGTAACGGAGAACGTTACTTCCGGGTTTCGCCGCTCGCACATGCGCAGACGCGGGTTGCATTCGCTTCAGGATGCAAACGGGGCTCCGGAACGGATCCTGTTTGCATCCAGAGGTACCACTGTATAACAAAATGATAGATAGAAGGAAATATTTTATTGCAGCATACCTTGAGTAAATAAAATCCACCAGCACCAGGAGAGGGCAGAGTTTCCATGCTTTGTTCTTTAGACTCTGCCGGTTACAAGGGATGAGAGAACAAAAAAGGTTGAGAGCCATGCCTTCCTTTGCCTAGCAAGAACTAAACTACGTAACAGGAATAATCGGTACAGATGACTGGTCCTAGAAGTCTGCTATAAGGATTAAGCTGAGGGAGCTCCAGGTAGTCAACTATCAACAAACAGAACAGAACGGAAGGCTTTTGCGCAGCCTGTCTCCATTTGGCCGCCTCTCCTGGTATGTCCCACAAAGGACCTTACGGTCTTCAAACAAAAACATCCTGAATGTCCCAGGCCACAGAGAGGTTAGGCTGGCCTCAACTAGAGCCAGGGCTTTCTCAGCTGTGGCTCCGATCTGGTGGAACGCTCTGTCACAAGAGACTAGGGCCCTGCGGGACTTGACATCTTTCCGCAGGGACTGCAAGACAGAGCTGTTCCACCAGGCCTTTGGCCAGGGCACAGCCTGACTCCCTCCTTTGGCAATCTTCACAGAACTTTAGCCTAATGGTTGCCATCAATTTGAGCTGAATTAATTTTAATGAAATGATTTTAGAATGTTGTATTATTTTATTGTTGTTAGCCGCCCTGAGCCCGGCTTCGGCTGGGGAGGGCGGGATATAAATAAAATTTATTTTTATTATTATTATTATTATTATTATTATTATTATTATTATTATTCAGATGTTGTTGGTCTCCCAACTTGCACCAGACCTAGCCAGCATGGCCAATGTTGCCAGTCTGCAACTCCAAACACTACTAGTTTAGTTGAGATTCCTGTACTGCAGGGGGTCGGACTAGATGACTTCAGG